TTCTTCTTTCACCAGTGCAGTCAGTCTCTTCAAGAACAATTTCTTCCCCCGGCCATCGGCATATTTCCGGTGCTTTCCTCGAAGATGATTTCAAATGGTTGAGGAACTTGAGAGAATACGTCGAAGGAGCATTTTTCGGCTTAGTTGCACAGCTATCAGAATGATTGTCCTCGACGGCAATGCAATATTTTTAACAGCGTCCTCACTTCTTCCTGTCGCGATGTCCATGGATTCTTGGAGAAAGAGTTTGCTTTTGAGAAAGTACGACTTGTACGTCCGAAATGTCTTCAAAAAAAGCTTCGAAAAGTCGAGGCTACAGCCTTGAGTTAGGAGCGGTTCAGGGTATAGTTTCCAGAAATCGCGAAGAACCCAAATTTACCTCGGATGACAAGCTGCGCATGACGTAATGTAGGAATTTCGCCGAGCGCTGGGTCTATGCCTGTTGCACACTCTTGGGGGTTATGAACTCTTGGTCGTACTGTTGGGCAAGGAGTATGCTTTCATTGCTAGTTACAGATCCTTGTGATAAAAGTGCGAGTGTGAATTCAGGGGGTAGTGGCAAAGCTACTACATTTCGTATTTTGGGACAAGGAGGAACCTGTCACTACTAGGTACAGATAGTAGGAGCACACACTTCAGGTCCTTCTGAAATTGGTCACAAGTATTTCACAAGTAAACTTCCGTGCCTTCTCTTCAGGTGATATACAGGCACACTTGCACCTTCTCCTCATTCTTTCTATGTGAATGGGTCACGCATTAATCATTATTCATTGTTGTTTTAGCTATTCTTCTTTGCGCTGTTTCATCACCTCTCTGCTGTACGTGATTGTTCTGGGTGCAGTTTGCTCTTGCCTGTATATCACCTGAAGAGAAGGCACGACAGTTTACTTGTAAAACACTTCAGAGTGCTGTTTAAGAACCTGAAGTGTGTACTCCTACTACTTGGTCCGGCTCATCGCAATTGTCGCTTATCTATCGCCACTTAGAACAGGAGTTTTTTTACCGCTCTGTGAAATTTCCAATAGGCATTGTGAGGAAGTATGATACATGAATACTCTCTGCCACAAGAAACAAATTTCAGCAATGGAATCAGGTGAAGCGAGTCGAAGAAAGGAAGCAAGGTAAGCAAAATGCACGAACAAAATCAGCGAAGGAGCGCATTTTTGCACTCACACTTACAGATCCAGAGTTCATTCAACTCTGCATCACTCGAGCTGCCGCGCTGGCGTTACATGAGCTGGCATTTGCTGGTGTCTAGCTGCTGACGTAGACTGGTAGAGTATCTCTTGCTTTCTCAGCCTGTCGTATGGCAGCAATGGGAAAGGAACAGTTGTGGCTGTCACTTCGAATGAGGCATACAGGCCTCTCCAGACAGCTGTAATACGCTCCGCTGGATACGCTGACCACGGCTCTTGTAATGCTGCTGCTAGGTCCACCAAGCGAAGGAAACACGTCGGCCGGGCGCATCGCAACAAAACACCTTTCTTCTTCAGCATGACGCTCACACTCCTCTGCCGTGCACGAGTACGTGCCTGTCAAGCTCTCCAGGATGTCAGTTGCCCCTGCTACAGTTCCGGTCTTCGGGTCGCTGCGCTTGACTTTTGGCAACACAGACAGTGAATGGCCAGATTCACACTTCCCAAAAAGTCGAACACATCGCGATTCAAAGCGCTAGTCGGGATCATTTTTCTTTGGTGCCTCCTTTGATCTTGCCATCACAACCTCCCAAGCAAAAGTAAGTTAGATATCGTGATTGGACTGGGTTTACCTGTCAAAAAGTGTGTGGGAGATAAGCGACAATTGCGATGAGCCGGACCAAGTAAGTGTTAGACAGTAGCTGTTTCGTCTCTGGGGAAACTTTTTATTAGTTACAGAGATCCTTGTGTGAGTGAATCAATGTAGGCGGCAGTGGCGATGCTACTACATTTTGCACTGTTGGACAAGGAGGAAACGGTCACTACTGGTCACAGATCCTTGCAATGTAAGTGCAAGTGTGAGTGAATTAATGTAGCTGTAGGAGGCAGTAGCATGGGGGCTGGAAAGATCAAACAGTGCACATTGACTTACAGAGTGGATTTTGCCCTTCACTGGCATAGTACTCGTACATGCCAGACTTGACAATGGTGTCATGATGCGGGACATACTCAACACGCTGTGCTGCCGGGGCACTCAGCTCTTGGTGTAGGTGTGTTAGAACATACAGCGTATCGTTGGCATTCACCAAGTTTTCTAAATACATATGTATGAAAATACACACACGCACGCACACACGGTTATCCAGTCCACACAAGGCATACAAAATCCACAATAGTGAAATAAGCAGCACTCAATGAGCAATGAGAGGTAGGTAGATCAGTAGATAGGTGAACACACAAATAGATACACACATAAACATAAGAGAGAAAGAGAGGGGAAGCGAGAGAGAGAGAGAGAGAGAGAGAGAGAGAGAGAGAGAGAGAGAGAGAGAGAGAGAGAGAGAGAGAGAGAGAGAGAGAGAGAGATAGAGAGAGAGAGAGAGAGAGAGAGAGAGAGAGATAGTAGTGATGTTCCGCTCTACATTACGGGACGCGACGCGAAGAATCCCGGGAACACTCTTCGCGTTCCCGTTAAGTAACAGAAATCTGCTCTGCTCTAGCCATAGACTTTAACCCAGACACCTGCCCTCTACGCGATTTCTCTGCGTATCAAAGGGAGCGGAACCTCACTAAAGAACGTTATGCCAAAAGAAAAAAAGCTTGGAATAATCGATAAAACTATCCAATATATGAGGCGTGACCATATTGGGTGATGAAGGTCAAATATTAGAGCGGGACCCCATTGTGTCATGAAAAAGAAAGACAAACCTTGACATCCTGTTGGGACAGCACTACTGCTTGCAGGAGTTGCACACTCCAGGGGTTGTGTACTTTTGGTTTTCATGCAAATCGCTATCTCTGGCTGCCTAAAGAGAACGCCATGGGTATAAAACTCGGAGAAGCAACCCTGTCCTACGTGGTTTGGTCTTCCACGTGTGTGAAGGATCTGTGCCCATTGAATTGAGCACTATTCCAGGTGATGTTGCTACCTTCTTAGATTATAGATAAACGGACGGGTGGGTATAACCGTATATAGACAGCCAGAGAGAAAAGTAATACAGAAGTAGCTAGATAGTACCGTGAAGTACTGCGAGAGCGCCCCACCATTTACTCCCTTCCGTGGTTGTGTTTTGACTTTCGAGGTAGTGACCTTGTACAGACATTGCATGCCGTGCAGTCAATCTGTGCTCAGTTTACCTTGGAGGCTGCTGCAAAGGTGTAAATACTTACCGTATGTATCATCGTCCTTGATCAAGTGGCGGCTTGTCGTGCAAATTATGAACTTCTCCCTTGCTGCAAGTTGTAGATTCTATAGGTCAACAAATGAGAACAAAGAAATCGGTTTCAAACATGCCTAGCCACAAAGCAATGATAATGCTAAAGATAAGCATACCATTACGCATACTTGCACATAATTATTACGTATGTGACATAATGAAAGTGTTGCTTGCATACTAAACTCTTTTAACGACACCTGTGCACTCTAATGTGATGATACTTATCCACATTGTGGAATAGGAACAGTGGCTTCTCGGATTGACACGTTGAGACTACTACTATCAAAGTACAGGTCAACTCTCAACATAGCGACTCTTGACCATGCGTAAACCTTGATACCATAGAAAAGTGAAATTCCCCGGACGACAGAGCATCTATACCATTGATTTTTTGTTCTAGATAACGTAATTCTCCCTAACGTAAACCTCTATTGTATATAGATGTAGATACTCTTCGTTCCCAGTGACCGGGTTTTCACCCCTAATCGAGGTTCGCACTGCCCCTGCTGGGAGGGGCGGATTTGATAGGGCAGCTACCACGACTGGCACTCTCGACGCCAGGCCTAGGGGCGTGAGGAAAGACAAGAAGACAGCAAAATTGGAAATGTTTTTCACTGGATAAATTTCTTCTTCAAAATAGCGAGAGCTTACTACGCAGTCGCCCTGTCGCAAATTTCCAAAGGGAGCTAAAGAGGTCAAGATAAAATCGTCCCTCTTTCGTTGAGTCAACCAAGACTGAAAAAGGCACGACTTTGAAGCCTCTTCGCATGCACTTCTATGTTGCATTAGTGGGCATGATCTCATGAAATTGTACTAGCTCAAATGCATTGTAAGTCACAGAGTTTTTCACACCCTAACTTGGCCTAAGTAGCCATGTTTAGGTCTCTTACGCATTCTTGGCCGCGTTTTCCCAAAGGGACAGATGCATGACCTCTCTATAATGTAATTCTACAATGTGGTTACCGTAATTTTTGTGTGGCCCCCAGATCGCGTTATGTACTCAATATGTAGAGAGTTGACATGTACATGCAGTTGACATGTACATGCAGTTGATGAGCATCTACTAGTGTGGACATTGGAACCCGTTGAGAAGTCAAGCGGACACCGAGTGCCGGCCTTGCAGCCGTAAGCCCTGCTGGTCCATTTTTGCAGGGTGTACGTGAGCTACGGTCAGGCGCGTATGCTCTAACTAAAAGCTCTAAGGCAGTAAGGGCGCTGTCCCCGGTCATTCTACCAGATGTCAATGTCCACAACAATAGAATCAGGTTCAATAACACAGCAGAGCAAGCCCTGAAGCATGCTTACAATGTTAGGCTGCACTGAGGCCAACTTCCCAACTCTCAGCGTGGACAAATACCCCCAAGACATCTATCGATATCAATATTCCCAGTATTTCTTATTTCATTCTTTTCTGTTTGTTGTGACGTTTCCAATACATGTACTGCCTATTGGTACATGGTAACATTCAAACAAACGTCATTAACTTTACCTCTTTCACTAAGGCTTGGAAGTTCGCGAACTTGAACACGCCACCAAGGCTAATCTTGCTAGGTGGGTCAGCACCTTTCCGTCGGTCATATACGTACACATACGTATCTTCATCCTCGTCCATGGCACACCAATTGCAAACACTGAGCTGAGCTCTCAAAACACTTCTCAGCAATTCATATGTCCCAGGAATTCAGAGCGGTGAATATCCCGAATTACAAATGACCGGTGTTCCGCTGAACGAGTTGAGTGAAATAAAAAGGCGCAACAAAACTGAAAAGACAACAACTTGAGCTTATTGACAAGCCAAGTTTGAAATAGCACTACAAATCTCAAAAGCTCTGTAGCTCGATCCCGTCACCTCAGTTTGTCATCGAGAAGTGACCTTTTTTTTGTTGCTGTGATTGTGAAACTGTGCATACATTTTCAGTATTTCTGGAAATGTATGCAAATCTTGTTTCAAGCTTCTTTCATAAAAGAACCGACGCAATCCTGCGAGCTAGCGCGCGCGATCTCTCGCGACTGACTCGAGCGACGAGCGAAGATATACTTCACGAGACCACGTAAACGCGCGCATGCATGTACGTATACCATGGTATACGGTAAGTGCATGCACGCGCGCTGCGCTGTGCACATCAGAATAAAGCTATGCGCTAGCTCCGTGAACGTTTCGCAGTGGGGTGTCGTGAAAAAAATCGTGAAAACCCGCGGGCTGCTTGCACGCGGCGCGGCCGCGCAACGAGCGTCTTCAGCTTCGCGATCTCCATCTGACGTAATCGATCGTTGATAGTTTTGAGCAGCAGCATTTTTTTTCAAGACTTCTAAAACTGCAATGTGAAAAGTGAAGCTGGATGACAATACGAGAGTTAGAACATAATTGTCCTGCTCATGTTCGTATTCTAGTAGTATCGTTCCTTGTTGGGTTCCAGAAATGTCCGACTCAGAAGGAGAGGAATTCTCTGGTGATGAGGTACGCCTTTGAAGTACCTGTGTGGACATTGGGGATCATGTTGTGAGAACAATTATTTTGTAATTTCTGCTGTTTGTTTGCAACGAAGATCGAAGACGACCTAGATGAAGAGGAGGATGAAGATGAGGAGGAGGAATCAGAAGAAGAATCTTATGGCCAGAAGAAAAAGTCCAAAGCACCGCGAAATGCCGGTTTCATCTTAGATGAAGCAGGTGAGTACAAACTTAAATTATTTAAGGGCTGCAACGGTACGGGTAGGGGTTTGATCTGGTAGCGAGTTCGGGTATTTCTATCCGGGTAGCACGAGTACTCTATCGGGTACTTTTTGACATGGTACCAGTACACTGGTACAGTGTACATGGTATCGCATGAGCGGGATCACCACAATACGTTCATACAGTGAGTGTGCATTTACGCTACAGAGAAAGATGTACAGTTACCACATAGCAGTACATGTACTTCTTACATGCACCATTGTGAAAATACAGTACTCCAACGACGCAATCGAGTTCTCAGGCACAAACTGCTAGCCGAATACCCGCTCTAATTACGGGTAGCACGGGTACCCTACCTCCCGATGACACCCCTGACTTTTTTTTACTTTTCTTGGGGCTGTTACTGGTGATATCATTGGTTTCTGTGTCTACTGTCTTCCTCTATTTAAACTACAGAGGTCGACGAGGAGGAAGAAGAAGATGAAGATGAAGCAGAGGATGGTTTAGATGATCTGATAGCCGATCGAGGTATGGGGAGAAAGAGAGAGAGAGAGAGAGAGAGAGAGAGAGAGAGAGAGAGAGAGAGAGAGAGAGATAACAATTGAAAATTGTAATCTTTTCAAGTACTTGAGGAAGTGTGCATGTGAGCATTCATAGCTGTATTTTGTCAGCAGTGTACTAGTACTTTCTCTGCTGGATTTCCATTTTCTCTTGCCCAATCCTACTAAAAATTCACATGGCAGATGTTTGGATGGCTTCATATGCTACTGTCAAGAGTAACCAGAGTGTCCAACTGTGCATCCGAGTTTGAAAGTGTAATCCATCGTTTTTGCCACTATGGACGTCAAGCTACGGCATTAACTGGCGTATAAATGCATTGCAAAACCACAGTTGCAGATTACAGTTCCCAAAGCTTGTTAGAAATTACCTGAACAACATACTATCCTAGCCATTCTTAACGAAGTTTCTTCCATACATGTAGGTGGAGTTTATTCTAAATCATGTGCTCTTGCTACTATTCTATCCATCTTTTTCAGTCTGAAACTTGCTGGTAACTAACCAATGTGCATCGGTCCTTGTTTTCTAGAGTGCTTCACTTTCTTGAGATTGTCTTCATATTTTTACTTGGCTTATGAATTTTCGACTTTTTCCTGTGTCTGGTGTAGATGCTGGCCGGGGTGATGATCGGAGAGTGAGTTACTGCCACATTGTTTCTTCTTCTAGGCATGCAGGCAGTGTGTGCGCTTCATGGGTGCCAAGTATTGCATTGAAAAAGCGAATACCGTAAAAGCCCCTGTATACGCCCACTCGAAATTACGCCCACCCTCCGTGTACACGCCCAGTCAGGGGAAGTCAACACTTTTGTTTCAAGATAGCGCCCATGCCCATGTATACGCCCAGGTATGCCAGCAACACCAGTACATGTACAGGTACTGATACCGAATACTTACTGCTATCCCTATTCCAAGTATACGCCCGGTTCCAAAATAACGCCAGTGCCCTTGTATACGCCCAGGGAATCGAGGCTTCTATTCTTTATGCCCGGGGCCTATACACGGGCTTTTACGGTATACAGTTTGTTATATTGGTGCCTATGCTACGAACAGGCAGTGCGTATTTATGCAGTGAAACATGATCCTCTTTGTGTTGTAGTTGAACTTCATAGCTGCCTACTTGTAGTTTTGATGATAGAGGCCGAATCTGTGCAGCTGCTTGCTGATTTATTATGTCATGTGTCAGTTTCATGTTCTTACTGCCCCTGATTAGCTTGGTCTAGGAACTGTAAGACAATGCTATACTCTCTCTCTCTCTCTCTCTCTCTCTCTCTCTCTCTCTCTCTCTCTCTCTCTCTCTCTCTCTCTCTCTCTCTCTCTCTCTCTCTCTCTCTCTCTCTCTCTCTCTCTCTCTCTCTCTCTCTCTCTCTCTCTCTCTCTCTCTCTCTCTCTCTCACTCTCTCTCACTCTCACTCTCTCCCTCTCTCTCTCTCTCTCTCTCTCTCTCTCTCTCTCTCTCTCTCTCTCTCTCTCTTTTTCTCTCTCTCTCCCTCTCTCTCTCCCTCGATCGACAGTCTGTACGGATCGGGCATCTATTGGTGTATTTGTAAACGCATTTCTCCTTGTGTTCATTTGTGATGTAGACACATATCAAAGCAGACAATGAGTTACACTTCGGGTGAGTCAGTTCTCTCTCTCTCTCTCTCTCTCTCTCTCTCTCTCTCTCTCTCTCTCTCTCTCTCTCTCACACACACACACACACACACACACACACACACACACACACACACAAACACACACACACACACACACACACGCGCGCGCGCGCGCGCTTTTGAGACCTTAGATGCCCATCCCCAGAGGCGATGATAGCGATGCTGCAGCATAGCAGAAGCCATAGCAATATGTGCTCAGATGGCACCATCTAACAGCTTGCAAGGCTGAAGAATTGGCTTTCACTGCTTACCTGGTCTACCACACACAGCTTATTGAAGCATTTTGATTCTGTTCAGTGAATACACACACGCTCGTCAGGCTGTCCAGCTATTCTGCTTTGAGCTTGCCAGTCCCACTCTTGACTTTGTGGGTATCCCGCTTTGGAATGGTGGCAAGTTGGCATAGCGAGTACCCATGACCCCCCACGCACACATATCTGCATACACTTTCTTACGCACATAGAGTTTGCTGTTTGAAGTGCAAGCCTATTTAGTATTTACTTAATTTGTGTATGTTTCTGTCTGTGAAGTATCCCTGATGTACCTGTAGTTTCTGGACATTGTATTGTATGACTTCTCTGTGGTATGTTTTCTCTTCTGCAGTAATAACTCTGATATGCACCAAGCAGAAGAGTATTACATGAAGAAGTATGGGTCCGCAGATTTGGATGATGATGATATGTAAGTGATGTAGTGTGCATGAACAATTGTGTCATATCTGGATTTTTGCTTCAGTGTGGATTAGTCCGCAGATTCTATCCTTTCCTTTAGGCTGTAGCCGCACTAGGTACAAAAACTGAGTATATACAGCGTTGTAATAGAAGTCGGCAAGAAGCAGCTGCAGCCTTAGTATTTAGTGTACATGTAGTATGTGTGCACTGAATATCTTGGTGCTCGTCTCTCATATTATTTTTTATTTTTGTTCCTTTCTCTAATGTTTCTGTGGCTGTGTTTCTGTGTGTGTGTTCTGTGTGTGCGTGCATGTGTGTGTGTGCGTGTGTGTGTGTGTGTGTGTGTGTGTGTGTGTGTGTGTGTCAGGCCAATCTCAGGCAGTACTGCAGGTCCTATTTCACAGCAAAGTTTGCTGCCAGGAGTCAAGTAAGCTTGACAGTTCTTTTGAATACATTGTGCTGTTGTGTTTTACCACTGCGGTGTTGTGTGCCGCTTCATCTTACTATCCACTACTGTTTATTGGACTGCCCTGACGCGCGACCAGGCTAGTGCGACAAATTTTTGTTGAGTTCGTAACGCGCGTCCGGCGGGGTGCGGCGATCTTTTTTTCTGAAAAGAAAAAATGATGCGGCAAAAGCAAAAAAATGATGCGGCAATAGCAAAAAAAGTGATGCGGCAATAGCAAAAAAAGGACTGCGGCAATATAGAAACCTGTGTAACGGCTCCTGTGCGACTTTGCATGTAACGCCATGCGTGCGGCAAACATGTGCCAATGTAACGCTTCATGGCCTCACTGCGGCAACATATATTGCCAGTACGGTAATACCCATACGATGGTGATAACTGCACGGAAGTTACCAGTTACCCATGTGTGCTGAAGTACTGTGGCTGATTGCAGAAGTTCTAAATGTTGTTTGCCTGTCTACTGTTTGTTTGTATTGAATAGGGATCCTAATTTGTGGACAGTGAAATGCAAGGTATGTGCCAGCGACTGGACCACGTTCAGTCAGTGGTGATTTTTCTAATTCAGTAGATATGCCTATGTCACGCCGACCTAGGTGGGTCCAGTGCTAAAGTTGCTAATTGTGCCCCCTTCTTTGGTTTTCTTCAAGTGTATAAACCCGCTCTCTCAACAAGAGATCGGAGCTCGTGTCTAAGTGTCCTCATGAGAACAAGTTCTGCCTTCATAACTTTTTCCGCATGGCCGCGTGCATATAGCTTTGTAGTTAAAATGCTTTGCTTCACGGAAACGTATTTCATTGCGAAGAGCTGCGCTTCGGTCCTCTGAGCTGTGCTGATGAGCTCTAAGGCCACACCGTTTTTTATCTATGTTTCGCGTCCCCCGCGCGCATGTATTTCACAGCCGTTCAAAAAAAAAGGAACATATGTTTTTGGAAAATGCAATACAAATTTAATGCAGACCCAGAAAACCAGAAAAGGAAAAATGTAACCCAAAAGAGAAAAAAACGTGATTGTTACTCTTACAATGTATGTTGGCATCATTTGTTCTATTTATCGCATGATTGTACTCAGCTCACATACAATGGCATGTACATGTACATGTGTGTGTAATAAGCTGGGCCGCAAGTCATACGATCATCATGCCGCCATGGCAGAGGGGATACACTCATGTATTCATGGATGTGTGAATTTAATGTTCAATGTACTGTACATGAACAGTGCCGGGTCCACACTGTACAATACAATGCATGTACAATGTTTTTTTTTGGATGGCTTTTTATTTTTTTCGCCCTCCCTCATTGATTTCATCAAACATGGTGACGCGAAACATAGAAAAAAGCGGCGTGGCCTAACAGATCGAAACAGTTGCTGTCCACAGACTTAAGTAGCTTTGTAGTTAGGTACTTATTTATGCAACCTGTCTCTTTTTTGTATGCTTGTTTGTTCCCCCTGTTCTTTTAGCACGTAAGCCTGCCAGCACTAAATTTCATCTCCTGCATTTATACCACCTTTGTGACACTGCTGCATGGCTCCTAATCATGAATAACGTGAAACTCTGAGCTGCATCATAGCTTCTTCCTTTCTCTTTCCTGACTGTGTGGAATGCTTTACCTTACCGGTATAGGGTCCTCGAGCGCTCTTCGGGCAGTGGAGCGCCCTACTTGATTACATTAAAAAAATACATTTGGTCATGTCCTGCTTCTAGGTCTTTTTTGTCTGATAGAAAGGGTCATGTCGCAGTTTTGCTCCTTTTCACCACCTGCTGTGCATTTTTAATATTTCGAAAATCAAAACACTGTCGTTTCCAATTGCTTATTGAGTGTCTGTTTGCTTTTGACCATTTTAGCTGGGCACAGAGAAAGAGACAGCATTACAACTTATGAGAAAGTCTATTGTGATGGAAGCCAAGGGAGAGGTAAGTACGAGTGGTGCCGGCAGTTTTCCACAATATTGCACTGTTGTGCCATTCCATCTGGTTCAGCTGTAGTCTGTGTGGCGTATGTAACTGTAACATACTGCATTTGTGTGTGGCCTGTTCCTTTGCTTTGTATCTTGAGCTAATAGACGCAATGGACTGTGCTTGTAGTTATGCCTCAATCTTTTGTTTGCCATCATGTTCTCCGTGTTGATGTTGGTTTCCATCACAGCCTCTGCAAATCAAGGCGGTAGTGTGTCCAGAAGGTCTGAAAGGATACATCTACATTGAGGCGTATAAACAGTCTCATGTCAAACAGGTCAGTAGTGGCAAGCTCTGCTAATTACATTGTTCTAACAGGTCTTGGATAGCTTGCATGGCATTTTTCCTTCTGTGGATGGAAGATAGAAAGCCATGGAATTTTCTTCATGCAGTGGCTCGAGCAGTGCTTCTAGAGACGGACGTGGCGCCCGCCCTGCTCTATTTGTATCAACAAGAGCCAATAAGTCCCAAGAGTATGCAACTCAGATCTCCAAGCTATGGGTGCTCTGCACGATGTGCTACCTTCATTGTAGTGAATCGACGATCCAGTGAACTGGATTTGAATTGTTCTTCGTTTATGTGGAATGTTTTCATCGAGAGTAAATAAGCTCCCAAGAGTGTGCAATGGTACATATGGGATCTCCGACGGCGAAAACTCGTATCAAGTGTTCCAAGTACATTCCGTGCTACGCACAACGAAGACCAGTGTGTACTCAGTCTGACTATCTGTGCTATTTTTACTACTCCACTGCCCACTAAAAGGACTGGGAACGTACAACGTGAACAACTCACCACGTGATGTGAGTTTTCGCCATCAGCCGGTCCCATAGAAAGGGTATCCAGAGTTGCACACTCTTGGGAGCTTATGTACTCTTGATTTCATGCGTAATATGGTAGATTCAAACGCCATTGTCTGTACACGGAGCATTTATTACACATGAAGCCCTCGGAAGTATCCGAGCACCTAGAAAATATTGCAAGCCAATACTGCAATGGCTTGGCTGATTCCCCAGTTTGGGGCTGCATTGATGTGTATCCATTTTAATTATTCTGAGTAGGGGATGTGGAGTTGATCACTTTTGTCCAATGTGTGGGTGTATGTGTGGTCCCGTTTGTGTGAACATAGGCCATTGAAGGTATTGGGAACTTGAGAATGGGTCGGTGGAACCAGCAGATGGTGCCAATTCGTGAGATGACGGATGTAATGAAGGTTGTAAAAGAGATTCAGACGGTAAAACGTGGACAATGGGTGAGATTACGGCGGACGATGTACCGTGATGACATTGCTCAGGTACGTACATTCAACACCGTACATTGTCGTCATTGTTGCTTGAGGAATTTTGTGCTGCTCTGTATGTAGATGCTCGTGCTATTACCGTAAAGTACCGTTGATCCGCCCCCTCTCTAATTCCCGCCCCCTGTCGATTTTCTCCTTGTGAAGCGACTTTGGCGTATACAACGAAATACGATGTTGAACCGACGCATGCACTGCTGTACATAATACTTGCCAATCCAGGATCAAAATGTGCACAATCCAGCACATTGAGTCTGATCCTCTACGTTGTTGTACATCGTACTGCACTTGACAGCCTTGATCTAATTCCCGCCCCCTGCCGAAAACCCAGCTGGGAAGCGACATGGCGTGGGGGCGGATCAACGGTACTTTACGGTAATTTCAATAAATTTGCAACAGGTTATGTTTTCCTTTACATGTATTCCATGTGTAGGAGCAGGCTTGAGAAGGCCGTATCATTTTTAAATTGCTTGCATTTGTACTATGTTCTTGGAAACGATTGTTTCTCCAGTTCTAACCGATTCATCCTTGGATACTAAAAGTGAGAACTCCTTTCCCCTTGTTCATGTCGTTTCTGTTGTGTGGACTCTAGATTGACTATGTGGACAATTCTCGGTCTCAGGTATGCGTTACAATGGGTTAATTTGCTCTACGCGTAGCGTGCGTACATTGGACCAGGGTGTAGATGTAAAGATGTGTTAATGATAGACTCTCTTCAGCCATGTTGTGTACTCAATCAAAACATATTCATGGTAATTTGTGCAGCGCGGTAAAGGGTGGTCGTCTGAATTTGCTTTCACAACTCTGTTTTGAAACTACGAGTTAGTCGAGATATATATTTCCTTGTTTGTTGTTCTTCATCTTGTTCTTGCTCTTGTTCACAGTTCGTGTTGTTTTTGATGTGGGGTGTTTGCTTCTTGTTTTATGCTTACCCTTTTTTCAGCTGGTTCTGAAACTGATACCACGTATTGACTACAACAAGCCACGTGGTGCTGCGAAGTCTGCAATAGTAAGTCTGGGTCTCCAAACATGTGTATGTACTGCACACTCTTCTCTTAAGTATCGCAAAGTCAGGGCCTGACCAACGCAGCTTCACCCATGGAGCCTAGCTCGGTGTTTTTGCTGCAGAGTTTCCAACGCGCCTTGTGCCGATCGGCCGGCTTTGGAGATATCCCAGAACGATACTTCTCTTGGGTTAGCCATTTATCAGAGAAGGCACAGCCAGGCATGATGGCTAACCAAATAAATACAAAATGCCACTACTACAGTCCATTCATTGGAAACTGGCACCCTAACTGTTTGGTGTCTCTCTCACATAGTTGTAGATATCGTGAAAACAACAGTACGTCCTGCATTGTGTGACCCGTGCAATTACTCCTTGCCACATCTGAGGCCAGAAAAGTCCAAGAACAGGGAAATAGAAATTCAGCCAGGTTTTACAAAATTAGGACAGGTATGCCATGGCAAAATGTATGGAAAAGCAGATCCGAAACCCAGATTTTTGAGATTTAAAGTGGGTTTTTGATCCTCAATTCGGCCCAAATCCGACTTTCAAAAGCCAGCGGGCCAGTTTCCGATGAATGGGCTGTAGTTTCACTACAGAACGTTGTACCAGAAGTGACAAATCGACTCGTCAAACACACAGCACAACAGGATATCTAAAACTGTATCGGTGAAGACACACCTCTGACTGTTCAAAAAATAACCGGGATACTAGTACTTGGCAGGTGTACTTACCGTGGTTGTTCTAGCTTCTTAGCACTGTTTCTGTTGCCCTTCTGCTGTTCAAATAGAGCACGTCATAAATATTATGTGTGTGCTGTGCGTGATTTTCATGACAATATCCATAGGAACCTGAAAAGCGGAAGAAAGGTGGCCGTGCTCCGCAGAAGCCCTTCAACGTGGAGAACATCCGGTATGCAGCGCATTTTTGAATTTTGTTTAGCCTCTAGGATACCAGTACCAATACTGTGTAGAAGAGGCTTTGTGCATGGCATATCTCAGTACCAAGTCTCTACATCAGGAAAGTAGACACGGTTTGCTTGTCACAGTTGCAGCTACTATGAGTGCCTGAAGCTCTCCACACTTAGCAACTGGAGCCTGAGCTGTGCATTCAGAAATGTGTACAGTTGCTCAGTCTGGCTTTCCTGGTCTATTATCGTCGTATATCGTTCATTGTATTCTTGTTGATGATACTTGGATAAGCTATAATTGTGTGACATTATGTTAGATTAGTCACTTCTGCAATAGCTACAGTCAACTTCGCTTATAACGACATTCGGCGGGGCATTGGAGAGTGTCCTTATTCGCGAAGTGTCGTTATACCCGAAGTCTCATTATATGTGTTACAGGTGGATGGGACTTTGCCCTGGGCATGAAAATTCTGTCGTTATTCGCGAATTGTCGTTATATCCGCAGTCGTTATTAGCGAAGTTGACTGTATGTGCCACAAGGACTCTGGCAACATCATGACCGATACTGTATGTGTGTGCATGTGTATTTGTGTGCATTTGTATGCGTGGGTGTGCATGCGTATACGTGGCTGTTCATGTGCATGTATACTGGCTATGTTCTGTGCACAGTGCCATTGGAGGTGATGTAAACAAGGATGGTGACTTCTTCTTGTTCGAGGGAAATCGCTACCGGAAAGGATTTTTGTACAAAACAATGACAATGTCAGCTGTGGTAAGTCTGTTTTTACTGCACTTCTGATGTACTCTGCACTGCTATGTACTAACGTTAGTACAGTTGCGCTCACTGAAATTCGACCTACGGTGCAAACCTGGCGCCCTGGACCAGTTCCGATTACATCACTGTACATGTACTTGTGCTGGATTGTGTACGTCCGGCCACATCCGTACCATTTCCAGGGCGTTAGGGCCGTGCAAGTTGAGGGCGCCAAATATGCACTTTGGGTCTAATTTCACCGAGCACAACTATAGTTGCTGGGATTGCATTGAGACTGATTCACTCAGCCTTTTTTGCAGACTTTAGGAGGTACTCTTTGTCTGTGATATCGTGTTATTTGGTGCCTGTGCATCAGAGTCCTAAGCGGAACATCAACATTCACACAAGTAATGGAAATCCTGCTAACAAGAAAAATCCACCGCTCTGTTCCCATACTAATATATGCTGGCGTAGCAAACCTGATAAAAGCATGTGTATTGTGTGCAATTGTGCATACCAATTTGCACAACAGCTTCTCATAATTATGTGCACTTCACGTGTGTATTTGTTCCTTCGATTGTGTCTTTGCAGATCATCGATGGTGTTAAGCCGACGCTCGCGGAATTGGAGAAGTTTGAAGCAGTTTTGGAAGATACAAAGTTAGAAGGTTGGTTTGTCTGATGTGCTTTAGTCTGGGTTTTTTAATGTTGTGCACACATCTTCTTAGTTTGTAGAGTGTGGCACGTTGCAAACAAAAACAAAGTAATACCATGGCTTTCGAATACTTTAGTTACCCATGCATGCTGGACACTTGGTGCAGAATTCACCCTCACTTTTTTTCTTATGCACATGCTCAGTTGGTGCTCAGAAAGAAGAAAACTTGGATCTTCAGTTTGCCGTGGGTGATCCAGTTATGGTCGCTGAAGGGCAGTTAGTAAATCTAGCTGGTCGTGTCTTGGCAATTGAAGGAGATCAAGTAACCGTCCTACCCGTTCACGATGATTTGAAGGTCAGTGGCAGCATCATCGTGCAGTAGTTTGTGCTTGATGTATGATGAACAAGAATGTCTTGTGATATTATTCTTGCATGCTGCAAGCAATTTTTGCTGCTTTGAGTGCTTTGCTTATCTATTTGTGTGCTTTTCAGGTTTTGTTTGCGCTTCTTGAAGGTGCCATCAATGTGGTATTAATGTAGTGTTGTAATAACTGTTGTTGTATACACTTCTGACCTTTGGTATTTCTCTTGTTTCCTTGGATTTGTTGTGGTCTTGCAGGAAGCATTAGTGTTCCCTGGTAAAGAGTTGAAGAAGCATTTCAAAGTCGGAGATCATGTCAAAGTTGTGCGTGGCAACCATGAATCCGAGACAGGAATGGTTGTACGAGTGGAGAACAATGTCGTCGTGCTCTTCTCAGATCTTAGCATGAAAGAGGTAGGTCTCTCTTGCACTTGCTATGTGTGTGGAACATCAATCATTGCAGGGTATGATTGTTGGCTGCTTGTGGTGCTATCTTTGCTTCGGGTCATTTAGTGCTGTACTTAACAGCCGATTTCTGTGTGTGTGTGCATGTATGCGCGTGCGTGCGTTTGTGGGTGTGGTGTGTGGGTGGGTGGGCGCGCGTGCATGTGTTATGTGTGTGTGCATGTGTGTATTATTAATTTGTCTGTGCACGTGTTCACGCTTGCCCTGCAGCTGAAAGTCTTACCAAGAGATCTGCAGATTGCTGCTGAGCGCAGTACTGGCGTTGATCAGTCTGGCCAGTTTAGAGTCGGCGATTTGGTCCAACTCGAGTAAGTCAGCCGACACACATCCTGACAGATCTGCATTGCATACTCATTCACTTTGGTTTCTATGTCTGTTACGTGTATGGCTATTGGTTGGTCTTTGACTCCATCATTTGGTGAACATGTAATGCATAGAACTGATTATGTTTTTTTGTTTTACTATGGCGTGTACAGTGCGCAGACAGTCGGTGTCATTATCCAGGTGGACAGGGAACAGCTTCATGTCCTCAATCAGACTGGAAAGGTTTGTTTGACTGTTTGTAATGAGCGTATTCCCAATATTTTAATGGAATACCTGCTGCTGCTGCTGCTGGGGACATGAGTGCTTTGGCCAGCTGGTTTTGGACTTGCCAGCCTCCAGAGTTGGACTCCACTACAGGGTGTATTCTAGGACGAATTTCCAACCGGTGACGACCGTCCAATGAAGAGTGGGGGGGGGGGGGGGGGGTCCGGGTGCCCCCCCCCCCCCCCCCCCGGAAAAGTTTTTCAAAATACAACCCAAATATGGCACTCGACAGCAATTTAACAGATTTCTTGGTGCTGGAGTACAAACTCGTGACCCTAGTACCAGCCCACGCTGCTTCGCTGGAAGTATCCGTCCAGAAAAAAGCGTTTGACCATTCACAGCTCCATTCACCCACAGAAAAGTACGGGCGGTTGGAACTGATTTGTAACTTTTCAACCGGTCGCCAACAATTTCAACCGGTCGAAAACCGGTTGGGGCGGTTCTAGAAAATTCCCTGCACTAGTAGCATGGAACAGGTGCTGTGCTAACAAATGTGTTGATGCATGAGCGAAGTACTTCTTTACGTGGAATAAACTGGGCTGACAACCAAAGTCACCTGCGTATTCCCAACACCGAGTCCCGAGTCTTTAGTTTTCTTGGTACAGTACATTTTATTCTTGCACTTTCCCGCTGTTGCATGTTGTGTGGAGTCACTGGAGTGTATCCGAATACTAGTACCAAGTGCCAAGTACCAAGCGTGTATATGCGTTAAGTACATCCAACGAGTATTGGGGTGACACCACGTTGTTCCATGCTCGAGTACTCTGAGGAGGTGGATAACATCTTTGGCAATGTTGCTTAGAGGTCACCTGCATTATATCCATGGTTTCTTTGCCGAGTCATTTATTTCTGATGCTGTGTGTCTGTGTGCGTTCGTGTGCCTGTGTGTGCTTTCATGTATTCGTGCATGCAGGAGGTTACTGCACGATCTCAAGCTGTTATCAAGAAGAACTGCCGCAATGCTGTAGCGCTGGATTCTGAACAGGTGAGCTGAAGAAGCTTTGTAAGAGTACAATTCAATGTCACTTCCCTGTACTGTGCTGCAATACATGATGCCATATCATAAGGATAGTAAAAGCATTAGGGCCACTTCACGTTAGTGTGGGGGTGGGGTGGGGCGATGCATGTGTGTGTATGCATTGTGCAGTTGCATACTGGAGTGAGTGATTGGTTATGGCTGACACTTTTAGAACTGCCATTCATAATGTATGTGTAGTAGAGTCTGTCTTTCGCGACCACCCCACGCCATAGTTCACAGAAAACAGGGTTTTTAGACCGGTGATCCTTCTTCACAGTTAAAAATGCATGTATTGTATCATTTGTATGGTTCTCCCAAGACATTTAGGCTCTCATTGCAGTGGCCGCTCAATACACTTGAATACAGTCATGTACTGTACTTGGATGCGACTCTTGCTGGTGGTTATTGGAATTGATGCTTGTTGCCTGTTCACCAATCTGTTTGCTACATGATGTGATGCTGTTGCTGGTATTGTCCTGTGATTGTGTAATGTGTGGTGTGCAGAATGAGTTTCAAGTCAAGGATATGGTATCTATTGTTGACGGACCACACTCGGTATGTGCACATGTTGTCACCTGGTGATTTACTGCATTGATCAATTCTTTGCCTGGCCTTGACTTTAGGGTGCGGTTGCGTGGTACCATCTAGAAGAGGATCAAACATTTAGTGCACCATGAGCAGCCTCATGCCAAACGGTACTCCAGAAACAGAAACTACATGTAGTAGTAAGAGTCACTTGGTACGGTAAAACGAGTACATGCCAAGTGCAAAATAAACTGCTCTGGCTGCTCTAGCCTCTTGGCCGATCCAGAACAGGTGCAGTCCCGACAAAGACCCTACCCATATGCAATGCATCTGTGGTTTGTTCTTCTTGACAGCGTATTTGCCTATTGTCATCATCACGTTAGGAAAGCCATGCTTGGATTTTGTAAAATGACAGTCCATGCATCTTCCACCCTGCCTTGTGAGGTGTCGAAAGCTATCTATTGTCATGGCATAAGCAACTAGGCCGCTCTAACTATTGTGGTTGTGTAATCTCTACATGTGTATGTTATGATCTTCTAGCCTGGCCTTTACATGTACTGTAGATGACGACTGATGCTGATACATGTACGTGACCACTTATGTATGCTGCATGCCTGTTGAAGTTCATGTACATGTACATGTACATCATTTTGAGTGTAGTGCATGGTGTAATTTGTGTCCATAGGGAAAGCAAGGTGAAGTCAAGCATCTTTTTCGGAGTTATGCCTTCATTCAAGTTCGTACAATGGTGGAGACAGGCGGTATCATTGTCGCACGAACGCGTCATGTTCTTTTGGCTGGTGGTCCTAAAGTGAGTGTTATGTGCGCGTGTATGTGTATGTGTGCATACCCACGGGTGTGTGGAGTAGAACTCAGCTCTAGACGAACACAGGACAACGCTATGTTCTGGATATTGTGTGGTAAGATATCATCAACTGTGATTCTCAGAAGTGCCTTCATTTCCTCCAAAGCAAGGCATGTATAGTACTGAGCTGTAAACATGATGATGCCTATGTTGTTTGTTTGTCACTGCAGAACATGTCGCGTGGTGCCAGTGGTGCGTTTGTTGCCATGTCCCCACGACTATCCAGTCCAGCACATCCGAGCAGTAAGTCATTCAGCACACATGTGTGTTTGTGTGCAATGCTTCTCATTGTGTAGACAGTGCTTTCACAGCCGTGCTGTATTTCCTGGCATTTCACGGTTTCTTGCTCTTGTGTTGCATAGTAGTTCATGGTGGCTCCTGTGATGTACAATGTAGATTGTTGCTGGTTTGGATCTGCACTCATATCTCGTTTATCCGAGCGGTCCGGGACCGGGCACTGCCCGTAATTTTGAAATGTCCGTAACTCCGAATCACATATATTTTGATGGGGAAAGACCGTAGATATGGCGTGTGGCGTCACTTTTTCCTCAGAAAGTAACAAAAGAGTAGTTATATTTCTTCTGAAACTCGCCCAAAGGGTGCCCGGTAGACCGAAGTGCATGTAACTTCGGTGTCTGGATAACCAAGGTATGAGTACCTGAAAGGTAACTGGTCACTGATGGATATTTAGCCTAGAGGAAGAACATCAATACGTATTGTTCTTATCTCATTATCCTTGGGCACAATACGTGCTGGCTTTGATCATACATGTATGCTCTGGTCATTACCAGCACTTTGAAATCCACACAGGAGCATACAGTGTGAATACTGCAGTACTGAAGTAGTAGTCAGTAGTACGGTACTGTGCTTTGTATGAACAATGTGTAGCCTTGTTCACTCCTTGCATGGGGAGGTGGCGCATGCTTTTGTCCTATGTTCATATATCCTGCGTGTCTGTGTGCCTGTGGTGTACAATGTACGCGTGATATGTTATGTGCATACGTGTAGGCGGTCGTGGGCGTGGGGCTCAACGCGGTGCAAATGCCGGTGGTGGTCGAGGACGAGGTGGTGGTAGAGGTGGAGGTAGAGGTGGTAGAGATCAGGAGTTGATTGGAAAGACCGTTCGAATCTCACAGGGAACCTTCAAGGGTGAGTTGTTATTGTGTGCACTGATGACAGTGATGTGTAAAAACTGATCTTTATGCAACGGTAACGATACCCGTACCTTTGTGACTAGACCCATGCTCAGTTGTTCCTGATTGTTTTGTTCTCTACGTCTATGCTGCTGCTACTGTTGCTACTGTTGTGTATAGGTTACATGGGAATCGTCAAGGATGCCACCGACACTACAGCTCGTGTTGAACTGCACGCCGACTGTAAGACTATCACAGTCGACAGAAGTCGTTTGTCAACTGTTGAGTAAGTGTATGCAGCTCTTGCACTGAAGCATTCCACGTTGTGTGCACATGCTTGCATGCATATTTGCATATGGATACATTTATTTGCAGGGTGTTGAAATTCTGGTTTATGTTGTGCAACAAGTGTGAGCAAGCCAAGTTAAAGAGTGTTCTTTGTTGTGTACTGTAGAGCCGAATACTGGCGCCATCACGGTCCTTACCGAACCTCTCTAACTGCTGGCTTCAGTGTGTTCTCATGCCTATTCAGTTGCTTCCAAAGATTCTTTGGGGGCATATAATCCGTCTTGTCCTTGTTCTTGTTGCTTTTCCTCACTGCTGCTGGCCTTGCTGTTGCTACTGCTGCTGCTGTTGTTGTTGTGTGCAGTGCTGTTGGTGGTGGTTCCACGCCACACTACTCACAGACGCCAGTGTACGGTAGCCGCACGCCCATGTATGGCTCACGCACACCCATGTATGGTGCCGGTGCAGCCGGATCTCGTACGCCAATGTATGGTTCACAGACGCCACAGCATACACAGGATGGTATGTATGGAGTGCACCCCGAAATGCACAACTACCTGACTCTGTCCAGATTTAGTTTCGATACTGAGTAGGAATAGCATTCCCTTCCATGTTTCTGTGGCTCTTCCATGCACACAGCGCACGGCATGCGAATGCATGCCCAGTGAAGAAGAAAAAAAGCTTTTCGTTCCGTGTACAAAGCAAGGCTGGTCTGGTTACCAGAAGTAAAAGACGTTTTGGTATACCTGATTGTTTTTTCTTAACTTGTGACTATTATAGGAAGTCGCACGCCTCATTACGGTGAAGGTGGTCGTACACCAACGCACGCACCTGCCTGGGACCCAACGCAGGCGAATACGCCCGCAAGGTATGTGCTCTGAATCACTGCCTGTACTGCGTGGTACTTTGGAATGTCTGGACACTGCGTCTGGATGTCCTGGCTCTCAAGTTTATTCCATTGCTTATAAATGTATTGCAGGGAGCACACCGCACATCCTAATAGGTATGCACAGTTGGTCTACTAAAGGCATGCATGTTGGTGTGGGTACGCAGTTGATCTAGGCATACACGTTGCTGTGTACTGTAAGTCTACAAATGTTCAGTCCATTCAAGTTTCAGCCTCCCAAGGCTAGAACCCATTTCGGCTGCATCAAATTTTCGACCTGTACTGCTGCCGCCTGTAGACACTGTCACACTGAACCTTGCAAAGCAAAATTTCGGCCGAAAATAAATATGCGCTGAATATTTGTTGACTTACAGTAGGCACTACTAGGCAGCACTGATAGAAATGCCCTGTTGGAGTTGATTTGAGTTGCATGTGTAAAGCTCAGGTCGGGCGGGCTAACACTTTTCAGCTTGATTTACTCAGGTCGGGCGAGCTAACACTTTGCGTGATTTGCTCCGGTCGGGCGAGCTAACACTTTTCAGCGTGATTCTTCTGTCTCGTATCTTTCTCTCATCCTCTACTTTTGATTTTCTCACTACATGTACTTTCTTTTGATGTTGCTGTTGTCATTGCTCTCATTTCCTTTTTCTTGTGATGGTTGTTTTCTGATAGAGCCGATGAGTTTGACTATTCGTATGAAGGTAGTACGCCATCACCACAGGTAAGAAGATGGTCTTGCCTGGCTTCACTCACCTGCCACAGAGATGCCAAACATCCTGTGCAGTATTTTAAAAATCTCTTGGGCCAATGTTCTAGCCAGACCTGAAGTTGAACTGTGCTTTTGTGCACTTTTATGGTGCTCTGTATGTACTAGGTATGCATATGTACAGTTGGAGCCAAAGACATTCGACTCCTTTCACAGTGAACTGTGCCACTTGCAGGCCCAAATACAACATCAGCCTGCATGCATCTGACATAGCTTGCGCTTACTAGTGCATTTGTTCACGTAACCGTGCGGCGCAGTGGTCAGGTTTCTTTGACGCCAACTGTACTGTCTGCACTGCTGTTGCTGCATATTGTAATCCATATTGCTTGGCAAGTCACATAGGTGGGTTGTATGCACTCTGCTCTTCAGTTTTGATCAGTCTTCTTTTCTTTTTCGTGGTTCTCCTTCCAGCTCGGATATTCTGTCAAACCCGCAACACCAGGTGAGGACATTATCATGCCACCTTGTTTATGTTATGTTTGCTTAGCTTGCGTGGCCATTGAGGAGAGAAATAGAATGAAAGGAAATGTGTCAGTTAGGACTACTTCCTTCATGTTGTTATGATCGCATGTCGTTGTAGGCATGAAGAAGAATCTGATGTGTTTGTTGTTTAGGTGGTGTTTACGGTGGCCCAGCTACGCCGTCAGGTTACAATGCTGATACGCCAGCACCGTATACACCTGGAACACCGCAGGGATCCATGTACGGTACTGACATGACCTACTCGCCGTACACTGCGTCTCCTGCTTCGGCTAACACTCCGTACGCTGTGCCGCAGTCACCATCAACGTATAATCCACACACACCGGGTTCTGCTTTGGAAGAGGGTAAGCACATACACATGTAGCTGTACACATGTAAGTATGCACAGCATCCGCCATCTGTCCCGTTGTTCTTGCATTGTTTTCCTTTTTTGAAAGGTTTGATGTGGCATTTAGTATGTGTTACTCCTGCCACCTTCCTTTTGTCAGAGAGTTCCAACATTATTTTGTGTTCTGGAGACACCTACTGAAGTACTTGTATGAATGTTGGCTTTTTAAGTCCCATCCTTATTGCTGGTGTCTTTGTTTTGATGTTTTGTGAACATGTAGCTGCTACTCCTGCCATGCCAGATTGGCTTGTTGCTGGTGTTGAAGTCCGCATCAGTGACTCATTCAAGGTTCGTTGTGATTGTTGGTGTGCGAATAGTGCAGGATTGATTTTGCTGTGTTGCGCTCAGCAGCAAGTATACGTTTGTAGCAGCGGTGTGTGTATTTGGTGGTGGTGGTTGGGGGGGGGGGGGGAGCAGCACTGTACAGTCAGACCTCGCTTAACCGCACACATCCGTTTACCACAAACAATACCCGGATAGGCGAGGGAACCGGATAATCGAACACGCATACTGTATGTATGCATGACATGTGCTGTAAATCGGTAACCAGCGATTTTTTCCGGATGGCGAGGGATCCGGATAAAAGAGGACCGGATAAGCGAGGTCTGACTGTACTTGGTTACCAGCTTCTTGTTTTAGTCCATTACTGCCAAGATTCTGAGCTAGTTAGCTATCTTGCATACCTACTTCAAAGACGTGGTTGTGATGAATCCATGAGAGCTCTCCTTTCTCTCTCTGTGTATTCAATCATGCTCACAGGATGCCCAGTTGTCAGGTCGAAACGGCGTAATCAGGCAGCACACCGTAAGGCCTTGCTTGTGTCCTTCTATTGAGTGTTTGTGTCTGGCCTCTATCCAAGCATTGCCTTGGGCTTGGCTTTGTGTGCATTTGTTTGGCCAAATTTGCGCAGGTCTGCGTCCGTTTTTAGCTACCTGGTAGAGTAGAGTACAGTCCCTCTACCGTTAGAGGTAGACGGTAGAGGCAAATGCACGAACGCTATTCTACCGGATTTAGTAGTTTTTCACGATATGTACTTCCTCCCCGTCATTAAAATTGTCGCTTCGCACATCGCAAAGTTTGTGACTTGGCTCGTCTTAGTCAGACTGTCGGAATCGCTGTTTTCTGTGTTCAAACATTGGTGCTACCCTTCCTGCGCAATGTCTACTTGTTACTGAAGCCGTGGTGGTCTCGGACTTTGTCGGAGCTCTCTTCCGCACCAAGCAAATTCATCACGCTCCGCACTATTCCGCCCCAGAGCGCATATTGTTTGTCTGGCGTTCGTGCCGTCCCACATCGTTCGCGTGGGCATTTATCAATACCGCATGCTCGGGTATAAGAATCCTGGTATCTCTCCTGAATGCGAAATGCTGAAGTTGACGATGTCAAGAAGAAAGTGTTCTCAAATTCCTAAAATGCGCTACTTGTGGCGCATGGTGCTGCGAAGGTAGCATGTCTGAAAACACCAACAAATCAGCGAAACGCTTGCCAAGGAAAGAAGGTGCAGATCTGCTTACCCTGTCCCGCTGAAAGTTCGTTACAGTGTACTCGAAAATGCTAGCTTGCCTTCATCGCCTGCCACCTGGAGGCATGGATCGCTTGAAAACGAAGTCTCTTGACCTGAATTATTTTAACGAGCGTTTTGTTCAAGGCATTGTTTGGTGCTGAAGGGTCTGCCTCAAACTCTGATGAAGACGTCGACTTTAGCTGCAAGTGCAGCGAAGCGGGAGGCCACAAACTAAAGCTTGATCCGTCGACAATGCTCTGCCTCAATTTCTAGCTGATTTCTTTGCCCTTCGAGTGGACAAAATAAATTCGAAAATCGCTCTGAGAAGCGACAATTTTTAATGACGGGGAGGAAGTACGTGAACTGTTTATCTTCTGTAAGGAGTTGTGTACAATTCCTTGATTTTGCTGGAAATCCCTTAGCTCTACCAACTTCTACCGGCTTCTACCAACTGTTTTCTGGTAGAGCCGGTAGAGGAAAGTAGAATCTACGCTTTTGAGTGGAAAAGAACGAACACCTCTACCGAAAGAAGTAGTTTCTACCACAACCTGTAGATCAAAAACGAACGCCCCCTTAGAGGCATGTGTACTTTAGCATGCCTTGGTTGTTTCGGTACATGCTCATCCCTTGCCTTCGATTTTAGAGCCTGCTGAGTTATTTTTGTTTTGTCGGTGCAATCTTTGTTGCTGATTGTTTTTTTGTAATGATTTTTGTGTGTGTATGTGTATGTGTGGTTATTGTTTCAACTGCATGCGTAGGGTGCCACCTGTTCTGTACACGTGTTTGAGAAAGGCTATGACATTGATCTACCCGTCGCAGCTCTCAAGCAAGTTCCTCCTTCCAAATCATGCAAGGTAAATTGTACTTTAGGAAAGCCTGTCATTTTGTTTCAGAAATAAGAGAGCTTCCACTCTGCACCTGCGCCACGCATGCCGTGTACATGTACCTGAAAATCTTTCAGGAGTTGAATATGATGGTACAGGACACATACGTGGCGCAGGCGACAGAATGGAGCCATCCCACTGGTTACTACGGGTATATGAGATTCTCTGCGGGATGTGTTTGGTGGTACAGGACATGTACAGGTGCCCAGGCCTGGCGTCATGTCACTACATATGAGCGTGACTTAAGCCAAAAAGGACATGCTGTGCACACGTCATGGAGTCGGCAATGCAAGCTGATGTTGACCCATGACCTGCTCCGTTGGCCACTTTCGGGATCACTTGGTCACGTGATATGCAACCAGTGCCCCCCCCCCCCCCCCACACACACACACAAACAAACAAACAAAAACAAAAACAGATCCACGGTTCATGTGAGACTCGGCTAGAGGCCGAGTTTTCCGCATTCGTAGGAACGCCACCGCCCTTCAAGGATCAGAAGGATCACACAAACAAACATGCGGTGAATACACCAGACGTGCTACATCACTTTGTAGCGTCACTCGTCTGTGGCATAGCTTCTATGTCTTGGTGTTAGTGTAGACATTACTCAAGCTCAAGGGTAGAGGTAGAGAGGATGGTGTCGTTTCAGAGCGGTATGACAGTGGATAACTGCTTACCCAAATACTCATCACTGAGACATCAGCATGTATCGTTCACCCAAGATATGTTTTATATGAGGAAGCTGATGTGTCAAAATTTGTTCCGAGGTCGTCTATCGAATTGAGCTATTCTAAGTTATTGTGCTGGTCTGTTGTCTTTCCTAAATTTTCCATATCGAATAGGGTGTCACGATGTGGCTCCAATATGGAATAGTTTGTACTTGTAGTCCATTCAAAGCTCACCCTGAGTTCTGAAATATTCAATATCCTAAGTACTATCGCTCCACGCGGCTAGTACTGAGAAATGATAAACCTTGTGTGTGCCTCCATTAGTTTCAAAGTCTTTTCCACTGGTCTAAACGTCATACATGTTGCTATTTTGCGTAACATTCTAATATGTCATCCTGAGTGTCACTAGGATGGATGTGATGACCCCGAAGTTAGAAGGCCCGGATTTGTGATGCAGGCCCAGAATTAGTGTGCAACTCCCTGTATAGTCTGCCAAATAACCGCTATCTGTTGTGCGATGTGTTTGTTGTGTGTAGGTAATAGTTCTTCACTGGGACGCAGATGTAGAATGTAGAACCGGCAGTCTACTGAGCATTGACGGTTCTGACGGTGTTGTCAAGATGGATGATGGCAATCTGAAAATCATTCACCTCGACTCCTTGGCAAAGTTAGCGGACAGATGACCCTCATGATTCCTCTAAGGCCTAAGGCCTTCTCTCCGCCTTTCAATATGTGTGGTCTTGAGCACAGTTTGTGTCTGTGTGTGTCTATGTGTCTCATGGCATACATTCTCAATTGATACATACGCTCTCTCAGCAAACGCATGCATTACATTGCCATGATATATGTAAGGTTTCATGCCAGTTCACCACTCACGTGTCTTTACTACTCATACTCGTACTCTTCAGTCATCTTCAGAAGCATCATCATCTTTCATATGTTTTTAGTTATTCTCATAAAACAGTTGAACCATAGTGTGTAGCACGAAATGTGAAACTCAACAGTAATTCTAATAAACACAATTCAACCCATTCGTGGGCACTACGTAATGCTGACTTACTCTTTTTCTTTGCCATATTACTTTGCTGTCATGTGCTACCATGGTGAGGTGTGCAAGCAAGAGTACATAAACCCTGGTATGCACTCTTGGTGCAAGTGGACACGTGTGTGTATCAGGGAGTCGTACCCAAACCGGTTTGGGTATGACTCCTTGGTGTGTATGCATGGGGCCATGGTGGCTTTCAACACTAACCGGGTACATGTACCTGGCCTGGCAGCTGTGTCACGGTGTGTTTTCCTTTCTCGTTCTCACTCTGTTTTGTGTTTTCATATGCCGTGCTGCAGTCAATTGGGGGGGGGGGGGGGGAGAGAGAGAGAGAGAGAGAGAGAGAGAGAGAGAGAGAGAGAGAGAGAGAGAGAGAGAGAGAGAGAGAGAGAGAGAGAGAGAGAGAGAGATTTGGCACCATCGTGTCCAGATGCCTTACCACCACACCAGCTGGAGTTGCTTGTCCTGCTGACCTGGCTCTGTAGCTGTGGTGCTGTCTGCTACAGATCGGCAGTCCAGGGTGTATCCACAACTCCCCATTACACACATCATTCGGCAATGATGCATACATCCTACACTAGCTAGTAGCTATTGAAACAATCATGTAAGCGGTGTGGATAGGGCGTGAGAGTTAGGTATGATGCTTGAATAAGTTGTCCCTTTTAATTATTAAAGTCCATGGTTGGTGATCATGTACATTCCTACTACCGGTACTAGTACTGTACTTTGGAATTACTTCATACAGCTGTTTTGAGCATAAAACTCACGTTAGTGAAGGTAGAATGGCTAAGATAGCGAAAATCACCCTTTCGTAGCCGGAGTACGTTTATATACATGTAACACAGAGGCAATATGCTTTGGTTCTGCAAGAGTGCTCAATGCCTGATTCAGGCAGAGCGGCGTACACAAAGGCACACAATGAAAACCTTGGCAAATTAATTCCGTTGTGACTCAGAGTTTCATGGCTGAACCAATCATCAGACCCTTGTCTGATGATTGGTTCAGCCATGAAACTCTGAGTCACAACGGAATTAATTTGCCAAGGTTTTCATTGTGTGCCTTTGTATATACATGTAACAAAATGTATCATGAAATTCGTTATAACTATACCGGTAAGTGTCTGGAGTTGACTGTTAACATGACTATAATGATTTCTATAAAATAATCTATGGCAGGATCTTCATAACACTACCGTAAAAGTCCGCAATATATTCCCCAAATATAAAGCACCGGTATGTTTTGCACATTGACATGCTTGTCGTAGTATGCATAATTATGTACATGCAAACTTGATGGCAACTGACCCTGTAAATTGTACTTACTGAGTGAGCTAAACGTGACATGGAGAATTTGGAATAATAAAAAGTGGATTAAAACTTGGTTCAACAGTAGAATAGCAAATAGAAATACACATACAGTACTAGGCTCCGGCTGTTGTGATTCCAGCACAAAACCAGCCAGGAGAAGCTTAAATAAAACGGCTTGCGTTAGAATAGCAGGGCCGATGCAATAGAGTAAAGTTTCGGAATAAAAATAAGTTAGTACTAGAGGTGTCCTACTGAACATCAAGCTGGTTCGGACCAAAAGACAACAGGGCCTAACGTCACAAACATATTCTATGCGGATATCTCAAGTTTAAAGAATAGTTCGTATTGCAAGTAAAGATCACTTAATTTTCCTTGGAGTGCCTGATGAACGAGATGCGAAAAAACGCTCTTTGATGTATATCCTCAAGTCCTCGACTGGATTACTGTAGACGTTGGGGACACGTTCGCCATTCCAGTGTTCCTCCACAAAAGTAAACAGTGGAAACCACTCGCGCAATCGATGCTGGTCACCTGCCATAAGAGCCCTGGAGTTAGCCAGCGCATGGTAATAGAGGAATAGACGGGACGTGATGACAAACGCAATGACCACATCGATGCTGTAGTGTTCATGTGCGGCGAGAATGAAGAAAATTCCAAAAATGTTCATAATCCATGTCGTCATGTGCAGTGTTCGCCAGCGACGAGGTGTATCTGTATGATTGATGGAGGCAGAACAGCATTGAAACCAGGAAGAGAAAGTCACTAACAAAGTAACAATGTAAGATGGAGACAAGCAATACTCGTGAAGCAGCATCAGCCAAATAAATTGAAGTAAAGACAGTACTTTCTTAACCATCCGAGCAACAGTGCCGGCCAGGGTTCTACAAGCAGCTACTAGTATATTCATAAGAATCATAACCGAACTAATTACGCGTTGCCTGAACCCAAAGTAAGTTTACATGGCAAACATATAGTATTTGACCAGTTATAAGTCGACCCCCCCCACGGAAGTTAAACCTAGGTTGTAAGTCGACTACCCCTTTTTATTTATTTATTTTGGCCATAAAAGGTCGACTTATAACCGGTAAAATAGAGTGTGATGAGTTCCGTGGTAGCCCCCCCCCCCCCCTCCCAACCCCACACAAGCATCCGGAGCAAAGCAGCAGTGAGTTCCAGCGCACAGAACAGTGTTCATGGTGCTTGAGTGATGCAGTCAGACAGGAACATGAATTCGGCCAGAGAAAGAAGCCTCTTCAGTGCAACTTACATTCCGTAATTGCTAGATTCAGCATAGTGAGTACGGCTGTGTGCCCACTAAACATGTAGTCACCGCATGTATGCACTCCAGTCAATGACATGCCAAAGCCACTGGTGATCTCCATAGAACGCCACAGTATCTCCTGGAGACAAGCAATGCCAAAGAGCCACACCACGAGCAGCAGCAGCAACACAGTAGTGGCAGCACCGTTAAGTAGTGTTTACTAGTCATTAGACATGGTTAGCATTTTACCGTTCATGCTAACTTCGACCGTCGGCCTGTAACGTTGTTTGTGTGTTTTCAAGACACTGGTTAGCATTTTGGTTTTTGACACGACGATCGACTTGTGACGCAACCCGAGTCGAAATCTTACCGTTCCGTTCTCCCGCTAAACAGAGCTTTCTATCGTCCAAACGATACCACGCCGACGGTATTTTGGGTGTTGGGTGCGAGTACCGTTGAATTTAGCGTGAACGGTAAATGCTAACCACGTCTATTGTAACACACTCAAACAACCCAAGCACGAGCCCTTTGAGGCATATCATAAGCCATAACACCTGTATTTAGCTACCACTGCAAGAAGAGAACACTTGTCTTTAGAAACTGTTGATCTCACGCCCTCTTCGACCATGCTACAACACATACTTATACGTCATGCGTGTACAAAGGTCATGCTTTAAAAGCAACAGATTTATACGCGAAAAAGTGCTCAATGTGCCAGGGTGCAGAGTGGTATACAAGAAAAATAGGAGACTAGAGGCTGTTTTGGCGTAACTAACTTTCAAAAGGTTCACACACACACACACTGGGAATCATCAGCCAGCATTCCATATCCGTGTCTGAACATGTGTGTACAAAGACCAGTGTATGGAGAGCACCCAAGCTTTGGAGTGGGTCAACGTGGATAGGTTTCAATGCACTAACAATACTACATCAGCAATGTGGATGCAAGTCCTACTACACGCATGCATGATTGATGAGCATCCACTGTACACAGCATTACTAGTACGCACAAGAATCCAGCACTATTCGTATCACTGGGTCTTACCTCATAGGAGTCAAACTTGAGCGGCTTGCACTTTAGGTGGTCACCAGGCACCGAGAGTGATGTTACAAACAAAGTGCAACATCTCAACAAGAACACAGTGCCAAGCAGACTGAACAGACGGCACATGATTAGAAGCCGATGCTTGTGGAAGAGCAGGATGGAGACCAAGGTCAGTGAAAAGAACACTGCAATGGCCTGCAAGATACAACAAAAGGAAACAACTTCTAAATATCCCTCAAACTAATGAAGAGAACACAACAGCACGTTGATTACAACAGAGCTGTAAAACAAAACCTTTACATGGAACGATGTATTCTCTGAGCTAAAGCATCATCCTTAGCATGAACTCAAATGCTAATACCTGAACAAGCATATCAAAACTGATATTCACCTTTCATTCACAGAGGACCCACAGTGACAAGGCACACAGCAATACCGTGTGATGCCAGCAAAGAGAGTCAACAACTTTGAACTCACCTCAGAGACCTGGAAAGCCCATGGGATATGTGGAATGTTATCAAGAGCAATGTCAGGAAGCGGCCGATACGTAGTCATATCCGGTACACGTGAATGAACAATGGTCATGGTGAATGCCGTCAAGAATATGACAAACCATCCATACAACATGGTGAACAAGACTTTTCTCGGTGAAGTATTGTCGGGTACATGTGCGTTGAGCCGGCGCTTACGTATGTGAATGGATGATACGCCATCTGTGTAGATGTCATCACTGAAACAAACACGACAACATAGAAGAACGCCATAACATAAATTTCGATATAGAACTTTTGTAATGTACAAAGCATACACAGTGACACAGTGACACACACACACTTGAGTATCTGAGGACAACACTACTGTCAAGCCATGTAGCTAAGCCCAGTAGAGTGTCGGCTTAGAAAATGTGACAAGGCAAACCACTGAATCCCACACATTATGGGAAAGATATAGCCACTCTACAACGCTCGATAGTGGCAATATACAGGTACATGTGCATGTAAGTGCAACATGACATCCAGTACAACCTTGCGCAAGTGCAGGTAGTGGTAGTAGTACATGACATGTAATAATAGTAATACTACTACATGCCACGCAGTATGATGGGAAGTGTTTTCACACCAAATTCTGGATACATGTACTGGGCAAACATGGACTTCAGAAAATCCGGTGCAATGTGGATACGAGTCCATGTAAAATCATGAACAGTAGAATCTAGGGAGACGACCTGAGACCATAGTACCTGAAACAATGCACGTTTCGACCCTGGGTTCAAAAGTTGTACATGATCCATGGTGAAGACCTGGGAACCGTGAAAAGGAAATTTCCTTAGGGAGCCATGAAAAATGGATTTTCATGGCTCCCTGGTCTTGCACCACACGATCACTACTTGCCGACTCCAAACACAACCCAGACCAGTGATGCTACATGCAAGGATAAAAACATACGCTAGAATTGTCACTGGAACAGGCATCCGGGAGCGAAACCCACATCGTGTCACATTCCAGACGCCTGTGTCATCTCCCTAGGCCCTTGATGCGACAGCTTCCTGGTATCCATGTACAGTAAGAAGTTTCAATATGGAAGTGTGTGTTCCACTACAGTGATGCTTAATGAAATCCAATTGTGTGATTTAATGGTGCACCAGGTGCTGTGTAGCCCAGCCCTGCAAACGTTGGGATGTGCACCATTCCCACAGCCCCATCCTTGCCAACATCGGGCTGTGCACTGGTGCAGGGTGCTACCTTATTTGTACTGTCGGATTTCATTGAGCACAACTGCGCAAGCAAATACCGGTATATTGTAGTCTAGCAAATCCACTGACCTTGTAGAGCAGGACCGTGACCTCACATCATACGCCAAGCCTAGGTGCCTTGCAGTATCCGGAGTAACGGCAGATAATCTTCGTTTTTGCAAATCTTGTATGGCTTTGTATAAGCGTTTTATATCACCCAAGACACACATGGAGAGCGGCGGTTCTTTCAAGTCCTTCTCCTTTAGGGACAGCAGGACCGGCCCATCCACACAATGAGTGACACAGAGAAGTTCGCAGTACTTCCCCATGTTTGTTCTCTCCAGCCATTCACTAACGTGATCGCAAGTCCACAGCTCCACCTCGTCAGGGAGACAATGACTATCCGTAGCTTCAACTAATTTAACTGTACCGGCGGCATGGGACTTGCCTCCATCGTGATCTTCGTCACCGCTGCTGGGGAGCAACAAGGATGAAGGGGTTTCGCCACCCATCGTACAAAATGAACAATCTGAATTAACAGGACTAAATACCAGATTCCGAGAAATGCAGTAGTCCACAGGACAGATAAAAGACCAATCTCACAATCAAGGTCACTTCTCAAATAGCTTGCTGTTTCAGAGAAGGTTGTACAGCAACCTTCCAACAAACTCCAAATCTGATGAAATAGGTCCTATTCAGTATTTTCACCTTTGTCTACACTGATACATGACGATGTAAGAACTCAAGTGAATTTCTCTGCAGTATCAATTGGCGCTGGCATGAGGCTGATACTGCATGCGCCACGTGGAAATCGGACGGAAACCTACTACGACTACGACTATTATGATGACAACGAAGCTACACAACAAGTGTCGAAACAAAGCAGCTGGCTCGCGCTCGTTCTCTTTCTTTGCTCATCAGCTTTGTCGAAATACATCGATCGAGTGTTTCAAATGTCGGATACGGCGCCGGCGCTGACCTGACACTACGTCACTATTGGGAGTCAGTTACGTAACTGAATCCAGCTTACAAAATCCATGCTTGTACGATGCGTTTCAGTATAATCCAAGCCGAACTGCGCGTTTCAAGCTAGATACGTACATGTTTTGGTGCTAGTATTAGTTTTAGCAGCCCGACACGTGACTTCCGTACACGTTTATTGAACGCTCAAATCTCTGCATGAAAATGAAGAAGGCTTGCACGATGCAGAACCTCTCTAGTAGTATAGCGAGTTTCAAAAAACACAATGACTGCAAGTAGCAAAGTATTTTTGTTGATGTGAGTGGGTTCCTTTCAGCCACGGTAGAACTGAAGACGATTTAGCTCATCACCTACGAGGTCGGTTCTGGGAATCTTTCGAGGTAACCAGGTCGCTCTGCAAAGATATATCCGCGTCTTTCAAAAGGTATTGTGAAAAGCTGGAAAACACCCGAACGTATGAACATTTATCAGTATAACCAAGAGTGCATAAATGTTTATGGACTCTTGGTATAACTTCAAATTCCACTCCACCCTTCGTCGTAATTTTTGTATCAGTGTTGCGCGATTTCCTAATCGTAGATCGCAACGTATTGCTAGTAATTTATTCTGAAAAACACTGGAATGTAGGAAAGTATTGGAAGCCCATGTGTGATGACACGATTTCCTCTCGATTGGGAGAGTTAGACACAACTTAAAATTCACCAATATGTGAAGAAGGAAATCAGTGTCCTCAGCTAAGATTCAAACGCACGTACAAGGTCGCTTGGAAAAAGACTGGGGGAGATACACACGTTCATCCAAAAAAGTTGTATACCCCCCTCTCCCTGCCATGTCTACGTTTCCTGTTTCCTCTGCTCCCATTTTCACTCCGTACATGGATCATCATGACACCCAACCAAAAACTCCTTACGTGGACGTAGACGCAGCGCTTTGTACTGTAATGTGACTGCGATGTTGGTCTCTGTGTGCAGGCCAGCAGCTTGGCAATTTTATCTGCGGGGAATACCTGAGCTGAAACTATACCAAACTCATGCATATTGAATACATACATGTGTACCCAATGGACAAACTGTTTGAAGTTTCTCAAGCTGCTTCTTGTGCCTTGTCAGTTGTGTTAGAGCCGAGGGCAAGTGCTTAAGGTCGTGATGTGAAAATCAGGCTGCAGGTGGTGCATCGTTTACTTTTATAATGGATGCCTTCAAGTACACAAGAGGATTAATGTGTTAGTGTGAAAATGTGTGTTCCGAAAAGAACAACCTTCCCGGGGTGCAGAAGCAGATCTTTACAGGCAGAGGACCTTGCAGCAATGCTACACGGATCTATGGTAGTATACATCAACATGTGCCCATATCTAGAATACCGCACCCTCTCTTGGATGCAGTCACTTTCTGATTTGTATTCGTTTGTAAATGTACGGAAAATACCTGTTCGGTGTGTACGAGTGACGTTAGTAAAAGCCACATGACTACTTTCTATTTTTCACTGGTATCTGTACAGTCATGTACTAAATAGGCCTGTTTGGCAGGCGTGCTGCTGCTGTATTTGTACATGTACTGAATATGCCTGTTTGGCAGGTGTGCTTCTATTGTATTTGTACAGTGCGGATTGGCTATAGGGTTGTCGGCTATAGTAATATACCTCTTATAGTGATCGTATTCTCAAATTCATTTTCGTAAACCACCCCTTTCTATACATATCGGATCGGCTATAGTAATAATCGGCTATAGTAATATATCGGCTATAATGATACGATTTCTGTGTCAAAATGATCTTACTGCATACATTTTTCATCGGCTATAGTGATGATCATAAAAAAAGTATACATCGTACATGGCGAGATCTGATCGCGGCAGCCAGGAAGCGCTGGTACGACTATGATATCCCTAGGAGAAAATTCGAAATGTTTGGCGTTGGCTGTGCTTGTTGTTTCGGGGCATCCTCGAGCGATATTGGAGGCAGTAATGAGTACCAGCGCTGAAGCGCTACCGTGGTCTCTGCCGAGATGTTGGAGAAGGCATTCAGGTAACAGCGAAGACGATCAGGGACGCGGAGAAGCTTCTCCGTGACATACGACATCACGCGTCGATCGACCTGCCACTTGGAACGGTTTCAGCGGTGATGAGTCGAGCGATGGCGACCCAGACTGAGACTCTACTCCCACTAATCGATCCTGTAGATATTGTTGATATGTCGATTGAATGTGTTGAAGGCTTGCCTCACCAGCACAGGCTTGCTTTGCAGCCCCTACTCTCCCTGCTGTTTTGTCATTGTATACTCTGTTGTCTTCTCCCCTTCTGACGAGTAGGTTGTGTACTTAGTAAAAAAATAAAATAAAAAAGTGTTTCTCTTCCAAAAGAACACATTCCTTGAAAACTCATGTCAAAAAGTCACGAAGTTTTTGCTTCCGCAGGAAGTAGCTCTGCCCGGCGCGTATTGCACAGTCACATGCACAGCACGCTTCTGCTCGCTGCACTGATTCGAATGACACCATTCACGCATTTGTCAGGCATACCTAAGTATGCATATCGCCTATAGTAATATATCGCCTATAGTGATATTTTCACGAAAATCAAACACCAACGCTATAGCCGATCCGTACTGTACTTGTATACCTGTTTGGCGGGTGTGCTGCTGTTGTACAGTAAAACCTGTAATGGCGACCACTCGGATATGGCGACCACTCGACCTTGACGACCACTTTTCCTTGTCACGGACGCATTCACATTCAAAACTGCTCGGATAGGGCGACCACTCGCTCAACGCGACCGACGACCACCCACCCGCGACCGCTTTGCACACTGCTACATGTACATTTACATCCACTCATTGCACTGTGCACTGCACCATGCATGGAGGATCTACACATCAGCGCAGGAAACGTAGATGCACATGGTGCATGCAGGATACTTGGCAGGTCTGAGGCCCCCAGGCACATGACTCATAAGTCTTGCATAGTAGCATAGGTGTGTCAGTGTGATACACTGATCGAAATGATAATTATGTCACATCATGTATACTGTGAATATACATGTAGTCACGTGATCCACTGACCCTGGATGAGAAGACCACCTGGCCAAGGTGACCACTTTTTCTCGTCCCTTGATTGGTCGCCTTAGAGGTTTCACTGTATTTGTACTTGTACTGAACATGCCTGTTTGGCAGGTCTACTGCTGTTGTAGCAAGGCACATGATGCTTTTCCTCGTCGATTTTCCAGAAGTAAGAGTCTCGCCTGTACAGCATGAAAGTATTTACTTCAGTGTGTTGATGACTGCCGGTGTGGTGGTGGAGCTGGTTGATCTATGAAGACTGGTGCCCTCTTACTGCAGATTTCAGTAAGCCAAAATGCAAATTTGTACATCCTACTTGAAGTATTCATGGCTCTGTAATGCGTGGTCGCCTCCTTGTTTTGTCTCCAACTTTTCTGCAGCGTTTCCGTGGACAACCAAGTGACTGAAGGAGATTGGATGCATCCTGCACACCAGCTGGGCGTGTAAACAAGTATGTTTTAAGTACTATTTCCATGTACATGTACTCGAATTTCAAAATATGTCCGTGCTCAATATTTTCGGTATGAGGGCAAAAGGCCAGGTTAGGTGAACAGAAATTTTAAGGTACAGAGAAGCAGTTCCCTATTGGATTATGTGTGTTAGTGTTTGTTCGGTGTATTGAAATTTTAGGTATGAAACAGATGCATCGAAAGTACCGAAAATAAAAGTACACTGAAAATTTGTGAAATTACATTGTGTGTTAGTGTACATCATATAGAGAACTGGCCTGTAGGTGGTGAGCTTGCTATTGTTTTGGACAACTGGTTTTCATCTTCTTTCATGGCGTTTGTGTTGTGTGCCCCCCCACCCTTGCCCTTCACACCTACATGATCTATGTGAGTGGTTGAAGCATGGTTTGAAGCATGGTTTGATGATATACCTTACCAGTACCTGTGTGTTTTCTATGTGTTCTTCTTTAGGGCTTGCGTCGCCATGGGGCGAGACAAGGATCGTGACCGCGATCGTGATCGTGATCATGACAGAGATGATCGAGATGAAGACAGAGGAAGGGAAAGGGACCGTGATCGCGACCGTGACTACGAACGAGAGAAGGAGCGAGAACGAGACCGAGATCGGGACAGGGACCGAGACAGGGACCGTGACAGAGATCGAGAGCGTGACAGGGACAGGGACCGAGACCGTGACAGAGATCGTGACAGAGATCGGGATAGGGATCGTGAAAGAGATCGAGAAAGGGATCGGGACAGAGATCGAGAGCATGGCCGAGACAGAGACCGTGATAGAGATAGAAACCGTGACCGTGACTATGATGACAGCCGTAGTAGTAGAAAAAGGAAGCATCGAGCAGATGGTGGCGATGAAGAGGAAACGGAAGAATCAGAAACCAAACAACCTCGGCAGGTGGGTTATTTCTAACTTTCAACATACAGTAGTCGACTCCTGATTTTACAACAAACACGAATGGGCAGGAAAATTATTTCTTTACAGCCGAAGTTCTTCATAACAGAAATTCACTCTGACCTACGCCTGCCTTGTGGTCTGTAACCGCATCAGTGCACTTGCTTTACATGCTCCCCTACAAGATATACTTCATTATAAAGTTGTGGTGTGGCCTCTATCCCAGCTGAGACCGTTCAGCATTTTTATTCCGACTTTGAAACTTGCTCCTCCGCTGATACTAATGGTGCTTCAGCTTGTATGCTGCTTTTATTATCTCTCTTCTCATTGGTTGTGGATACTCCTGTGTGTATTTAGCCTGTGTCCATTGAGGAGCTTCTAGCGAAGAAAGAAGCAGAGAAGGCGGCGCAAAGCAAGGTCGGGTGATTTGTTAATGTGCTCTGTTTATGTTCGAGATATTTGAACTGCATGGCGTAAATCGGATGGTTAGACATAGTAACTATTAGTTAAAGATAGTGAAGTGTGTGAAACTGCCAATACCAGTACAAGTAGCAATAAACTGGCCTCTCGGTCTTGTCTTACCTGCCACAGCCCCCTTTTTCTGCACACTTTTCATGTGCCTGTGGATTGCAATAATTGCAATGTACATAGTAAGTTGTACCATAAAGTAAATTCCACATGCGTGTGTGGGTGTGTGTGTGTGTGTGTTGTCTCGCAAGACACAAATGTAGCGCAGAGCGAAGTCTCCCCATCCAGGATCAGCGTGGTGCTGTGCAGTGTGGTACATGCAGGAGGTGGTTTCACTCGCATGGTGGCTTGCGTGTACATCATTGTTTGCCCCTGGAACCATCGGAAGCATCCGCGCCGGCATCACCTATTCCGCTCAACGTCCCAGCTTCTCTCTTGTGTGTGACATGCAATCGGCAATTCAAGTCAGTGCCTGGTTTCAGACGTCACAAGTGTGACCGTGGTCATCGAGCAACCAAGTCTGATAGAGCGTCGTATGGTGTTCGCTGTTCTCGCTGCAGCCGTCAGTTCCGTCGACAGAGTGACCTGAGTCGTCATCTCCGTTTCTGCTCCTGACAATGACTCTGGCTCCTTTCGGAGTGGTGTGGCCCTTGTGGCATCCAAGCTACAGTAGTAGTAGTAGTGTGTGTGTGGGTGCGTGCGTGCGTGCACGCGTGTGTGTGTGTGTGTGTGTGTGGGTGTGTGTGTGTGTGGGTGTTTGTGTGTACTGCCTACCTCTCCCCTAACCTCTCTGACAGTACCTCCCTTCGGGGAGCGGCTTGGCCATTTCTGGCAGCTGTCAATAGGAGTAGTAGTAGTAGTAGTGTGTGTGTGTGTGTGTGTGTGTGTGTGTGTGTGTGTGTGTGTGTGTGTAACCAAATTGTGAACTGGTACCAGACCGCTAACACATCTCGCATGGAATGGCGATGTAGATACCAAGACCAGGATAAGGAACTGGCCGCAGCAGCCCCCGTTGAGTGCCCCACCTGTGGAAAGGTCTGCTCTAGACCAAGCGATCTTAAGCGCCACAAGCGCACAGCGGAGCGTCGCAAGCCAGTCCATCAGCAGCGTGGTGCATGTCAATGCGCAGATTGTGGGAAATGGTACCGTAGCAGGGGTGGACTCGCTGTGCACAGGTGTCAGCCTACCTCAATCGCTAGCCAGCCCGCTTCCGCTCCTTGTAGACCTCGCCAGAACCGCCCAACAACGGATGAACGTGCCAAGTTTCCACTAATGTGTCAGCACTGCTCTCGGAGATTTCGGCAGTCCAGGGACCTGACCCGGCACCGGCGTGTTTGCTCCTCTCCCTCCTCCCGCAATGGGACCACGTAACCTTTAAGGCAGTGGGTCAACAGGACAGGACAGGACAGGTGTGTGTGTGTGTGTGTGTGTGTGTGTATTCATGTGGTTTGTGTATGCATGTTGTGCTGTTATCTGCTTGACTAAACACAGCCAACCTTCCTGACCAAGGAGGAGCGTGCCAAGCTGGCGTTGCAGAAGAGACAAGAAGAAGTTGCTCGTCAGCGAGCCACATCTGATGTAAGACACTACAACCTATTCCATTGTGTGTGTGATTGCCATGACTGGCTGTCATGACTGGATACATTCATGGCATTCTAGTTGATTTTGATTCTCTCTATTCCAGTTACTTGCCATGTACATGTATGTCATGTACTTCATGGATCACAAGAATGTACACTGCTTGTGCCATAGATCAACTGATTTCGTTTCAAACCATTTTCACCGCTTATACAGTAGGTATGTAAGTGCACCCATTTCCAGGTCCTCTCCCTTTTTTAGTGGCTGTAACGTCTATCAACTTCTACCTATGGTATATATGAGCCTTTCTTGTGAGTTGACCAGGTATGATGATGACAGCATATCGTAAGGTCAGGAGCACTGTTCTGCACAGTGTGTCCTCCGCCTTGTGATGTACTGTCATCATCACCATAACTGGTAAACATACATGTATATCTAGTGTGGCATGGGAGGTCTGTTTTTGGACGACATTTTCATTGTGTGAGAAAGCCAACAAACCACCTAATCCCCATACATGTATTTCTATGACATGTCTTATGTGACCTACAGGCAGAGCGATCAGCACGCAGAACATTTGAAAATGAAGCAAGAGGGTCATGTGAGTCTCAAACATTAGCTGTACTTTGCTATGGCCCTGACACAGGGAAGAAAGGTTCCTATGGTACTGCCGAAGAGAATGAGAAATGATGAAAATATAAGGGAATGTGCGTGTTTAAATGGATGTGTGACTGCTCCCTTATCCGGATATTCTCCTCACCCGAACCCCCTGGAGACAGCCCGAGTCCCCAGGGGTGCGGATAGTAGCCACTCTACTGTTGGGTGGTACTGTGAGGAAGGGTGAAGTGTCTCAAAATGGTTCTCACGTACCCTGAATACTAGTATTTCATTGTGTATGTGTGTTGTCACCACCATTCTGCTGCTGGGCTATCCTTTGTCTGTATATGTATTGTCATGACAGTACCACTGCTGTGTTGTCATGACAGCACGAGTGCTGGGCGTTCCTTTGTGTGTTCCTGTAAGGAGTTCACTACAGTTACAGCACACAGTTTTGTGATCACTTTTGACCAACATTTCATCTTCGTAGTAATTTGTTTATTTGGGTCGACTAAAAAAGTATCAGCCGATTATGCTGATTTTTCCTTCAGACCTCTTCCCTTTTCGGTCCCTCAAACTAATGAATGCATGCTGATTAGTGTTATAGATGTTTCACATGCCTTTGCTGTGGGCAGAGAAGCTGGTTGTTGCTATCGTCCATGGCATATTTCTGTGTTCGTGTGTGTGCGTCTGTGTGTCTCTGTCTCTGTCTGTGTGTTTCTGTGTGCTTGTTGATGCTGATTATCACAGACGACAGCCGGGACAGACACCAACGTCATGCTGAGGTACTTTACTGTCATGCAGGTTCTCACACGCAACGGGAAGACTTCGTGGTAGTAAAATAGATATTTCGCAAACAACAAAAAGACAACTCTTTCTCTTCCTTTCGAAGAACCGAACTTGCCGAGCCTCATCGAAAACAAACTCTGAAAAAGCCCTACACTAGTACGGGATTCAGCGCAGAGCAAAAAAATAATTATGAGTCATGATACAATGCATGCAGTGTAGCCGTGAACACTGGTGAACAAAGAATGCAGTAGGTTGGCAGCACGTGACCCGTCGTACCGCAGTACGCGACGGTGTCGCGGCTTAGAAATGAAAGGAAACAATGCGAGAAAAGACTAAAACGAAAATACAATGTCCGGAGCATGACGTCCCTTTGTCAAAACTTAGAAGAAACAAACAAAATGCGACCAAGAATCATTTTGAGAGTCAACGTCAATACTCTTGTGCCGTTGTGCAAATTCTTGTCTTGCATTGTGCAACGCAAGAAACAAACAACCTACGAAATAACTCGTGAGCTAACTGTAGGCTAAATCACTACATGTACGCGAAATCGCGTTCCAAAATAAATTGAACTTTCTGGGACATTTCATATTTCACATCCTGAGAGAAATACTGAATAAATAGTAAATACATCATAAAAAAAACACATGACCATGACGGCCTTCCCAACATTTACTTTTGTGCCATATTAATTTTTTGTGCAGTACTGGTGTCACCGTCATACATGTTTAGTAACCTGTTACAGTATAATAGCATGTTATTTTCATGTTGCTAAGAACGTCTACCACACACCCATTCTTTTCACTGCTGTATTCGTCTGCAATAGTGTGCAAGCTTGAAAATTAGCAGTTATTATTAACTTCCATGCATCCGTGTTGGAATTTTCAAGCCAATGTCAGAGGAGTTCCTCCTCAAGGCCGTGTGCCCGTGCTGCCTTTGTTCAAAGGAAACCGACCTCACCACAATATAGCCCCGAGCTGACACTGTGCCACTTTGATGGCGAGCAGAAATCTTCAACAGTACGTGTATAAGGAAGAGCAGCGTTGGTGGCAGTCGATCCTTACATAAGAAGTTTGGTTTTGTTGGGTGCTAAATAAGAAAAATGGCTGATTGGTGGAGTTCAGCTAGCATCACAGCAGCTGAGAACAAGATTTTCTAGTCCATTCCAGAGAAACGTATCTATTAAAATCAGCTGTGTTTTCGGTTGTATGTATATTATTATTATACGCACGTCCGCGTTTACGTCAACAGTAAGTCCACGTATTCGCATGTGCCAGAAGACAGGCAGAGTGGGCAGGGAGGAAAACAAAAATAAACAAAAATAAATGTAAAACAGCAGGCGATAGGCACATAACTCATGTTCGATGATAGGTGCTCAATGCACGGGATCTATTCGAAAGATCAAAAAAATAAAACAAGAATAACAGACAACGACGATAGGTTTGTAGCTCATGGTCGATGGTAAGTGCTAAATGCACGGGATCTGTACAATGCCTCTGTCCCATCCGTTAGTTACTGCGTACACCCTGGCACAGCTCGCGCCACGCAGGCCTGTCAGCGGCGATGGCCCGCAGGTGCTCCAGGTCTGCCAAGTTCCTCAGACTCCTCAGTCCTGCTGATTCTAGGTCCGCGGATAGTGTGGACACGATGGTTGTCCGTGGCCGCCCTCGCCATACCTTGTCCCCACAGGTGAAGTAACTCCGCATAGCGTGGGCGGCAGGCGTGTCTTGAGGGAGTCTAAGAATATGCCCAAACAGGCCCCAGGCCCCATGTATATGGCCAAAGAATATTCGGTGTAATTGCACCCCAGTGGTGCAGGGTAGTGCTTCTTTGCCTATCAGCGGTGGGTGTCGGTGCCTCTGTCACTAACACATCCTAAATTAGTAGTTCAGTATTGTCTTACTGTCATGTGTTGTTTACTCATTGCAGCGTGGCGACGATTCTGGACGGTTCATGTCGGTATGTTGTTGTTTTGATTTGAATTTAGCACTGCAGCACTTGGTTTTCTGGTTACTGTTGGCAATTAATTCAGAGCGTGATCTGCTTTGAGTGTTGTCTGTTGTGGAGCATTTCAAGTGCAGAATGCAGTACAGTCAACCTCGCTAGTGCCGATTCTCGACCGTGCATGAGAACGTGTCCCTATTCGCTAGTTGTCGTTACTCATGAGGTAGAACATATGCAGTCATCAGATGATTGCTAGGTAGAACATATGCAGTCAAATGATTGCTAGGTAGAACATATGCAGTCAGATGATTGCTAGGTAGAACATATGCAGTCAGATGATTGCTAGGTAGAACATATGCAGTCATCAGATGATTGCTAGGTCTGAAGATTGTGTTGTTATACCTGAGGTCATTATTCACCAGGTTGACTGTACACTCCTTACCAAATGACAAATACTAACACCGGCTTCTACCGTACGCGCTCGAATACAAGCCCCCCTTTGAATAGAACCCCCTCTCAAATAGAGCCCGTCTGTCCGAGGGAATCGAAATAATAAAGTCCTGTCTCGTATAAAAGCCCGGGGCTATAATCGAGCACGCAATTTCCATACAATGCAGTGCAGTATATGAACCGTGTACGGTATGCACGTGCAATATGGTCTACTTATTGCACACAAACTGCAGGTACTGGTGCTTACAGTACATGAATCGAGTGCAGTCACTGCATGTACAGATCAGCATGAATGGGGTGAAACAATTGATGTTTCTATTAAAAAATAAAGCCCCCTCTCGAATAAAGCCTTCTCTCAAATATAGCCCCCCCTCAATGTGTCTTCTGGAAAAATAGAGCCCCGGGGCTTCTTTTCGCGCCTATACGGTATTATTATTATTCCTAGCAAACAATGGAAAACCTTACACACACACCATCTTCAAAGATCCTGATGATGGCTCCTGGCCGAAAATTTGATTGAGAATTATTGTAATTTGCAGCGAAGAGACCACTTGGATTGAAGATGGTATGTGTGTAAGGTTTTCTTAATGAAGTGGCTGCAGTGGAGCTTGCGCACATTAAGAAATGCATAGCAAATAAATCAGTGGAAATCACACAAAGTGAAATGCGTCCTTGGAATGTGTATGCCATTATATCGAGCGCCTGCATCACTCTATTCACTGTGTTGATATACATACTGCAGTCAAGTGTATGTAACTTACTATAATAATGTAGTGTATGTTGTAGGCCCAGTATGATGTGCAGACTTGTTCTCACTGTACATTCCCATCGTTGCTGACTTGCTTTCTTGCAGGAGGACGATCGGAGGAAAGAGCAAGATGTTATCAAGGTAATCCTGCATGCTGCTTGTGTGTTGGTCGGTGTGGTGTACTTGCAGTACATGTACCCATGGTGAGCATCTACTCTTCTCATGAAGCCTCAGTGAAAACATTTCAATGCACACATACACACCCATGCATGCACACACAAACAACTTGAACCTTGAACACCCATCCACAATGAGGATGATGGCAGTGTCAGACAGAGCAACAGCAGGAATGTCTCTTCAAATCTCCAGCGCGGGAGAAGACACGACCACATATGCAGCGACATTCCTTCACCACCGCCCGCTGAGGCCTCAGACGACGGCTCAACTGCCTCTATTCTCCATGGTTCTGCACAAGGTCGCACCAATGCTCCTCAGGGATGTACACCCACACAAACACCCACACGCACGCACCCACACACGCATACACATGCACACACGCATACACATGCACACACGCATGCACACACACACACACACACCCACACACACACACACACACACACACACACACACACACACACACACACACACACACACACACACACACACACACACACACACACACACACACACACACACTTACCCTAGATGCCGTCATGACCGGCTGACGTTGGTGCATTGGTGTGCGTGCGTGTGCATGTATCACATATGTACTTTGTGCTGTATGCGTTCCACCATGTAATAGAATCGCTACCTTGGTATCAGCACAAAGAAGAAGAAGATCAGGAAGATGAGCGACCGCAAGTTTGTGTTTGACTGGGATAAGGGTGAAGATACGTCGGTGGACTTCAACCCTCTGTAAGTTGCCCATGCACTGTCATGGACACATGCCGCAGGAAGCTACATTTCTTTTAGACCAGATTTCCAGCTTGACAGGCTGCTGAGACATCATGTTATGGACATCCGTACGGTGCTGTGAAGTACTTTGTCATGTGTCACAGTGTGATGTAGTGGCGAAACAGGGGATGCAATGTTGCTCTTTTATCATCGTGCTTGCTTGAATGAGCAAATTGTGTGTGCTGTGTGCTTGTGTGTGCGCGCGCGCATGTGTGTGTGTGTGTGTGTGTGTGTGTGTGTGTGTGTGTGTGTGTGTGTGTGTGTGTGTGTGTGTGTGTGTCTGGATCCTCTTGTAATATACACAGTTACAAAGAGCGTCATCAAGTGCAAATGTTTGGCCGTGGCTTGGTGGCTGGTATCGATCTCAAGGTATGCTCTGATTTACGTCAAGAGTATGTACATGTAAATGTATGTGCATGGGACCACGATTTGGCTTGCACAGAAACATTGCCTGGTCTCAATGCTTTGAAGTACATATACTTGCACTAGAACTTCTTGAAGTCTGTACTTCATAGTGTTTCTTTGTACACACATGCACAAGAACAGGTACACGCATTTGAATTGCCAGTACTTATGAGATGCCTTTCTGACCCTGCCCATGCCTTATACAGTACAGTTGTAATCTTTTGTTTTTGTGTTACCTTTCTGTTCTGTACTGGGTGTGATGTGGTGTTTAGACCCAGAAGAAAGAATCCTCTGCGTTCTATTCGCGTCTTGTTGAGAAGCGGCGCACTGATGAGGAGAAACAGATGGCACTGTGAGTTAGTAAAATCATGTGTATTGTTTTGCTATGTATTGTTTTGCTATGTTCACTGTGGAAGCCATCATTCACACTGAGCCTGATGTTGTGGAGGCCACCTGGGGCAGTAAGAATCTCTGCAGGGGAAACCCTGATCAAGTTGAGATGTTTGTGTTAGACTGAGACCAAAGACATACATGTGCTTTGAAATGCTATGCTGCAGAACTTTTAAAAATGGTAGCACACAGCTGTTTTTTTTTCTCTGTTTAGGCCACACGTTTTTATATCTATGTTTCTCGTCACCCGCGCGCATACGATTCAGGAGTCTGGAGGAAAAAAAGAAAAAAAATGTGCTGCACTGACTGTGCATGTGGGAACCAGCACACTCATGCACATGTACATAATGTGGCCTGGCCTGCGCGACACATGATGCGAGGTCACCAATTATTGTGCGCAATCTAGCTGCACATGCACAGATCGTGACAGAAGCTCCTATACCACATACTAGTTGCTAACTATGGATAATATCAAGAGTTCATAACCCCCACGAACTCTTGATGCTATTTTGCATGGTGTATTGGTGGATTTTAGTGTGAACACAGGTCTAATAAACTTTTTTTATTTTTCGGTCATTTTTTTATTTTTTTCCACCTCTCGCATACGTTTTTAGATTTTCAGGTGACGAGAAACATAGAAATAAAAACGTGTGGCCTTAAGATACCTCATGAGACAGAGAGTGTTTTGTATGGAATAGGACCAATGCAGGCTGAAAGCCTAAGGCTGCATCCTTTTTGTACACTTACCGTAAAGTACCGCACGAACGCCCCGCCATGTCCACTCTTTTGTAGTCGTATTAGGGAGGTCGGGTCCTGCCCGTAGGTCTTACAGCACGTACCTTGTTCACACATTGCACGTTATGCAGTCAATCTTGTGCTCAGTTTACCTTCAAGTGTGAGCTCCACAGAACATGCTAAGTGTGACCTTAGTGCACTCGGGTTCTCACACCGGACAAACTTTGTTGCATTCTGACATACGATTTTCCTTTCCCTGCTCTAAGGCTCTAAGGGGACAATGTGATCTCGCCGTACTACACGGTATTACCAAATTCGCTCTGGTTATAATGCTACTGGGGTCTGAACCTTTTCTTGGTTTGTTCTTGTGTAGAAATCTGGAGAAGAAGGAGAAGTTGAAGGAACGTCAGAAGCGGTGGGATGATCGCCATTGGTCAGAGAAGGATTTGGATGAAATGACGGAAAGAGACTGGAGAATTTTCAGAGAAGATTACCTCATCTCTGGAAAGGGTGAGAGGTATAATCAGTGTGTCAAATTCACACATCTAGTGGGTCCATGTGGGTAGTAACTTTGCAATGACGATGGCGTAAGCCACTGCTATGCATTGACCTGACCTTAGGTAGTGTCTTTGCTTAACATTTCTCATGCAGGTGTCTATTGCATGTGCACACAGAATAGTGTAGTCACTAGGAACCCCATCTCTAGAAGTAACTCACTGTTCAACAGCTTTGCCTATCTACATTGGTACCAGTCTGTCTGAGAACTTTGTGGTTATTGCTGACAGTTATGTCCTTGTTTCTTGTGTGTGTGTGTGTGCGCGCGCGCGTGTGTGTGTGTGTGTGTGTGTGTGCGCGCGCGTGTGTGTGTGTGTGTGTATGTGTGTGTGTGTGTGTGTGTGTGTGTGTGTGTGTGTGCACATGTGTGTGCGTGTGTGTGCGTCCATGCGTCCATGTCCCGTGTGTGCACGAGTGTGTGCATGTATGCACATGTGTGTGTGTGCGCATGTGTGCGCGTTTGTGCGCATGTGTGCGTTTGCGCTTGTTTGCACGTATCACATATGTGCACGTGTGTGTTTGTTTGTGCTCGCACGCATGTACCGTGTGCGCATTTACACATGCGAACGTGTCAGGTGGTATCTTGCCTAATCCTATCCGTTACTGGCATGAGGGAGGTCTGCCTCAAGAGATCCTCGATGTAATTAAATCCAACGGCTATGAGGTCAGTTGTGGGATTTTCCATTGTTGTGCTTGCTGACTATAATAGGACAATGGACTTCTGCTGGCTGCACTGCTCTGGCTGTGCAGGTCTGCTGGCTGCACCAGTAAATGTCTAAGCGTACACAGTGTATGATGGATAGTCACATGATTACCGCATGTATATCAGTAGTCTTGTCTTGATGCTGTTCTGCCTGTGATCGTGTTTAGCACCCGACACCCATCCAGAGGCAAGCCATTCCCATTGGTCTGCAGAATCGTGACATCATCGGTGTTGCAGAGACAGGTAAGATGATACTAGTACATATACCAGTACTGCCATCTCTCCGGATGCACTACAGTACTGGCTTCTTTGCAGCAACTTCGTATTTGATTGAATTGTTTTAAAATGTAGTACATGTACATGCATCTCTTTACATTCACCAAACTTCCGGGCATGGCTCATCCTCAAGGTGAAGCAATAAAAGTTATAGAACAGTATTTTAATTTCTTTCCCATTCTAATTTAAATATCACGGAGGCGTGGACGCAGACGCGGGTATGCCGTCGAGGTTACCCGTCGCCGCTCGGGTAGGGCTTCGACCTCGCCATACGCGCGGACTGACGGCATGCGCACCTTCGCGCTTATTGCCTCCGACACACCGTCAGCAGCTAGTTCAGACTTCTGACCCCGCTCCAGGCACCGACGCTTCTATGCAGGACGAGCCCTCATTGCTCTCCCCGGACATCATTTCCTCAGCCGTTATGAAGATGAACGCCCTCCACCCTCTCCTCGAACGCGTGGAACGCCTGGAGAACAGACAGTGCTGAGTCTGATCTGGAAGCCGATCTCTCCCACGCGCGCGCTCCGCACCCGAAAGATCGCTCCCACGCTCCGAGCGTCAAGCTCCGGACCTATCCTGCCCGGAACTTCCAGTTCTATCGGAACCTCCGACTTTGCCAGGACCTCCAGTTCTCTCCAAGCCCTCGGTTCTACCCACACCGCCACGTCGTGCGATTGAAAAAATCCAGCGCGGAGAGTTTGTGGAACTTGAGGAACTCTTGCCGGAAAATTTCAGCTCCCAGGGACAGGAGCCAATACAACTGGTTACAGCTGGCGGCGACATGGCTCAGCTCTCGCTCAACCTCAGCGCAAAGCACACGCGCGCGATCAACGACTTCTCGGCTTGGCTGGAGGCCTGGACGATCTACATGGGCATCGTCGTTCTTGCTCGTCCTGACCGAGCTCATGAGCTCGTCTGCTACCAGCACATACTTTGTACTGCGAACCAACAGTTCACGACGTCTGCTAGCATGCTGTGCTGAACTATGATCGAGCATTTCGCCAACACACCGCCAGCATGGCACTGCGCTGGGACGTGATCAATCAGACGCTGTGGAGTATTCGCCTACTCCGCTCTCCCCGTCTGTCATGCAGACGTCTCCTGTGCTGAACTATGATCGAGCATTTCGCCAACACACCGCCAGCATGGCACTGCGCTGGGACGTGATCAATCAGACGCTGTGGAGTATTCGCCTACTCCGCTCTCCCCGTCTGTCATGCACCAGATGCACGCTCCAAAACAGCCGCGACCGCTGCCTGCCCACATGCCGTAGCTCAACACGCGCAGCCCTTTCCATCAGTGGCGGGCAGCACCCGCCAAGTCTGTTTTAAATAACTTCAACCCCGGCAGGCCCTGTTCCCGCACACCCTGCGACCGTCTCTACGCCTGCAGCTCATGTGAAGACAAAGGTCATGCCGCCACATCCTGCACCAGCACCACCCGCTTCAGGTGGCAGCGCCCTGCAGATAGCCACGAGAAGACTTCGAAGCCCACTGAGAAAAAGTAAGCCGACTTCCACTCCCCTGAACACTGTTCGCTTTCACACATTACTGCCTTCCTCGGAATTGTGCTGGACACGGTGCGCATGGAAGCCCGTCTCCCAGACGACAAACCGACGGACCTCCGCGAGCTCCTCAGCGAGCTGTCACGCTGCACCCAGACCACGCAACGCAAACTCGATCACTTCCTGGGGAAACTCTCCTTTGCGTCGAGCGTCGTCGTACCAGGCAGAACATTTACGCGGCGCTTATGGGATATCAACAAGAGGTTTAGCCGCGCCAAGCCCTATTTCCGTATCACTCTGACAGGCATTCCAGCAGCTGGCACCATCGGCACAGCAAGCCCCGGACACTGCAATCCGCCTCTCTCTCCTGGACTGATGCAGGAGGTCGCCGACCTGGCAGCCATGGCAATCGCCCCGACAACACGGCGCACGTACGCCACTGGCGAAAGGAAATTTACGCAATTCTGTGCGTTGCAGAGATGGACGCCCATGCCGGCTACAGACACGATGCCCAGCTGCTTCGCAGCACACCTCACACAATCGGTTCAACCACAGACAATTCATGTCTACATGGCCGCAGTACACAACATGCATCTCGAAGCCGGATTCCGAGATCCAACGATGAACGCATTGCTGCCGCCACGTGTTATGCGAGGCATCAAGAGGACGGCGACTGACCCGGCAATCCAGCGCACTCGCCTCCCAATCACCATTGATTTGCTGCGGAAGCTCCTCAACCATGTCAACCAACTCAGCCTGGACCAACGGCATCACCAGCAGGACAAGGGCATGCTCAAGGCGGCAATGGTGCTCGCCTTCTTCGGATTTCTTCGATGCGCTGAATTCACTGCGCCTCCAGCCGGGTTTGACCCTGCCACTCATACCACACGCCAGGATGTGACTCTGGATGTCACTCAAGGACGCACATATATCCGCTTCCACATCAAGCAATCGAAGACGGACCAACTTCGTCAGGGCCATGCAGATAATCGGTAGTACCACTTCACAACCTTGCCCGGTTGCCGCCCTCCTGGCATATTTTACAGTCTGTCCGTCTGACGCCACTGACGCACTCTTCCGCTACCGCCCTGGGAGACCGCTGACCAGGCAGGCACTGACAGAAGAGCTCCGACAGCTTCTCCCACTCACGGGAACACCCAATTCACGCGATTACGCTGGTCATTCGTTCCGCATCGGTGCCGCCACAACTGCAGCCATGGCGGGTACCCCGGACTGGCTAATCAGGGCAATGGGCCGATGGAGAAGCGACAGTGTCTTGCGCTACATCAGGGCAACCGACACAGACATGGGGCAGCTGACCCAAAAGCTGTCAGAGGTACAAGCGCATCACAGAACACATGGAGGTATGTAAGAACCCGCCACGCGGGCACGCAACTCGCACCCATGCACGTACCCACACGGCTGACCGTTTGGAACAGCACAGCAACTTGCTCTGCTAGGATTGTGCTGACAAACTGCGCTGATAGCAACAACAGTGTCATTCACGTGCATTGCAATGTGTCACAACTTAGCATGGAGGCTGGGCAACCATGGGCCAGCTATCTCCTCTCATCTGGCAATTATCACGGTCTTCGGCCATCACACTCATACTCCCACACTCCTGCCTCCTAACGGGCATTGCACTTCGTGCGTGGGCCGTCCACACTCCGTCCATTTCATGGGCGCCCATCTCATGGGCTGCACTTTGTGCGTGGACATACATACACACTATCATACAGGCCGTCCACACTCCGCCCAGTTCATGGGTGCCCATTTCATGGGCTGCACCTCGTGTGCGTGGGCCGTCCACACTCCGTCCATTTCATGGGCGCCCATCTCATGGGCTGCACTTTGTGCGTGGACATACATACACACTATCATACAGGCCGTCCACACTCCGCCCAGTTCATGGGTGCCCATTTCATGGGCTGCACCTCGTGCGTGGACTATCCTACATGATTATCACATGCCAGATTCGGTTGCCCAGCACTCCATGAATCCTCCATATGATGTGTGCTCTCCACTGGTCTGCAATAGCGAGTGCATGCGTGTTAATAGCACATTAGAGCTTGCGGTAATGTAGGTTAACACGTTGCACAAGCCACCACTTCACACGCGCTCCAGCGGCTTCCAAAGAGCCCGCAGATCCCACGCTATTCATTGATGCATGTCAAGTAACACGTACATGCACGCTGTGGTGGCATGTAACATGCCTACGCCGGAACTCACCTGAACTCGCCAGCCAACCAGCCATATGCGGCTGCAGCACACATCGGAGCTTGAACCCGTAACGCATACACCATACTTTGCGCTGGCCGTATTGCTACTTCATATTTGCTTTGCTTGGGTAGTGAGAAGAACACCGGTTTGTTCCTTTCTCACCCACCCACCTCTTCCCATCTATGAATAATATTGATATCCTTGATTCAACACAGGTATCATAATTCATACAAGACGAAAATAAATAGGAGTGCTGGGCCAGCTATCTCCTCTCATCTGGCAATTATCACGGTCTTCGGCCATCACACTCATACTCCCACACTCCTGCCTCCTAACGGGCATTGCACTTCGTGCGTGGGCCGTCCACACTCCGTCCATTTCATGGGCGCCCGTCTCATGGGCTGCACTTTGTGCGTGGACATACATACACACTATCATACAGGCCGTCCACACTCCGCCCAGTTCATGGGTGCCCATTTCATGGGCTGCACCTCGTGTGCGTGGGCCGTCCACACTCCGTCCATTTCATGGGCGCCCATCTCATGGGCTGCACTTTGTGCGTGGACATACATACACACTATCATACAGGCCGTCCACACTCCGCCCAGTTCATGGGTGCCCATTTCATGGGCTGCACCTCGTGCGTGGACTATCCTACATGATTATCACATGCCAGATTCGGTTGCCCAGCACTCCATGAATCCTCCATATGATGTGTGCTCTCCACTGGTCTGCAATAGCGAGTGCATGCGTGTTAATTTAAATATCACGGAGGTATGTTCATCTAGCAAATTGAAGATGATTTGGGACTGTGCATATTATGCTGTGACTTATGCGCCGCACTGGTTTTCTCTATGTTTAATTCTCAATAGACTGGGATAAGTGTTCTTGTTTTTGTTCCGCTGTATGTGCTATATCTTTGTAGGAAGTGGAAAGACAGCTGCCTTTGTCATACCTCTACTGGTGTGGATTATGAGCTTGCCGAAGCTCGAACGGTGAGTGGATGATTTGTATGGGCACTGCTCTTGTTACCACCGTTTCTGCAGTGGTGACATTGATAGTAGCAATGCATGTGCTGGGTGTCTGAGGGACTTTGAGAAGTCTCACAGCCCTGTAGTTTCTGCAGACTTGGCTGATTACTGTTGGTGGCGAGAGCAATGTTCTTGCCAAGGAGTGCTTGACCGCAGTATTCCGTTGTGCTTGCTGTCATGGGTAATGGTGCTTTTGCCATAACTATGGAATTAAGTCAACCTACATTTTAACTGCTTGTCATGCCTTCTATATTTTGTCTTGGGTGTGTTTACTGCTGCAGTGAGGCTGATGTGGAGAAAGGTCCATATGCCATTATCATTGCTCCCACGCGTGAATTGGCAAATCAGGTACGCAATGCTGTGCTAGTGCTGCGTGGTGTGGTGTGGTGTGGTGTGGCGTGATGTGGTATGCACCATGCTGTCTGTCCTGTAGTGGGCTTTACTATCTGATGTTCCAGTGTGCTTGAGGCTGTTGTAGCATGTAGCATCTATGGAGACGGCACAAAATCATAGTGTCCAAAGTGATGTGCCCTTGGACTTTGGGTTTGGAAATTCTACCTGGTTGTGGTCTTTGCAACCAGCGACTGCGACCGTGGCCGTGACCTGGCCTCAAACATAGCCCAGACCAGTACGGGCATTCAATGGTTGCGGCCTCTCGCAAGGGCGGCTGGAATGGGCAGCCTGGGAGCGAAACTTATGTCATTCCACGTTCCATTCACCTGTTTCGTCTCCACAGATGCTACGAATCTATTGTGTACTTGCGCTGCACATAATCCTTGCCATTCTACTGTTCTTGAATCTGTGGGATTACTTGCACATTGCAAGTAGGCGGTATTAGCCGGTATTAGACGGTACTGCATGTATGTTTCTGATGAATTTTCATGGCAGCAGAAGCCAATCTGCCTTGTCAGACTTTGATGGAGCAATTTCCAGTTAGCATAGTGAGCATGAGTGAGTGTGAACGGTTGGTTGTCAATGGCATACTCACTTATTGCATCATTGTTACTGTTTTCAGTTGGCTGGACCAGTATTGCAGGGATTGCTATGGGTCTGCACTGCCTGGTCATGCAGTTAATAGCACTATACAGAGCTCAGACCTTGCCTTGCTATCAGCTCACAGCTGCAACAGGCAACATTGTATTCTGTTGTACCCAGGCCTTTTATCTAGCTCTCTCTCTCTCTCTCTCTCTCTCTCTCTTTCTCTCTCTCTCTCTCTCCCCTCATCGTTTCCCCCTATACAAATGCGATCCCCAACCCATCTTGTCCTTGGATCGTTGTCGAGTGCTGAGCAATGGGACTCAGAGGACTCAACACTATTTTTATCAAAGTGTGTGTCTCCAAGCCCTGTGTTTTTTCCTGGAATTCAGGCACATGGTGAGTGGAGAGATTTCCTTTAATCCCTTCCTAGGCCAGAGGGTCTCCTGGAAATTATTGGTCATGAGTATTATTCTTGATGTGCTGAAAAAAGTGTTTTGTGTACCCATCTTCAGATTGAAGAAGAAACGAGCAAGTTTGCCAAGCCGATCGGTATTCGCACTGTCAGCATTATTGGTGGTGTAAGTTTGTTTTGCAATTCTCAAAAGAACATTTATTGAGCAACTAACTGCAATGAAATATGACTGATTGGAGGGTTGTTGTGCTATTGATCGTGTTATTGATTATCACTACGGTGCTACAAGACTTTTCCCTTTGGTTGCAATAGGATGGATCCGCCCATGTGTGCATGCATGCGCGCACATGTGTGTGTTTGTTTGTATTAGTGAAGGGACTTGTTTCTCAGTACTTGTATTACACTTTGTTTTCTTGTGTTCATTTTGATAGATGTCACGTGAGGATCAAGGCTTCAAATTGAGACTGGGTTGTGAGGTAAGCTTGAGGCTTTCTCATAGCTGTGGGTGCAAGGTTTGCGTTTCTTTCTGCTTCACTTGTTGCACCTGTTCTAATCTTTTGTCTACTGTGCAGAGCATTTTTGTATTTTAGCTTAGTCCCCCGTTTGCTTGTAGTGCAACACTTTCTCTGCATGCACTTTCGTTTCTATCGAAACGTATTATTGTTTGTTTCTGATGAAACGCATTGCTTGTTTTGGGCAATTCTTGTCTGCTGTTTTTTTTTTTACTCAGATTGTCATCGCAACACCCGGTCGTTTGATTGACGTACTTGGTGAGTAGGAGTGAGGACAGTGATGCTATTGGTTATGTCAAGAGTACATAACCCCCCAGAGTGTGCAACTCCACTATGGGTGCTGACCCGACAGAATTTCAAGTTGACGTCATTTTTGATGATGCAGTGCGCACTGTACACGGTTTATCAGACGAATCCGGAACCTGTTGTTGACCGAAGCCGATCGATCCTGTACAAATTATTGCAAAGAAAAACGTGTGATGTGTTGACACCCGTACACATGTTGTAAATCACTGGTGCAAGGAGCATTGCGTCATAAATAATGACGTCGACTTAAAATTCTGTTGGGACAGCAGGGTATGTGGGAGTTGCACACTCTGGGGGGTTATGTACTCTTGGTTATGTTGATGGGAGGGTGGGGGTGCAGAATTATTGTCCCACCTATGCTAAAATGTGATTCAGTTAGTTCTTACTACCTAGACTCTAGCGTGATAAAGACATTAGATACCTGATGGAAAAGGCAAGTCTTGCTTGTTATATGGTTTACAACTACTAAAGGCATCTCTACGTGAGGATAATAGGAAGAAAAAAACTGGGACAATAATCATGGCCGAAATCCAGTATATACAGTAAGGTTGCCTACTCTACCTAAATACAGTTAGGATTGAACTAATTTAAGGCTAGCACCACTAACCAGTCCTGATCTAATGGAACTCACAACAGTTTTACCACTTCGTGGCTCCACCCTTGGCCTTGATCACTGCCTCCATGCGCGCCGGCATGGTGGACTATGCACGCGCAGTCTGCGGCAGTGATCAGGTTCCACGCACTCTGGCAGACACCCCACAGCTGATTTGTGCTGGTGGGCCTGATCTACAGCTCATGGCGCTTCAGGCCAAGGATGTGCCACAGGTTTTCAATGGGATTCAGATCGGGCGTCTGCGGCGGCCACTCCATAACGGTGACGTTGTTCTCCTGAAGCCACTGCTTTGTCGCACGCGTCGTATGCTTGGGATCGTTGTCCTGCATAAATATGCCACCAGCATCACTGAACGTATCCTGCATGCTTGGCAGCATCACGTTCTGCATTATTCCCAGATACTGCTGCGTGTTCAATTTGCCGTCGACCTTGTACAGGTGGCCTCTGCCTTTGGCGGACATTGCTCCCCAGGTCATGATATTGCCGCCTCCCATGTTTCACCGTTTTGCGCGTGCACGAGCATGCGAGGGCTTCTCCTGGTCGTCTTCTGACATAGACAGCCCCGTCAGACCCCACCAGGTTGAACTTGGACTCATCTGTCCACAGCACTCGGCCCCACTGCTCACACGTCCAATTCTTGTGGGCTTTAGCAAATTTCGGCCTCTTTACTTTGTTCACCTTGGAAATAAACGGCTTTTTCACCGCCACACACCCTCACAATCCACTACTTTGCAGCCTGCAACGCACAGTTCGCACTGAGACGGTATTCCCACCCTCCTGCGCCAACTCGGCTCTCAGTTTTGTTGACGTCTTGAATCTATTGCACATTGAAAGCACCTTCAGCCTGCAATCGAACCTGGGGGGTAGTCTTCCTTGGGCGGCCAGTGTGGGGCTTCATATCGACTTCGCCAGTTCTTTTGAATGCAGAAATAATTCTGCGTATCGTACGATCGCAGAGACCCGTCAATCCAGCTATAGATCGCAACGAGAGACCCTCCTTGTTCATCTGAACCATTTCCTACTATCTTTACTGAGCTCCTTTCCTCTCCCCATCGTGCAGAAAACCAAAGTGAAATTACTCAAATTGTTGTCAGCAAACCGTCAGCAGGTTGGAAAGTTACCACCACGTGGTGAAGATTTTGAATTTCCCGCCAAAATCGGTCATAACAGTTTTGCCAGTCGTACACGTGACATTTCGGCATAATTTTTGTCCCACTTTTTGTACGGTAAATCGTGAGTGTTCTGGAAAACTGGTTAGCTTTGTCAAAACTCGTTGCTATTAGGGACGTTTAGCAACGCGAAAGTTCGAACTTTTGGTGGGGATGATGTTTCGCGAAACTTTCTTTCGAAAAGGAAACCTTGTGAGGTTTAGCAACGCACGAAATGACTTCTTCCTGAAGTTATTTGAATTCTTTAGGACAGTACCGTATATGCAGCTCAGTCTCAAGCAGGGGGCTGTAAATGTACTATTCCAGCCGTCAAGAGGAAAGAGAAAATAACTTTCGCAAACCACTGCAACTTCGCATCCAAATTCTCGAAGTTTCGACCCTTGTTTCTGTACTCATTCCCAGACTCGAATTTTCTTTCGAACTTTCGCATTGCTAAACGTCCCTAATACCTGAAGTGCTTCAACTGTGTGGTTGTTTGGCACACAGGCCTGTCCAGGTTGGCCTTTAGATTCCAAAAGATGACCAAAATGCAAGGTGGGACAGTAATTCTGTCCACCACTATTGTGCTGATTCTCACTCAGCATTAGTGTGCTATCAAGAGTACGTAAACCAGAGTGTGCAGCTCCACATCTCTTCTGCAGATAGTCGCTCCCATGGCGAAGTTTTTGTTTAGGACATCATGAATCATAGAAGCCCGTCATACCATAGGTTCAGTGCTAAATCACCGTATCACAGGGTTCTAGCCAAATAGGGGGTAAGGGGGGGGGGGGGGGCAGCGCCCCCCCCCCCCTATATATATGGCCTACTCTGTTTGCGCGCCCCCCTGTGAAAAATTGCCGCCTCCCTACTCATTTTCCGATTTTCGTGTTTTTCATGCATAGATGGTTCATAAAGGCACATTTGTCTGGGGTGAAGTCAGGGATTTGCCCCATACGTTGCATTTGGCGTGGCAAGACAATATTGGAAAGTGGAAAAATGGGATATAGGGTCACTGTTTCCCATGCCCACCCCCTACTATTTTGACCTGGCTAGAACCCTGGTATCACTCAGGTGATAGCAGGAAAATTGCGTGCTTTTTTCGCCGTTGGTACGAAAAGCAGCAATGCGCGACAGAAATGACCTTGGTGATACGGCAAAATGAGTTAAATGACCATGAGAACCAGTGCGAGCTGTAGCAAAGGTTAGTCACTATGAAAACCAAAAAAAACATTGCTGTGGGACGATTTTCCCGGAGTTGCAGAGCTCTGCGTAGAATATTACTTCGGGGAGCTGGTGGTGCATGGGTCATGAAGAGGGCGGCGTATTCAGGAGTAGAAATTTCTTTCCAAATTTTGCCTGCCCGTGGTACATGTATTCAACTAACTCCACCCCAAACATGGGCATGACTTTGAAATACAAGATATTGGAATATATTCCATCACACGTGGACAAGAGTACATGAAAACCAGAGTGTGCAGCTCGGATGGGTGGCTGTCACGGCGGAATTCCGTGATTACATCATTTTAGTGATGTAGTGCGTACAAGCAGGATTCAAGCAGGTCTCTTTCTGCACAACTGCAGCTCAGTTGTACGCACTACCCCATTTCCCGCCTCAGATCTGCGCCAAATATGATGTAATCACGGAATTCCGCCGTGACAGACACCCATAGCAGAAAAGGCCCCAAGCTGCACACTCTGGTTTTCATGTACTCTTGACGTGGAGCTCACTTGATCAGATTACCGTGGATACCGTCGTCATGGCAATCCCAGTACTGTCACATAGATACTCGTATCCTCTTAGGAGCTGCTGCGCCTTGATCCTTGACGGTGGCGGCATTCCTAAGGATGCGGAAAATTCAGTCAGCTATGTAATGTCATACGGACTCCTACTTCGGCTGTGAAGTACTATTTTCTAACATTATTGTTGTTGATTTATGTTTGTTGCGATGTGTGTGTATTGCAGAGAACCACTACCTGGCATTATCTCAGTGCACATATGCAGTACTCGATGAGGTGAGTACACTGTACATATAGCTATAGGACATCAGAAGTCAACAAATTACTACATCTGGGTCAAATTTAGATCCACTTCGCCCATAACGAAATAGAGTATATTGTGGGTAGGCTCTCGTGTAGCATGCATGCGTGATTTGTTCTGTATCAAGAGTGGTTCCCTGCCCGGGGAGGGAGGCCCCAGTCCAGTCACTACCAGTGGTTGTGTCACCCTACATGTACTGTGAAGGAAAACCACCCAGCCGTGTGTGGATGCATACAAACATTGGAAGTGGAGCCAAAAGTCAGGGTTGTAATGACCCCGGCGGCCTGGGGGTGCGTGTGTACGTGTGTGTGTGTGTACTGGCTGGGCAAGATCTGTCATTGTAACAGTGTGTGGTAGCTCGGAAAGGTCCATGTTTACAAGCTATGTGTTGTACAACCATGCTAACATTTAACAGTGTTTGTTTCTGCAGCAAGTTTGCAAGCTGTGGATTCTGTTGTTATGCCTATTGTACCATCAATGTGCATACATGTGTGTGTGTGTGTGTGTTTGTTTGTGTGTGTGTGTGTGTGTGCGTGCGCGTGTGTGTGTGTGTGTGTGTCCTTATGCATGCAGGCTGACAGAATGATTGACATGGGTTTCGAACCTGAGGTCAAGAAGATTTTGGAATATCTGCCTGTCAGCAATGAGAAACCCGATACAGGTACGTTTCAATGTCTTCTGTCCTCTTTACATGCTGCTGCTGCTGCTGCTGCTGCTGCTGCTGCTGCAATTGTCTGTTGATGTTGATGTTAGATTTAGCTAAAGGTGCGTTCTCTTTTAAAAATCCTCTCTGGGAAAGTTGGAGAAGTGTTATTATCCTCTCGGAATTTTAGGAGATTTTCCAAAGCTCGCCGAGTTCTCTGAACTTGGGAGGCGGTTGAAACTTGGAGGTTGCCACGGTTATGGATCCACTCATGTGGCCTCCCAGCAAATACGCATGTTTGCAGGTGTGACCAGAAAACATCATGTACATGCTCATATGTCTCGAGGTCGTGGTCCGCTTGGCATTTTTCACTCCACACAACATTGACACCTGTACGAAAGAAATTTCTCCAAGAACCCGCAGTAAATAGGAACGCACCCTAAGGCTTGCTTGACATTCAGGCATCATAGCAGTCTTCCTTTACCATATTGTCTCACTGATTGCTTAGTGTTCCAAACAATTTTTCTGCTTTACGCGTGTGGAAGCCGCTATTCTTTGCTTCGATGAATATGTGGCCAGAACTCTTTTGTAAGACTATGCTGTTGTACAGGTGATTATGAGTGTGGTGTTCTAGTAATAGGTGATTTAGGGGATATTGTTGTCATTGCTATTGCTGCCGCCGCCGCCGCCAGTACTGTTGTTGCTGTCACCTTGACGCGCACCGTTAACATTGTCTCTGTGTGTGTTCATTCTGTATGTGTGCTTGTGTGCGTGTGTGCGTGCGTAAGTGTACGTGTGTGTGTGTCAATGTGTGTGTGTGTGTGTGAGTGTGTGTGTGTGTGTGAGTGTGTGTGTGTGTGTGAGTGTGTGTGTGTGTGCCTGTGTGTGTGTGTGTGTGTTTGTTGGTGTATCTGCGTACGTGTGCGTATGTGTTGCAGATGATATAGAGGATGTGAATGCATTACTGAGTAATTTCAACACCAAACAGCGGTACAGACAAACTGTCATGTTTTCAGCTACCATGCCACCGCCTGTTGAAAAACTGGCACGTTCCTACTTGAGGTAATTTAGCATGTCCATCAGGGTGTTCATATAGTTATGTGTGTGGGTGTGTGGGTGGGTGGGATTTGCGTGCGCGAGCCTCTGTGTGTGTGTGTGTGTGTGTGTGTGTGTGTGTGTGTGTGTGTGTGTTTGTGTGAGCGAATGAGTGAGTGTGTACTTCCATGTATATACTGTAGCCGTGTGTGCATTTTGTGTTGCCTTTCCTTGGAGTTTATTGCTATGTTGTTGCTTCTGTGTTGTTTGTTCCCAGACGGCCGAGTGTCGTGTACATTGGATCAGCAGGTAAGAGTTATGCAGTTCATATCTCTAATGTACATGTACAGCTGACTGTGCATGTACAGTTGCGCCCGGTGAAATCCCACCCAGAGTGCATTTTTTGTGCCCTTGACGCCCTGGAAGTGGCACGAATGCAGCTGGACATACCCATGTACAAATACAATGATGTAATCGGAACTGGTCCAGGGCGCCAGCTTTGCACTCTGGGTCAGATTTCACCGAGCGCAACTGTAGGTCAATATGGCCTGTGCAGGTGATTGCACTTCATAATACAGTACATAATACAGTACTTTATTGAATGTCGGAATGTTGGATACTATACTCCCGTGTCATGTAAGATCATCTGCATGTATATAGGGGAATGGATTAGCATCTTCTAAAATCTGCTCTCTCTCTCTCTCTCTCTCTCTCTCTCTCTCTCTCTCTCTCTCTTTCTTCTTTTTTTTCTCCCTATCTTCTCATTTCCTCTCCTCTATACACTAGCCAAGTATAAATTAACGCCAAAAATCCAGTGTGCAACCCCTACTAGCTGGTAGTAATGTATGGAATTGTTCGGTGTGTGCTACCGAACACTTACACTTGTTTTCTCCATTTCTATGACTGTGTTCTCCAGGCAAGCCGACAGAACGTGTTGAACAGAAAGTACACATGGTCTCAGAGCAACAGAAGAGGTGAATACAGTACCTGCATACACGACTTGTTTTGGAGATATTGCAGTTACATTGGTCATTTGGCATTGCATAATGTTTAGCTATGGTCCGTATGTCTATCTCATGGCAGGGAATAGGATGTTCCTTTTCTATCATTCACAGGACAATGGTGTAATGCGGTCATGATACTGAGTAACTGCTTGATATATCAACTGTGTATGCATAGGTGTATTGGGCTGTGCTATTTTTGTTGGGGAAACGAGTTGAAGTACTTGTGCAAGTTGCGGTCCTTCACTGAATCACTGGTATGCCTACTACAGTGTTAGTGGGTGAAATCCGACCACAGGCCCACTTTCCAGTTTACACACCCACAGTCAATCAGCCTCTGACACCATAATGCCCTGCAGCTCTGCAGTCCGGCTCAGTTCACATGTACTCACTTATTACTCACGATAACCCTTTTGTCAAACTAGTGGCCTGCCTATCTCACTAGCCAGCACTGCAGTATGCCATTGCTTACTCAGCGCTTGACCTTGCATTTCGTGTTATTTACAGAAAGAAGATGGTTGAGCTGCTTCAAAGTGGTGTGGAGCCACCTATTATCATCTTCGTCAATCAAAAGAAGGTAGGACAACTTCTGATGGCTGCAGTTCTACCAGTTCATCATCAAAATATATAATAGTTACTGCTGGTGTTGTTACTGCTGCTGCTGTTGGCATCGTCTTAATGTGGATGTGGGAAGGGGTTGGATGACATACTAGTAGCTGATTTAATAGAATGTGCTTTGCAAGGGATAGCTTCGTGCTTTGCCAGCCCGCTACTTTTTTCCGTTTTAGCACCCATCTAGTACCTCAAGCTGTCTCACTGCCTGTGGCCCTTTTTGCGATGGCTTGACGTTTTGTTCTATTCACTTGGAGTTGCATGGGTTGCCGAAGGTGAATTACTGTATAAGCAGAAATATTCGTCTGGAATTTACTTTTGTCTTTTTCGTCCAAGGAGGTTTTGGGCTAAATTAAATGCCAGACTAATGTCGATTTGTCCAGCTTTTCAATACACTCTTATGATCCATGGACGAAATTTACAGCCAGACGAACTCCCTTTCTGTGAAGTTGGATGAAATTATTGACGACGAAATTTTCTGCCTGTACAGTACACATAACAACTGTAATGTGCCGCTTGGGTGTGTGGCTCTTGGGACAAATTTCCGGATTACATGTACTGTTAAGTCTGTTATGCAGCAGTGACTTGCTTGGTTGGTTGTGCTCTTCCCCTGGTTCTATCTGCTCAGTCCCTGGTCCGATCTGCTCATTGCCTGGTCCTATCTGCTCAGTCCCTGGTTCTATCTGCTCATTGCCTGGTCCTATCTGCTCTGTTGTGACTCTTTCTTCCTATGCTGTATGTGTAGGGAGCAGATGTCTTGTGTCGCTCGCTGGAGAAAATGGGCGTAAGTTTTTTCTTGAGTATAATTATGCAAGGAGATTGCTCACTCTCCTCCTCTGCAAGTCTCTTTTTGCTTTCAACTTGTTATGGTGTGTATTTGCTAGAACCAGCATGTTACATTTACACTCTTCTGAATCTCAGTGGAACCCTTTGACTTTGTGATAGAAACGATGATGAAGAGATATGAAAATGTGGGTTATGGTTGTCCATACAGAGCGTTGAGTATCAGAAACAATATTTTTTGGCTTTTTGAAGAAGTCCATAATCTCCTCCTTTGATGCTCAATTTGGTAGTATTTTGATGTGCAGTTTGTGATGAAGCCAAACGGGTGTGTCCATGTTGTTGTTTTTTTGTGTAGCTCAAGGCGACAACACTTCATGGTGGAAAAAGCCAAGACCAGCGGTGAGTGTTGTTGTTGTCATCCCGTAAGCGACCAAGAGTTATCGTATGACCTGGGCAGCAAACATACATTGTCCCATACATGTTCCGTACCGTCAAAGATATCCCGAAGAGCCAGCCATGTGTGTTCACTGTTCATCCACATATTCAAATAAGGCTTTCGCCGACAGGATCATAGCATGAAACGACTTGGTAGAATGTACACATACCGTATATTCTCTATTATAAGCGCCGTGCTTATATATTTTCAACACCCCTCTACCCCGTGCTTATATTGGAGACCGCGCTTATATTGGAGACCGTGCTTTTATTTTTTCAATCAATACATCCATACAGAGCAAGAAGAAATACATGCTAGATATCATGCATGCCGCATTGATTTCCACCAAGACCGTGCTAATAATAGAGACTGTGCTTATAATGTTTCAAAAGGTGCTCACAGTGTGCTAGTATTAGAGACTGTGCTAGTAATGGAGACCTGTGCTTATAATAGAGAATATACGGTATGCGATGTGTTTCGACTCTGGGGAGGGACTGAATGCAATCCATCAGTGCCTGTTTGAATCTCGAGTTATGTGTGGGTGTCATTGGAACAAGTGCAGTGAGGATGCACAGGTGCTCGCGGTCCACACCCAGAGTCACGTATACATGTATATACTAGCAAGAGTACATAACCAAGAGTGTGCAACTGCCTGCACAACCTCTATGCTGTGCTGCGACGGCAGAACTTCACATCACGTGACATGGTTCAAAAGGTTATGCTGGCAAACAGTGCAAAGTGACCACAAGAGAGTTGTACCCAAAGCTGGGCTGCGTACAACCCAGTATCTATCATGCACTAGAGTGCACGGGTTCATCACGTGATGTGAAGTTCTGCCGTCGCAGACCCCATAGCTGGAGTTGCACACTCTTGTTTATCTACTCTTGATACTAGTGCGAAACGAGAGAGCTACCAGCGCGGAGTCAGGGCCCTAACTACATCATGTGTGTTATAATTGTTATTCAAACTGATAGAAGCGTCTGTTCAATATAAGAACAAATGCCCGATATCCATATTGTAAAGACGTTTCCACCAGTTTGCATAACATGGATGATGGCGTAGGTAAATACCAATAGCGAGGGCCCTGAGCTAGCAGCTCTCTCGTTGAACAAGGTATTGCCATTATAAAACAAGATATGACAATGATATCAGCAATGTCCTGTTGTGTGGAGAGAGAGAGAGAGACAGAAAGACGGACGAAGAATTGTCTAATATTGTGATAAAAGGGGTATGGTGGCAGATACACATGGCATGATTCACTGAGTTCTGGCATACCGGTATGTGAGTTCATAATTTGAAAGCAATGGAGATCATTTTAGAATCCATGGCTTTAACCATGGATTCTAAAATATTCAATACCTGAATGCCACTTAGAGTCTTTTTGAAGGCACTTATGGTTGGGGCAGATTTAGCCTCCGCTGGTAGTAAACTCCATGCCGTACTACCGCGGATTGGAATAGAACTACGCCCAGCTGGTCCTGGCAGGAGCGGGATGTGCAGCAGATTGTTCAGCTGTCCACGGGTGACACACTGATCAGCCACGCCTTCAGTCACTGCTCTGTGACGGAACAATGCCTGCAGCAGAGGGTTGGCGGAATTGTGCAGACATCTGTGGACAAGAGTCGACAACTTCAGGATAAAGTGCTCCTTGATACTGACTAATCCCAGTGGTGACAGTAATGGGGCAGTTGGTGTTAGACCTGTCCCCTTGGAAAAACGCGATTCCGCGGCTGCGGCAAATTTCGCAGAAATTGTCATCATCCGCGGAAATCACGGAATCCACACTATTGCCCGCGGAATTTGAATTTTTTAGGATAAATTAGTAAAATTACTACTCAGAAAGCAGCAGAAAAACTACTTTGCGATCTGTTTTAGCACATTATGCTCGTGCGAGTGTAGGTGAGTGCAGAATCTCCAAGATTCTTCACTCTCATTCAGTTTGTGACTGCAAACGATAGTGTAAAAAGTACTCCTTCATGCAAGGAGGGTGAAAAACTTGCAGAAAGTGCCGCAGATTTTTGATTTTACCAGATAATGCCGCAGAAAACCCCCCCCTTTTCCCCCGCGGAATTTGCCGCGGAATATTGAATTATTGGCCGCGTTTTTCCAAAGGGACAGGTTAGCATACACTGCTGGAATGTAGCACCAACTTGAAAAGCTTTTCCACTCGGATCAAGAGGCTTTGGCTGAGTCCTGGGAAGAAACAATTAGATCCATAGAGTATATCACGGTAAGAGAGGCTGTACCATTCTAAGAAACCAGGTGTGCCGTGCCTGTAAACTGAGTGAGCTGCCACGGTGCCAGAGTTGACCAATTGTTTGGGCTGTCCAAGGCAGATTCTGATCCACAATGACACTCTGAGGTATTTTGCTGAGGTGGCAACTGCTAGCTCTTCATCTCCACAACGTGCGGCAGTGCTGATGTCGATGACACCTCGCAATTGATGAACATGGGTTGGGTCTTGCTAGCGTTAGGAAGGATCCCAATTGCCATTAGTAAGGACACCACCCGATTGGTAACTGTAATGGTTAAGAGTCTCGCTAACCAACTTGGGATACAGATGGGAGCAGTCTAACTGCTATCATTATGCCATCAGCAAATTCCTGATTGAAAACGGTATCTGGTAGGATTGAGGTATTGTCGGTGTGCAATACGAATGAGAGAGGGCCCAGCACACTCCCTTCTGGTTATTTGTATGAGTTGTGTGTGTGCGTGTGCGTGTGTGCGCGCGCGCGCGTGTGTGTGTGTGTGTGTGTGTGTGTGTGTGTGACGGAGAGTAGGGGGAGTGTTTGTGTGCATCCTATTCTTGCGGAGTTGCTAGTGTATAGATCATGATGTTTGTTACTATCATCTGTAGTCCTGCAATGACCATTGGCGTGTGGTACTAAGTCACCGGTCATTTGTTCTGTTTTCGTATGTGACTTGCAGTGAGTTTTCACTTGCTCAGATCAAGAATGGTGAGAAGGATATCCTTGTTGCTACTGATGTTGCTGGACGTGGTATTGATATCAGGTAAGCTTGGCTACTACTGCAAGATTACTACTCCAGTGGTCCCTCTATAATCCGGTACCGTTTGTGCTACAGAAGTTCTGCTTTGACTAGGGAGGGTGCTGGATTATAAAGTCTGATTTATTGCTGCAATGTGCACGAAAAGGACGTTTTGGTAACTGAAAACCATCCTGGTTTATAGAGTGCTCAGGGGCGTCGGAAGCAGTTTAACATTGGTGCGGCGAAAGTGTGAGAGGGGGGTCCGGGGGTCCTCCCCCGGGATTTTTTTGAAAATTGGGCCTAAAAGGCCATATTTTTAATGCTACCGAATATTATGAGAAATAAGAATATGCATGCTGATGACACACCGCATTGTCGATGTAAAACATGGTACCTGTACAAGAGTCGACAAGCCATCAACAAGGTTGAAAATGTAAAAAAAAAAAAAAAAAAAAAAAAAAAAACTTCCAAAATTATTGGTGCGGCTTTGGCCGCACCTGCCGCACCGGTTCCGACGCCCCTGGTGCTGGATTAAAGAGGGACGACTCTACATCCATTGTCGTACTGCAGTAGTGCTGTCCTCAGGGAGCTGGCAATCTAGCACACTGCTGTTAGGCTAGTGGCACTGTGCACTGTGTCAGAGTGTCAGTAATGAATGTGTTATACTGTATACTCAAGTACTTGACTGCACTCACTGCTTACTACAGTGCTCGGCTGGGAAATCCAACCCCTGTCGCTCTTTCTGCCCCCACACACACACGTGCAGACACACTCACATCCATTCACTCAGCGTGTCTTCTTTAAAAGTCTAAAATGAATTCTTTGCAATCGGGAATCTCTCTTTGTTGGTGTTTATCGTCTGATCACTGCCTTTTCATGTGGTCTATTGGTTTGTTTTCTCAGAGATGTGTCATGTGTCATCAACTATGATATGGCCAAGTCAATTGAAGGTAACCACTCGATACTATACTTGCACCATCATTTATTTTAGCGGTTGTAAATCGACCCCGCTTATTATGTCCCCCCCCCCCCCCTCACCATGCTTTGGGCCCCAGTTTCCAGGCTCAAGGGCAGTTAGACCATGGTTGTAACTTGTAAGTCGATATCCCTTTTTACTTTTTTAGTAATAGTTTGTTTTTGGATCATAAAAAATGTTGACGTATAACCAGTGAAATACAGTACATTTAAAGTACTTATTTGCATTGCGCCATTCTACCAGTGCATGGGTTCAGATGCTGTTCCGTGCTCAATGCCGCGTATTGTTATGCATGGATTGTGCTTCAGAAGAAACTTGGACTCTAAGCCCTGAAACAGTTCTGTCCGCAGATTGAGTAGTTATTTGAAGCCAAAGTTGGAACAGCCGTCACACCAATGTCGTAATTCCTCTATCTTTTGCCTTTATGCTTTTTTCTTTCTTTCTGTAGACTACACGCATCGTATCGGTCGTACCGGACGTGCTGGAAAGTCTGGTCTGGCTGTGTCGTTCCTGACTAATGAAGATTCTCATCTGTTCTATGGTCTACGACAGCTGCTGAAAGGTAGTCCTGTTAGTGTGTGTCCGCCTGAACTTGACAGACATCCTGAAGCCCAGAACCCACCAGGAAATGTAGTCCATGGTGGTAAGAAGCGTAAGGATGAAGTTCTCTATCTGCAATAGATGCATCACTGCTCCATTTTGCACGTTGGAGCATGCGTTTGTGTGCATGTGAGTACGTATGTGCATGTGTGTTGATGCGGTGCCAGCTGTAACGTCCTGCTAACAGTTATTGTGTCTGTTGTTGTCCAATCAAAGTCCTCTTGGTTGGTTTCTACCAGCTCCTTGTGTCATCTCATTGCTTTAATCATTGGCTCGTTTCTCTGCCTGGCCGAATGAGCACCTTCTCTTCCATGCGCGATGCAGGGTGCGTTCTTTTTCTGTTCACTTTTTATTTACAGTGCAGTTGCCATTTTCTACTGTGAATCTGCATAATACGCAGGTCTCGTGGCTCCTGTTGAAAGAGAGAGAGAGAGAGAGAGAGAGAGAGAGAGAGAGAGAGAGAGAGAGAGAGAGAGAGAGAGAGAGAGAGAGCACATCCGTGTGTTGAGAGCACACATCCGTGTGTTGAGAGTCTGCGTGCTACTGCTGGCCGCTTTCCTTCAGTCATTAAGCTAGCCCATTGCTCTGCGTTTCGGGCACACGTGGGCAGCTACTAGCCTCACCGAGCAACCAGCAACCATTGTTGCCGTCTTCTCTTTTCACTTTGAAGTAAGAAGAAAATATCATTGTGTGCATTGGAAATTCTCGACAATATAGATCAAAAATTCACGAACAAATAAATCAGCTGTAACTGGTAGTTTGTGGCATACATGTACAGAAAATGGTTGCTGTGAATTGCCCCAATATGGCTGAAGTCCGAGCAAGTAGTGGGCATTGGTACATGCAGCTCCGATAACATGTGTCTGGATCCGTGTGTTGAGAGTCTGCGTGCTACTGCTGGCCGCTTTCCTTCAGTCATTAAGCTAGCCCATTGCTCTGTGTTTCGGGCACACGTGGGCAGCTACTAGCCTCACCGAGCAACCAGCAACCATTGTTGCCGTCTTCTCTTTTCACTTTGAAGTAAGAAGAAAATATCATTGTGTGCATTGGAAATTCTCGACAATATAGATCAAAAATTCACGAACAAATAAATCAGCTGTAACTGGTAGTTTGTGGCATACATGTACAGAAAATGGTTGCTGTGAATTGCCCCAATATGGCTGAAGTCCGAGCAAGTAGTGGGCATTGGTACATGCAGCTCCGATAACATGTGTCTGGTGGGTCGATACAGATATCTGCACGGGATGATTCACTCGAGGTAATAGCTATCTAGTATCTACGTAGGTTAGTCAAGGCAAAGGTGTCAACGTCAACAGCAGCTAACTAGTACTGATAGGCATTCGTCAGTATAGGTAGCATGCACACAGTAGCAGGATGTGGTGGAATGTGACAATGATCACTACTGAGTACTGTACTGTATAAACTACTAGTGTTACAACTTTTCCGTTTAGTGCAAGAATGTGAGCAGAATATAGCTGTGCTGATTCTTTAGAGCCCAGCGTTGGTGCTGCCCTCCGGCTTGAACATATCCATAGTCTCCATGTTGAGTGCGCATACACCACGCATAAAGGCGCGCTTCATCCTCGCTTCGTACTCGCCTCTTTCCTCGTGCAACTTTTGCACGCAGCCGCGCTCTGCATCGAGCAACTCGTGTGCCTACGTGCACAAACATTCATGAATGCGAACACACAGGCATGCAGACATGCCCACAAACACACATGGGTGCCCACGCACACACATGCACGTTCATCAGTATGCCGAGGCAGTGGTATTGGTCTGGGTCACAGTGTTTATCTTGTGACACTGCAGTACTTGAATATACACCAGGCAACTGTGCTCGAGGCACAGTGCAGTGTACTCCAGATATGAAGTGTGATGTGTATCAAATGTACATGTACCTTCAGTTGAATGGTGCAGACTTTGAAGAAGAGACCTGGGGGCACACCTTCTACTGTGGCTACTCTGAGGTCAAGGGGGTACATTGCTCCAGCAGGCACATACACTAGAGTCGCTCGCTAAAGAACGTGGAGCCCAAGAACGTCCAGCCTGAAATTCTAAGAACGCCACAGCCTAAAGCTAAGAACGTCGGTGTTGGTTTTCTGGCAGCTTGTGGGATACATATAATCCAGTACGGATTGTTTCTAATAACGTGCTATAAGAACGCAGCCAGATTGCTGAAAAATAAGAACGTCCCAGGCTAACCCCTTGGAAACAACGTTCTTGGGCGCGCGACTCTACTGTACTGATCTCGCCACGGGAATGGTGTGGCTCATTCAGACTCCTACACACATCTAAATGCTAATAATTGTGATGATTGATTGATACACACCATGCACATCTCACCTGGCGCAGCTCTTCTTCATACTTTTCAGCTAGTTCCTTACAGACACTTGTTGCCTTGGCCTGCAAGAGAGCGTTTCAAGAATAAAATACAGTGATGCATGCTTTGCTTCCGGTTACCGATGGTCTTGTTTCGAGTCCACGGACAAAATAATATGTCTTTGTTGCCCTGGTTGGAATTCGACTGAGCCTGACATTTACAAAAACCATGATACACTCAACATATCAAAGTGTCCAAAGTGGGTAGCATAATCATCTGTTCCTTTGTCTTTTCTTCTCCGAATGATGATCAGAAGAAACCTCAATACCTATCGCATTTACAGGAAGTTTGCCTTCGCCCACTCGCCAAGTCTATCATGAACGGGAAATCCCGACAATACAATGCATCTCTGAAAGTCACCATGCCACCATTTTGGAATGCTTAGAATGGTTTGGATTTTGTCACAGTGTTTGCACGTCATGATTTGGATCAAATACAGTGGCTACCTGCACAGCTACAGTTGCAGTATACCGTACCTGACATGCTTTCTCGACATGTTGCTTCCACCTCTGCACAAGCACACTTCTCCAGGCGTTGTAGACTTTGCGTTTCAGGCACTTCTTGTAGTGGCGTGTTGCCAGCTTTGCAGTGAATTCCTTAGCAGGAAGAAAAAGTTCACGCAGGCACTTAGCAGAACTGGTAAGGGATAGTAAAGAGTTGTAGTTAGGGTGCAGAGAGTTGAGGGCTGTGGTCGCTTGCTTAGACTCCGGTTCATCTGTCCACACCATGGTAAAACTGGTCAGGATTGGCTTCAGCTCCACAGTATGATAGTGTATTCCTAGAGTCTCTATAGTGTCCTTGATGCATCTCATATCCCGGCACAATATTCAGTCACCTGACACGACAATAATGATGTCAAGTACCTCTCTCTTTGTACTGCTGTGATTGGCTTGCCATTGGCCAAATGATTTCTGCAATTGAAGTTGATCCGCCTGTAGAGCCAGCAACAGAGAGAAAGAAAGCCGGAGAGAGGATTAACTGCAAAGAAAATTTATGTGTGGGTAAGAGACAGAATAAAGCGGGATGGTTTATCCGCATGCTGTATGGCCCCACAGTTCCTGAAGAGTTCTGTAAACATGTATAATATACTTGGCCTGTGAGATGTCATCTACTTGATCAATATGTCCGCAGCCCTAATCATCCATCGTGTCCACCAGCACACAACTTACTGCTATTCATGATTTGAAAATCTTTTACATCTTCATTGGTCTTCTTCAATAGGATGCAAGTACCACAGAGCTCAGACTTCAATAGGATGCAAGTACCACAGAGCTCAGACTTCAATAGGATGCAAGTACCACAGAGCTCAGACTTCAATAGGATGCAAGTACCACAGAGCTCAGACTTCAATAGGATGCAAGTACCACAGAGCTCAGACTTTGAAGGCATGCCTAGATCACTTATTTAAAAGTTATTATGCACAATGTCATGTCTATATGTCCATATTTCGTTTTGTCATGTCTCCACTCATTGCGTATGCAGTTTGCAATGCACTGAAAAGTGATGGTTCGGTGGATGGTGAGGACGTACTTGTTTCTTTAGGCTCTGTGTCAAGTTCTCGATGACTTGATCTTTGTGCTTCAAACTATCTTCTAGTGTGCTGGTTAACTGCCGTAACTCCTCCATTTCATGACGAAGACGACTGACTTTGGCAGCGTGTCTGCAGAAAGAGGATGAGAACACAACTACCAACGCAACACTATACAACACAAGCTGTGCATGCAGAGTCTTGGACCAAATGGTAAAGGGGTATGGAGGCCACGGTCTTTTCTGACCGCAGGGTCAGAAGATGTCATAGAGACCTCTTTGCTTTTGAATGAGCTCGACATAACGGGCCCAAGGTGCCCATCTCCCCCCCCCCCCCCCCCCCCCCACCGAAGTCATGCAGGTACCCAATCCCAGATGGACATCTTGGGTTTTCTGAGAAGTAGTTTTCGCACAAAGCCGGTAGGAATCAAATCTGCAGCATGCTTGGAAGGCCGATGCTCTCACCATTTTGCCAACCATGCTCCTGACCATGGCTGCTAGAAAAGCAACAAACCAGTGACCAACACGGTAATCTCCATGATGTGCTGCATGTGCAGTCTCACATACATGTACTAATAATAATAATAATAACTTTCGTAAAATAGCAATGAAAAATATCAATTGTGCACTCATAACCATGTATAAACAATTAAAATGAAGCAATTCCAGAACGTTTTCGTGTGACCATCATCAGTGGAACATCGTCACATAGTAAGAATCACTAAAACAACCAGTTATATAGCTAGAGTAATATGAAAAGAAGCGTGAGAATGCAGCACAGCTAGCGGTTATGCATAACGCGTGTAGTGTGAACCTTTGCAGTGTATCTGAGTGTATCTTTTCATATTACTCTAGCTATATAACTGGTTGTTTTAGTGATTCTTACTATGTGACGATGTTCCACTGATGATGGTCACACGAAAACGTTCTGGAATTGTTTCATTTTAATTGTTTATACATGGTTATGAGTGCACAATTGATATTTTTCATTGCTATTTTACGACTGTTGTCTCCTCGTTGGTTATTTAAATAATAACTTTATTACTTATCAGGATGACCCAAAGGCTGCCCGCCTATCGTGGGGTCCGTCACATTACAGGATGATGGTACATGATAATTGATTTGCATTACAGTGACTCTCCGAGCGACATCACCCGTGAAATACCACACAGTACATGGTCTGTTCCGTTCAGTCAACCCTCATTCAGATCATCCAGGCTGTGTGTCTCACCTTTCTCTTTCTGCTCCGCTTTCGAGACGAGACTTCTGTAGATACTTTGCTTTGGCCTGGGCAAACTCTGCCTGCAAAGCAAAGGTTATCACATGTAGTGCTTTCAAGCATCTGCATGTAATTATTCCTCTCACCAAGCCCATGCGTATGCACTCGCTGTGCTTTCAAGCTTGCATCGGTATAGTACTGTAACAAAGTTGAAAATCAGCACCTATTCTGTTAGTTGAACGAGTGCAACAGCATCATTGCCGAATCATAGTTAGTACTGCACTTACCAGAATACATTGCTTCAAGTCATTCGTCATTGCATCAATCTGCCCTTCCAGCCTCTCTGCATCCTCATCATGTCCACTGCTTGGCCTAGTCTCTCTTATCGTGTGAATACCACTGGCGGTTGTAGCAACCCCACTAGCAGTTATATCAGGCCGTATTCCTCCTACAGGTGACCTCGGTAACTGAAACAAACACACAACATGAAAGATACATCGGATAAAGTACAACCACTGATCTTTTTTACCGGACTCCCAATATAGTAACATCCCTGGAGTGTTGCTCACCTCCCAATATAGTAACATCCCTGGAGTGTTGCTCACCTCCTGATAATCCACACGTGTATACATAGTGTGCTGCTGTTGCTGCTGCTGCTGCTGCTGCTGTGTCGGTCTATTGCCAGCCAATGTTGGTATGTTATTGTGGGTATGGTTAGGCATGAGATCCAGTGATGATGTGCTGCAGCTAGATGTGTTGGATGAGTGATCGGACACATCTTGCTGCCGTTGCTGCTGTAGCAATTGGCGCCGATCTCCACCAGGGTGGCCTGCATGACATACAAGGTTGTGCCACACAGAACCCGGCACATCAGTACACATCCCTCGAGATCACATTTACATGCCCCATATTACGTTGCTCAGATTTTGACAGATCACTCAGGATTGGCCATGTACCCAATGCGAACAGCTGATCAAAAAAACATGCTGGGTCGTTTACCACAGCTTGGCCAATCCCCAGTGATGTGACGATGGAAGTATACTGTGCATCCAGCACAGTGCGTCTCAAGGAAATCTGACCGCGTGGGTTAAGTTTGTGCAGTGCACCTTTTCGCAGTCCAGTGTTCGCAGATCTAGGGCTGCGCAACGCCCGGCGCATGTTTGAGCTACTCGATCGGATTTCTTTGAGCAGTACTGTATTTACAGCCCATTCCGAGAATGACGAGGCTCCCCAAACTGGATTTTGCCCAAAGCAGTGCTTGAACATGTCCGATCCCAGAATTATTCCGAAGATTATTGCGGGCTGCCTACTCAACTGTGCCCCATTGTGAACGGGAGAGCAAATGCCTGCTGAATGTTCAAGTATCGAGCCGGTTGTCATGCTCAATCACCATACATGTATTTAGAAATTTGGTGTGAGCTACAATTTGGAGCAAGCATACCATTGGTCCGCAGAGTGGAAGTTTGTGGTCCGGTGCTTGCTGTCGGCACGTTAGCCCATTCAACACTGGACGTTGAAGATGATGACTCTGATTCGCTCAGTGTGTGTATCTCTTGCGCCAGGGAAAGTGGTGAGCCAGTACTAGCTGCCTGGTGAGTGGATCCTCGTTGTCTGCTAGCAGCCAGCTCTCGCCTTACGGACTCCTCTAAACTTTGTACCGGTTGACGAGTTTGAAGTAGTATGTTTGGCACAACTATTGCATGGCTGATCAGTTCCTCATATTCTTGCTTCAGCCCACTGGAAACGATCGAATCTGAACCAGGACTATCAAACGTTCCCAGAGGTGGTGTGGCCACGAACAGATCTTCGCTAGCTGGTTCTTGAGACATTGCCGCTGCTAATCGCACGGCAGCGTCGCTCAATCTACAAAGTTAGTTTGTGGCCAGTGGCAGCTGCTCTCCTCTCGCGCTGTTACGCGTTAACTAATACTTTGGAAGTAAACAGAGCGGCAGCCAACTACCTGTGGTAGGTGTTTTCTAAACCAACAAAACTGTTACAGCTTACTTTTGTAAAAAATGTCCTGCAAGCTAGGCGGTAGACCATGGTAGACGGGGGTCTACATAATGCCATGGTATGCCCTGGGTTTGAAGCCTTGCAGGATCCGCGCTCATCGTCATACTCCACGAAATGACTATGTCAGCGCGAGACGACAATGTCATGTCAATCTGTTTGAAATCTGCCCGCCATGCAGCGCAGTGTGTAGGTGGCAAGGAGGCCGCACGATCTACAACACACTGCATCGCGGTTCTCACTATCTCAGTGTGGTCGTATTTAGCGCTTTTGGGCGTCGTTATCTTCTTTTCTTCTTCGAGCACCGAGTACAACGTAAGTAACATTAAAGGGGAAGTATACCCTAAAATCAAATTTTCACCAGTTGTAGTCTTCGGGGTGCTGAGTCGAATGGTCTTGGTCCGAGGAAGCTGAGACGCTCCCTTCCTACTTGAATCCCAATCGAACTCGCGCACTTCCACCGAAACTGGGTGACTGCGCCCTACGAGATGGGGATTTGTATGCAAAATGTCACTAAAAGCGCCATTTCGTTCTTATAAAAGCACGGATGACCGCGATTGGCCCATATGTTGTAGTCTTTTGGACGCTGAGTCGACTGGTTTTGGTCCGAAAAGGCTGCGATGCAGCGTTCCTCCTTTATTCCCAATCGAACATGGTTGAACAAGCGGTCACGTGCTCCTGCGTACACCAGTCACCTGGTCACCGTGCCTGCAGGGTACAACTTACTACTAATACTAGCCTGTTTGACCTTTTTTGGGTGCACTCCTGTCACTCGAGTTGAACTCGAGTTGAACCTTGGTGTGAAAGTTGTCGCCTGCTGGGGCGGTGACCAGGTGATTTGGGCACCCAGGAGCACGTGACCGCTTGTTCAACCATGTTCGATTGGGAATAAAGGAGAAACGCTGCATCGCAGCCTTTTCGGACCAAAACCAGTCGACTCAGCGTCCAAAAGACTACAACATATGGGCCAATCGCGGTCATCCGTGCTTTTATAAGAACGGAATGGCGCTTTTAGTGACATTTTGCATACAAATCCCCATCTAGTAGGGCGCAGTCACCCAGTTTCGGTGGAAGTGCGCGAGTTCGATTGGGATTCAAGTAGGAAGGGAGCATCGCAGCTTCCTCGGACCAAGACCATTCGACTCAGCACCCAGAAGACTACAACTGGTGAAAATTTGATTTTAGGGTATACTTCCCCTTTAATTTTGCTACTTGACCTTGCAGAGCGTGGCACCCGGGTTCTTCTGCTTGTTCTGCTGTCTTCTTCTGCAACACCCCATCCCTGTTCCCTCGGTAAGTGCCCTATGCCTGGAAACGGAGCTTTCTCACACAGCAGCAAGGACAGGAAAATTCCGTTGCAACTCTCCCAAGTTTGCATGATCACCTGGTTGTGTCTGATGATCAGGTAAAAGTGAAACATCGACGGAATTCCCTCTCCACTTGCTGCGTGAGTCGGAACCTCACACAACACATTCAATGATACTCATCACGCCACGGACACTTGCCTCGATCGGATAACGCAGCGACATCGAGCGCTACATCTCACACTCAACAGCATGTAGCTGTGATTACGGTACAGAGCCAAGAAAAGAACAGCGTTGTCGCTTATACTATTGGTAACCTTGGACGGCCCCTAAGCCACTTCGAATAGATACCGGCAAAAGACCACAACAGTTTCAGAAAAAGAAGAAATATGCGAAAAGAAGACAAAAACTAGGGTGCCGACACCACTCGGGCACAGATGCCCACCCAACCGCTTCGGTCAGCAGCAAGGGCACGGAACGCCTCCAGATCGACTTTGCTTGACAAGGAAAGTCCAATCCGCTTGGCATCATCTTGTAGGAGCGTTGGTAGTGTGTGTCTTGGTCGTCCCCTCCAGCCCGCTGGACGAGGCTCTTGCGAAGTATGCTCCCATGGCCATTGATGGTGGGGAGTCAGCCGGGAGCCGGAGGACGTGCCCAAAGAGCCTCCACCTAGCTCTCAAGATGATGATGCCGAGAGGAACCGCGCCGGTACGCTCATAGAGCCTCTCGTTCCTAATCCGATTCGGAACACAATGCCGATTAGCGCCCGCAGCTGTTTTCGGTGGAAGGCCTCAATGCGGCTCAGCTGCTGTTTCTTTGGTGCCCATGTTGCACAATTGTAGCAGAGTACAGGGAGTACAAAGGCATTATAGAGCCGGATGCGGAGATCCTCCGAAACTAGCGACCTACGGATCCACAGCGTCCAGAGTTTATGAGTATGTTACAGTGTTTTACTGGTGGAAGCAATTGTGCCGATTACTGTGTCCAGAGGTTGGAATGCATATCGGTAGGTAGGAGGTTTGCTTGCAGCATGATGGCTGTTAGGGTGAACTCGCTTGTCTTCCTGTAGTAGTACTGCCGGGGCACTCTTCTTGACTATGATGAGGAGAGCAGCAAGGACATCTTAGTCTTGTACTTGGCGAGCGCTGTTTCAGGCAGCGGACGGATAAGTTACCACGAACAAGTACCGGTACTAGTAACTATGTGCGGTTCATCCACCGTCCGTAGAGGGCTCAATTTGCCGAAGGCAAAGAGCGGAATACACAGACAGAAGAACGAGCAGTTGCGGTTTCGTAACTCTGAGTTTCACGAACTGAATCGATCATCAGACGAAAATTGGCACCAATTTTTGTCTGATGATCGATTCAGTTCGTGAAAATCAGAGTTACGAAACAGCAACTGCTCGTTCCTCTGTCTGGGTACTAGTAACTATGCAGACGGCAAGACTGCACCCGGCCCGTGCCCTGGCTTCGCTCTGTACAGAAACATCACACGACCGTGGACGCACAACACTCTGTCCGGCGTGTATTTAGTATTTACCGCCATATTGCCAGGTGCGTGTTTACCACCATAATTATCCACCATAATTATCAGGGAGTCGTAAAATATTTAATTTACGACTCCCTGATAATTATGAATAAAGTTACTGAGTCAGATCATGTACCCGTACAATACGTTTCACTTCCAGCTGCACCCTTTTCATACCAGAATAACCAGATGAGGGTCGGATCTCATGAGTCATGACTTCATGTACATGTAGCCGATTGTTGCGAAAAATCAGGGATTTCCCGATATTCCACTACTGTAAAATATACAAAATTTCGGCGCTGCAAAATTTCGGCACTTCACGATTTTTGACATTTCGGCGGCGATATATTTTCGGCGTGAGGTAGAGGGCATGGTATAGTGCGACAGATGCTGTGAAAAATTTCATCGGCGTTTTAAAGGGGAAGTATACCCTAAAATCAAATTTTCACCAGTTGTAGTCTTTGGGGTGCTGAGTCGAATGGTCTTGGTCCGAGGAAGCTGAGACGCTCCCTTCCTACTTGAATCCCAATCGAACTCGCGCACTTCCACCGAAACTGGGTGACTGCGCCCTACTAGATGGGGATTTGTATGCAAAATGTCACTAAAAGCGCCATTTCGTTCTTATAAAAACACGGATGACCGCGATTGGCCCATATGTTGTAGTCTTTTGGACGCTGAGTCGACTGGTTTTGGTCCGAAAAGGCTGCGATGCAGCGTTCCTCCTTTATTCCCAATCGAACATGGTTGAACAAGCGGTCACGTGCTCCTGCGTACACCAGTCACCTGGTCACCGTGCCTGCAGGGTACAACTTACTAGCCTGTTTGACCTTTTTTGGGTGCAGTCCTGTCACTCGAGTTGAACTCGAGTTGAACCTTGGTGTGAAAGTTCTCGCCTGCTGGCGCGGTGAACAGGTGATTTGGGCACCCAGGAGCACGTGACCGCTTGTTCAACCATGTTCGATTGGGAATAAAGGAGGAACGCTGCATCGCAGCCTTTTCGGACCAAAACCAGTCGACTCAGCGTCCAAAAGACTACAACATATGGGCCAATCGCGGTCATCCGTGCTTTTATAAGAACGAAATGGCGCTTTTAGTGACATTTTGCATACAAATCCCCATCTAGTAGGGCGCAGTCACCCAGTTTCGGTGGAAGTGCGCGAGTTCGATTGGGATTCAAGTAGGAAGGGAGCGTCGCAGCTTCCTCGGACCAAGACCATTCGACTCAGCACCCAGAAGACTACAACTGGTGAAAATTTGATTTTAGGGTATACTTCCCCTTTAATACAAACGTTTTGGGTCGGTGCCGAATATAGCCGACATTAAATAGCTGCCGAAAATTTGTATATTTACAGTATGCAACTCGTAATGCCACTCAAACCTTACATAATCATTGCGGCTCGTTTTGTTCCAATCTAATGCTCCATAATGCTCTGACAGTGATCAGGTGATAGTCTCTGCCGAATAGAATGCCGGCATTTATCCGCTGTACCCTGTACATGTAGTACGGTACTAGTACTTACTTGTTTTTCGATTTTGACAGCATGTTACAAGGCGAGGAGTCGAGGACCATAACCCGGTTGGCAGAGTCCCGGTCTTGCCACCATTTGAACCGTATTATTGGGAAAACCCAGGTTCGGACCCTCGTTACCAGGGAGCAGTACAATACTATTGTACTGCTCCCTGCTCGTTACTGTATAGATCTAGGGGTTGGTAGGATTTAGAAAATTTCTTTTTTTGTTGTAGAAGTCGTCGTGTTGCCGCCGCAGTATTGTTCACGTTGTCGCGTTGCTGCCGCTCAGCGGCTGTAGGGATCACGTCTGGAAAGGATTTTGTGATTGTGATGTTGTTATTTTCTTGTCTTCCTCTGTAATTTGTCATTTATCTTTTTTTGTCTTTTTTTGTTCTTTTCTTTTTTTTGTCTTTTTTCCAACTTACTTCTGCCCATGGCGTCCTTCTCTCAGCTCGTCAGCTGTAACAGTCATAGTCATCACCATGACAACTGTTTTGAGAAGGTGCTCGCTGCCGACGAGGTTGGTGATGTTCCGACAGTACTTTTACTTTTTAGTACTATAGTAGTTACTAACAAGAGTACATAAACCGGTTTATGTACTCTTGTATGTACTCTTGTATAGCGAACCACACGTAACAATGCACGGATGCACACCGACTACTTATACTTATAGTAACTAACTTGAGACCCCATTACATGTACATGTAGCTGCATCCATGTGCCTGGCCACAAGTTCCCCGAGTTGACTGTGGGAAGCAGCACGGCTGGAAAAACCGCTCCCAGGCAGGACTTGAACCAGGTACCTCTCGTATAATCTCAATCATGGTCTTTGACCAACCCACTGTGCCTGCCTGTTCAAAAATGTTCAAACATGGATGCAGCTAATGAGGTCGTTCTCGGCACTTGTGCCAGTGGTTGTGAGACTTATCCACTCACCCCCACCGTTATACGCGTTAGGCGCTGCATCTGCTGCTAGTATAGGGTTTACCGGGTGTTAGCGGCCGTCGTGAGTTCCCTTCGGGAACGGACACGATAATTTTTTTAATTTTTTTTAAACTAACTTGAGAACGGGTTTATTCACAACACCCCCGCCCCGCGCGGCCAATCGGGTGAAACCATAAAGTAAGAGTCAAAAAAAAGGAAAAAGAAAACCCACGAACACTCTTTGTGTTGATCCACTTGTACCAACACTAGGCAAGAGTGCTGGGCTTGTACAATCACACAAGATACAAGTAAATAATTAGTTAGTACCACGGGGCCGGGGCCATAATATACATGTACCAAGAGTTCATAACCCCCTGGGGGTTATGAACTCTTGATGAATATACAAATACCACACCTACTTGTACTACGTTGTAGTACTGTTGTTGTACAATGACGGACAAGTAGATCTACGTCACGTAACGACACGTTCACGATGTACGAGAGCTTTTTTTGTATCCTGAGCTGAGCATGAGCTCCTCGATCCTGCTGAGATCGAGATGAGAGGCCTTACCTCTTGTACGAGTCGTAATTCTCTGGCGGTATTTTGCCCGTACAAGAGGCTCAGTACAGTGAAAAAAAAAAAAAAAAAACGTGGCCGTGGCCGAGCCGGTGGGCCGGTACGTAGATATATCTACGTAGATCTACGTACGTACGTAGACCTACGTAGATCTACGCGGTGTTACGCCAGTTACGGCCCACTGCATGCACTGCACTGCATGCACGCACGTGCACCGGTACGTTACGCGTGGGGGCGCCAGCAGCTATATGCGCGCTAGCTAGCTAGAGATAAAACTTATTAAAAGAGAGCTTTTTCACAAAAAGTTTTCACAACGCGAAAACTATTTTCAAAAGAAGAGTGAATGAGTATGCTGGTGCATCCTTGACCTGCAGTTAAAAAACTGTTTGCTTGAATGTTTTGAGTAAGCTGTTGGGTGATAATATCGCAGCAGTGCAGTATCATTCCAAACCAGTTGTCAGTGAACAGTGTGAGAGAGTAGATTGTCATGGATATCAGGCGGCCAGTGGCAAAGGCTCCTAATCGTTCTGATGATGGAGCAATTCAGTCTTGTCACATTGTAGTTCCTGGTGACGTGATAACGAAGGACACAGGGTTTATGAGGTGAGAATTACAATGAATACAATTAATGTATCTGTTCTGGCCCACCATCTTTACTGTTCGAAATGATTATAATACAGTCATGTAGTGAGTGAGTGCACATTATAAAATAATTGAATTCTCCATTTGATTGCAATTGTTCTCATGTTTAGTAAATTATTACATTGTAACGGTTTACGAGTATCTTTGAAACTGTCCACCTCTCCACATTGCGCTCTTGGCCTACATTCACCACCCCATGGCGAGGAAGTTCGTTCTTGGATAGATGTTCCATATCCTCCAGACAGCTGTTTCACTCATGGAGAGCTCCTCAGTGGAGGTAGATAACGAATGAATAGCAGATAAAGGACTGAGTATATTTATAGGGTAAAAGTGGCGCAATTGCGTACTTTCTACGTAGGAAAATAGCACACCCAAAGACGTTAAAAGGTAGCAAAAGTTCCAAAGGTGATAACGAAACGCACAGCGCTGCTGGGACATGCATACAGATGGCGCTAGAATTTAGACCAGCGTGTGAAGCAGACAATCTATTAGAAGTTCACACTAACGTTGCCACACATACATGCACAACAGACCGAAAGTACTGGTACTATAGTAACGTGACAATGAGATGAGATAAACGGAAGGCCAGACAACACGACAGTCCTGGAGGCCCGTTGGGCCCCCGGCACAGTGCGTTTCGTTATCACCTTTGGAACTTTTGTCACCTTCAACTTCTTTGGGTATGCCCCTTTTCACTTTTACCATAAATAGACTCATTCCTTCATCTGCTATTCATTCGTTATCTTCCTCCACTGAGGAGCTCTCAATGAGCGAAACAGCTGTCTGGAGGATATAGTAGGCACTTCAGCCGGTTTTTTCAAGTCGGGTTTCTCCCAGGTTTAGCATCGTAAATCGACAGTGGTGGGTATCACGAGGTCACACACAAAATTTCATTGAAATCCACAAAGACACAAGTGAGATATGAAGGGTTGAAGAGAGGCAATTGCATGAGCCGAAAGCAATACAATTTGTGGTATCAACAGCATCCCCAAAGTGTTATCAGTGGATATAGTTACAAAACATCAGAGTGGCATTTTCAAACACACGGCTCTCACAAACACCAACAACCGTTTATGGATCAACAAAATACTTATCAAAGTTCACAATAGTCCAGAATACGGCAATTGTTACCACAATCACCATAGCAACCCCATAGCAACCCATAGTAACCCATGGCAACCCCATAGTAACAGCTTCGGTTTGCTGTGAAATAAGCTAGTATCGACATTAGAGTTCACCAGCAGGCAACTGCCGCTGCTAAATGCTATAAAAGACATTCTTCTGGCACTCAGAAGGTAAGCACACAGAGATAGCATCCGCTAAATGAATTGAAAGCGGAATTTCTGCATACACAACGCACGTGCACACGTTAACGCCACTTCAAACAGAGGTTCGATGTTGGAAACCAGTTTCTCTATTGGCAGCTCCTTTGTACCAGTAGAAAGTGCAAACTAAATTACTTCGGACCTTCTGCAGCAGAACAAACTTGCAGAAGTGAAACTGCGAATTGAGAGCAAGGCGTTCGCCAGTGACACAGAACATTTTTGAGAGCTGCTCCTGTGCTGCCTCCTTCGAGATCCAGAGTCCACCAACAGCCGTGATCTTCGTCAAAGTCTCCATTTCCTTTTGATGTTGTTTTCTCTTGCGTGTGCTACCTGATCCTTCTCCTTCACTTGCTCCATACAGCAGTCATGAATTGTCTGCTGGCGAGCCTCGAAATTCGAACAGAATTTTGGTGCAGCGCGCCTGGATGCGTCGATCAAAGTGTCCCTCTCATCGGAGGATTTCTCCTGTAGCCACTGTGCCGTTTGATTGTTCGTAAACATCAGTAGCCGTTCAAGCACAACAGGGTCAAACATTGGCTTTCAGCAGGCTTTGAAACTGGCTCAGGTAGGACGACGACGCATCTTTCTCCTCCGCCTCAAGCCCTTCTCCTCACTATCTACGTCCATATTTCCTCCTTGCGCAGCTATGCGCAAACCCTGGTGAACAAGAACTCAACTGTTTCTGAATGGAAACACGACGCTGAAGACGATAGGCAACGTTTCCAACGCGTACTAACAACATTTCCTTGTGAAAAAACTCTTTGCTGGAAGTGTACATGACCTGCAAGTCGTAAAAATGTACGCACTATGACGTATGTAGGCTCTACTGAAAGCTGAACGTCAGAGCAGCACGATGCACTGAACTACATGCCCGTACAACGAAGCATGGTGCGTACCTGTACAGTTTTGCGCATGCACTTGGCTGATACCACGCAAGTATGCACTCAGACCTCAGCAAAATTTGACAGGTCTTGTCACGTGACTGAAGTGCCTAGATATAGACCATCTATCCAAGAACGAACTTCCTCGCTATGGTGTGGTGAATGTGGGCCAAGAGCACAGTATGGAGAGGTGGACAGCTTCAAATTATTCTCTTGGCCGCTCTCACCTACCTTAAGTTCTGGTCATGTGGTATATGGGAACTATGCCATCCACATGCACACATATGGGCACTCATGCACACGCACGGACACACGCACACCCACAAACACGCATATACACATACATACACGCATGCACACATGTGCAATAGTTTGCCAATAAAGGGTGCTGGATCCTAGCAATGCCAAACATACTACATACACGTCACTTTATGACGTCACTAGCAGCACCCGGCCAGCGTTGCCTGGCCGAACGTGGCATGCGGGTGAAGCAAGTACATGAACAGCACATTGCTGTGTAACACCGCATGACCGGGTAGTTGTTTATCAGCAGTTATAGAACTGAGATTTACAATAGTGAAGGCTCATCCAATTATTGGGAAATTGTGCCTTAGGCATGTTGAGACATGTACGTACATGTACATGTGGCAGCTTGGACATAGAGAGTGTACTTGTGTTCAGCATATGGGATGATGGGATGCTTCATCCTCGAACAATAATGCGAACAGTAATGCGCAGCATGGTGAGTGAATGGAATCACGTATAGAGTTCTCAGTTATTGGGATTAGTCAGCCATGACAACAAATCGTCGGCAAAGTACTGCGGCACACCCGCAGGAGACACCAAAAAAAATTCAAGGCAGGAGACACCATGCCCTGCACGAAACTGCTAAAGCGTGGCCTCAAGAGACCCCAGAAGAGGCAGAACAAAGGCAAAGTGGAAACCCAATGCAAGGAAGCCATAGGTGCTGTGTAACACCGCATGACCGGGTAGTTGTTTATCAGCAGTTATAGAACTGAGATTTACAATAGTGAAGGCTCATCCAATTATTGGGAAATTGTGCCTTAGGCATGTTGAGACATGTACGTACATGTACATGTGGCAGCTTGGACATAGAGAGTGTACTTGTGTTCAGCATATGGGATGATGGGATGCTTCATCCTCGAACAATAATGCGAACAGTAATGCGCAGCATGGTGAGTGAATGGAATCACGTATAGAGTTCTCAGTTATTGGGATTAGTCAGCCATGACAACAAATCGTCGGCAAAGTACTGCGGCACACCCGCAGGAGACACCAAAAAAAATTCAAGGCAGGAGACACCATGCCCTGCACGAAACTGCTAAAGCGTGGCCTCAAGAGACCCCAGAAGAGGCAGAACAAAGGCAAAGTGGAAACCCAATGCAAGGAAGCCATAGGTCACTGGAGACGCAAGGGAAGGAGGTTCGGTAGGCAGTTGGATCAGAGGAAGCTGCAGGTAACAGAGATCTTACAGGGACAAATGCAATGGTTATGGAGACTCCCCCTCCCCTCCCCCTCCCCCGCACCCCCCGCATCCCCCCCTCCCCCACACACCATGCGGTATGTGGCACCTTCTTCTGCTAGAGGCCTGTGGGCATGACGTGCAGTCACTGTAGTGCAGCCGGGTAAACTACATTTCTCGTTTTGCCGTCATTGCACAAAATGTGAAGGTTGTCTGGATTACCTACCCGTGAGCAACCCACATAAAACTGTCCATGAGCAAAGCATGGTGTTGTTAGGTCCAAACCAACAACCTTCAGGGACTGCCCTTGGGACTTGTTTATGGTCATGCAAAAGCAGACACGGAGTGGGAACTGGACACGTCGAAGTTGGAATGGCAGATTGGTGGATGTCGTGGGTATTTTCGGTATGTACACCGGTTCTCCTGCACCCGACCCAGTCAAAATCTCAGCTTCAATTACATGTCGCTGGATGCGCTTCACAATTAATCTTGTGCCATTGCACAACTTCGGCGCATCCAGGTTCCTGAGAAGCATGACCGGCACACCCACTTTGAGGTGAAGCAGGTGACTTGGTAAGCCTGAGGGGTTACAGGAGTTCAGGAATTCAACAGGGTAATCACCAGAGTCGTCATCTTCGACAGTGTCAACAGACTCGTACTGGACCAAGTCACCTGGCAGTTTGTGCATGAGTATCCCATTCATGTCAGTGACAGTGTCATTCAAAGGTGCAAGGATAGCTCTTTCTTTCAACCAAGTGGGATCTACAAAATTGTCCGCGACATCAGGGTAGATTATTCGTACAATGTCTTCTTGGGAAGCAGCAATCTGTGCGAGATCACCCGGAACCGCAATTTCGCCTGAAGGCAGAACGGGTATTGCACCGTTGCCGACTTTAAGGAGCTGCGCAGAGAATTGACCCGCATTGGTATCACTGCTACGCAGAACTCGCATGTTTGTGGTAAGTGTGTACTTCACCACGGAACGCCAGAACGCCGAAGACTTGATGCAGGCATTGATCTCATCAGCAGAAGTGCCTCTAGGAACAATAGGCAACGTTTGGCGAAAGTCACCGGACATCACAACCGTCACACCACCCATCAAGGAATTAGAGCTGCGCAGGTCTCGCAAAGTCCTGTCGACAGCCTCGAAAGCATGCTTGTGTGACATCGTGCATTCGTCCCACACGATCAGCACAGCCTCACGAAGGAGCGCTGCTTTCTCAGAATCTTTGGCGATCGAGCAGGTTGGCTCCTCAAGGCGGTGCAGATCTAAGGGCAAAGCGAACGTGGAGTGAGCAGTCCGACCACCAGCCAAGAGTGTGGCTGCTATTCCGGAAGAGGCAACAGCCAAGGCAACGTGTCCACCTGATCTAACCTTTGCAAGAAGTAAGTTTGTGACGTACGTCTTACCTGTACCACCGGGTGCGTCGAGGAAAATCAACCCACCGTCACTTGTCTGTACCTGGTCACAAATTGCGTCATACGCCAAACGTTGATCGTCGGTTAGTGTCGGTTCTTGTTGTCGTACTTGCTCAAGCAACGCGGCACGGTCGTAGTTGGTCTCCCTTGCAAGAGGCTGGTCGGACAGAGTTGAACTTGCCTGTGATGGGTCTGGAAGGCCTGCACTTACCAAGGTTCTACCGCACATGGTGAGAAGGTGTGTCTGGATGGCGCAAAGGCACTGATCGAACTCCATCTGAGAAAATGTTCGCGCCTCATTCCCTTCCTGTCGACGCGCCGCCTGCAAGTAATCTTCTGACATTGCCTCACGGAATTCATTCCATAGTCGCAAAGGATCACTAACTTCGCAGAAGGACATCATGATGGAAAAGAGGTGCCTGATCGCAGCTGGATGGCTGGACTCGGCAGAAAAGGTAGCTGCACGATGCGCTCTTCACTGCAGATCAGATGCAGAGTGCAGTCAGTGCAGATCTTTTGTATCCTTTTTTTGCAGATGTTTCTATTTGCAGAGAACGGTTCACGTGGTCCGCAGCGCTTGTGCGGCTGCTAGTGCTACCTATGGCCTAGGGTAGGTGGCTACACGATTCGCACGCTTCGCGTGCTCAGTGCTTCTGCGCGCGGCTGCTACTGCTACTCGTACTGATCGTGTCTGCTAGCTACACTGTTCGCACGCTTCGCGTGCTCAGCACGTGGTGGTGGCTACACGATTCGCACGCTTCGCGTGCTCAGTGCTTCTGTGGCTGCTTCCGCTAGCTACACGATTCGCACGCTTCGCGTGCTCAGTGCTTCTGCGGTCGCTAGCTACACTGTTCGCACGCTTCGCGTGCTCAGGGCAGCGCTGCGGAGTTCTGCGTAACACACAGACAAACACACGTCACAGGTGCCTCTTCTTTATAAGTATAGATATACGGGTATGGCACGGCTTTTGGAATAAGTAAGGAGAGACAGTAGCTCAACTGCTGGGTCTAAGACCATGGGTACAATTTGTAGTGAAAAATTACGGTTCGTGGGCGGAAGTCGTAAACAGTAGGGAAGCATGAAAAGTTTCTGTCCCCCGGGGAAAATCGCGATTACGCGGCCGCGTTTTTTCCCGCATTTTTGCGATTTTTTAAAAGACCGCGTTGTCCGCAATTTTCCCGCTTTTTTTAAACTTTTTTGTTGCACTACACGTACACACAGTGCACTGTTCGGTCAGCAACGTCTCGTCGTGGCGGCTTTGTACTCAAATATGACGAGTGCTTACACCAGTGACTTGTAACTGATTGATTTCACTACATACTCACTGAAAATTGCCTCGTATCAATAATATTCACCGCATATTTACCGAATATTAAACGCAAATTCACCGCAAATTATTATTATGCCGCGTTTTTTTGCGATTTTTTCTGCGTTTTTCCCCGGGGACAGAAGTTTGCGCCTTGCACCATTTCGCAGCCCAGCATTCGCAGGTCTAGGGCTGCGCAATGCCCGGCGCATACTTGAGTGATACGACTGGATTTTATTGAGCAGCACTGTATAAGTTGAGATACAATGGGTTCAAAAGACTGGCACGTGAGACTGCCTGTAAACAGAGGCAGTGCTGGACAGCAGTGCACCTAATACACTTCATTTAAAAGCGGGATTCATCGAAGCATTTTTTTTCGAAGCATGATGCGACAGCTGTGAAACCGGGAAATTTCCGAATCGCATCCATAGCGCAGATCACGACAACCATCGCAACTGGGTGCTCGCAGAAGTTGATCTTGGCTCAACTTTCGCCATTCGACATGATGTGCGATTTGGACCTTCTTTGCAGCAACGTTGTACGAAAGGTTCAAGAAGTGTAGATTTGTAACACGTGTGCCCAGCTAAGCGAGTGCCACGGTGACGCTCACCACTGCATTGAGTTTTGAGGCGCAGCAGCAAGGCGATGTCACGTCATTGACTTCTGCTGTGAACTGTATGTCGCGAGTTCGCATTGCACTCCGGCGTCGCAGATCACGTCGCATCGCGCATTGTATCGCGAGAATGCTTCTGTGAATCCCACTTCATACTAGATGTACTTGTATTAGCTGCTGATGGTTGATAGTTGGAGCTGTATGGCCATAAGGGTGATGCTAAGTCACACGATCACCACAAACACAAAGCAGATTGAATTTCAATCCAGCTCTGTGTTACATGATGCATGCATCATGTAATATTAACGTTTGATGGTGAGAGTGGTGTTTTCGGCTATTTAGCCTACACACGCAGGGTGTGTGTGATGGTGGCAGAAAGAGAGAGAGAGAGAGAGAGAGAGAGAGAGAGAGAGAGAGAGAGAGAGCAGTTCTACTTTGAGCAGACGTACTTTTTCAATGTCAAGGCCTACTACACTCTCATAGTTTCACAAATTTTCGGTGTACTTTTATTTTCGGTACTTTCGGTGCGTCTGTTTCATACCTAAAATTTCAATACTCCGAACAAACACTAACAAACATAATCCAATAGGGAACTGCTTCTCTGTACCGAAAATTTCTGTTCACCTAATCTAGCCTGTTGCCCTCATACCGAAAATATTGAGCATCGAAAATTTCTGAAATTAGAGTATACCTTATTAGTAGGGCTTGCTTCTCCTGCAAAATGCAATATTGATCTGTTAGATGACGTGCGATTTCCCAGCCTGGCCAGGCCTGTGTAGTAATGTGCGTGCGTGTGTGTGTGTGTGTATCTTTCATTCTCCTGGGTGGTTACCAACAGCCAGTGTATGCCGGAGTATGTGGTGTGGTGTGTGTGTAGAAAAAAAATGGAAAAATGAAAAATAGGGATTCACTGGCCAGAAAAAGTCACTTCAAATAGCTGTGTGGTGGATACCAGGCTAAAAATAGTGGCGGTCAATTCATCAGCCTTGCAAGCTGTTGAATGGTGTAATCCCAGCACAAGTTGCTATGTCTAACATAGCTGTTCGCTATCATCGCTTCCGCGATGGGCATGTCTGAGGTCTGAGGTGTGTGATTATGTGCGTGCGTGCGCGTGTGTGTGTGTGTGTGTGTGTGTGTGTGTGTGTGTGTGTGTGTTACCTTGAATGCAGGGGTCATGGCACCTTCACGGAAGGTGACACGTTACTAGCATCAGTGCCTGGAGTTATTGAGAGACACAACAAACTGATTTGTGCTAGACCACTTAGTGGACGGTAAGCATTGTGACTTGATCATGAGTTTAATTTCTGGTATTAACTGTCTAGTCGCTCCAGCTGATGTGATGTAATGCCACAAACGTCACTACAGTCACACCAGCCTCTTTACGGGGGGCAAATGCAACACAATAATTATGATGAGAAACCAAGGTATGATAGGAAGAAAAATTGAAAAATAACACACAGGTGTGGAAAAATATGTCTCATGAGAGCGGCAAGAGTTTACACTAAACCACAACTGGTTTAGATCTGGCTTTCAACCACCGCCGGCTCCCTGAGCTCGTTAGCTGGACGATGGTATGCAGACCGAGACCCACGAAAACACAGTCGCTACAGTGGTTTCGTGAAAATTCTTCCACTGTAGTCAAAGACTAATACGCAGGAGGCAACTAGCAACAGTTATCATTCCAAGTACTATACCACCTTCAAGAGTATGCAACGCAGGTTACTCCCGCATGCAGTCCTGTATCAACAAAATTTAAATCAACGTCATTTTACGATCCAATGCTCCTTGTATGTGTGATTTCCGATGTTCGTATAAAGATATCAGCACGTCACACACGTGTCTGTTTGCACTAGTTTGTGAAGGATCAGGACGTGAAATGTCTACTCCACTGGCCTATGTGTCGAGACGTCTGAAAGCACAATTAGATTACACGTTTCATCGTAAATTGACGTCAACTGGACATCTTGTTGGGACAGCACTGACAGGGGAGTAGCACTCTCTTGTTAGTGATTCACTTTTGCTCAAGCCTACATCCTACGTGTACTTCACGCAGTGGCAGCTGTCTCCAACAATGATCAGTGGTCACAGTTGGACATCTCTGGCAATGCAAAACCATTTCACAGATCAGATATGGCAGTTGACAATGATACTTCTTTAATGAGGATATGCTTATAGTGTGTGGTGAAGGGAATGAATGGCGAGGTGTCGTGGCGTAGTTATGGGTGAAATATTCTTGGGTATTGTGAAGTAGCACAGAAGCGACTGGAAATTATGATGTGGTCTTTTTGCATTACTCCTCTCAGTTGGGTGTAGTATGCAACCACCTGCTAGTGTGGAAGTGATTGGCCTGTAGCTCTGTCACCCTTTGTTTTTTCCTTCCATTGTCATTCTCTTTTCCACCGCTTTTTCCACTGCTTTCAGGTACAACGGCGAAGTTGGTGATGTTGTCGTTGGGCGAATTGTTGAGGTGAGTCATGCAATGGACAGGGCTTTTGCAATCAAGTGTTGTGGACGAATGCTATGGCATTTGATCAGGGCACTACCACTCGGTGTACTAGTAGAAATGACATCCAACGGGGAGTTGGAGAATGGAGATGTTCTCGAAGCCCCAATATGGCAAAAATACCCTAATCTTGAAAAATGAAGAGCAACTGCGCGTTGAGGATGTTGAAATACGTAGAATGTGGAACTGGTACAATCTACAGTACTGACCAATGAAATGTTATGAGCTTCGAGTACAGCGTCCGTCGCAACCTGCAAAGTGAAGCTATAGTGCTGTGCAAGCTTGTGCCGTGATTCGTACTGGGTTAGCCCTGGCATCCAACTTGACCATACAAACAAGACTGTAAGTTTCCCTCAGCAGTAGGCAGGAGCAGAGTGGCGCAGCGGAAGCGTGCTGGGCCCATAACCCAGAGGTCGATGGATCGAAACCATCCTCTGCTAGCATTTTTTTCTTTTTTCTTTTCCATGATTGCTATCTAATATAAAAAGTCCATAGCCAAGAGTATGCAAGTGCCAGCAGCTGACTTCATTACTTTTTGTCTTCTTCTTTTTTTCCCTCTTTGTTACATCATGCACCTATGAATAATTGCACACTGCGGAAAGTCAAACATCACAATTTCCCTGTGGTTAGACACCACCTTCCGTTCGGATTTAAAGTTCATGTAAACTTTTTAAGATCATATCGGTATTTGAGTGAATCAAGCAAATTCTGTTGTGCTGGTGCGAGAGATTGTGAGCTTGAGTGCATGAGTACACGGCATGATGCTGGCAGGTTACATAATGAAGGCAGCACGCTGCCCACTGACCCGTAATCACAGTTACATACCTGTGGTTTTAACGTGACATGTTCTGTACTCGCACCCTGGCATGTTTTTCCAGAACAAGAATTTTATGCTGTGTGTGTGTCTGCATGTCTGTATGTATGTGTGTGTATGTGCACGAGTGTGTGTGTGTGTGTGTGTGTGTGTGTGTGTGTGTGTGTATGTATGTGTGTGTCTGTGTGTGTGTGTCTGTGTGTGTGTGTGTGTGTGCATGTGTGTGTGTGTGTGTGTGTGTGTGTGTGTGTGTGTGTGTGTGTGTGCATGTGTGTGTGTGTGCATGTGTGTATGTGTGTGTGTGTGCGTGTGTGTGTGTGTGTGTGTGTGTGTGTGTGTGTGTGTGTGTGTGTGTGTGTGCGTGCGTGTGTGTGCATGTGTGTGGGTGTGCGCGTGTGTGTGCTTGTGATGTGCGTGGATACCTGTGTGCCATGTAGTTAGCAGTCAAGAAGTGGAGAGTTGAAACGAACAGTCGGCTACGTTCAGTGCTGAACTTGGCATCGATCAATCTGCCTGGCGGAGTATTGGTAAGGACCACCGTATTGTTTTCCTTATTTTTTTGGTTGGATATTAGTGTTCTAGGCAGCCAGAGGATTTGCTTGTCTCCTGGAAAAACTCTTCTTTGTAATTGAACTATGTCACTACATACCAGAATCATATACCAGAATCATACAAGCTGAGGTGATGGTGTGTAGAATTTATGCATTCTGTGTGCGTGTGTGTGTGTGTGTGTGTGTGTGTGTGTGTGTGTGTGTGTCCCATATGGTGCAGTGGTATGTGCAGCGATTTCCAATCGATAGGTTGCGGGTTCGATTCCCGACGATTATGGTCACACACGTCTTTCTTCTCTTTCTCAGACTCTTCCTGACTTTTCTTTCATTCTCCTGGGTGGTTACCAACAGCCAGTGTATGCCGGAGTATGTGGTGTGTGTGTAGAAAAAAATGGAAAAAATGAAAAATAGGGATTCACTGGCCAGAAAAAAGTCACTTCAAACAGCTGTGTGGTGGATACCAGGCTAAAAATAGTGGCGGTCAATTCATCAGCCTTGCAAGCTGTTGAATGGTGTAATCCCAGCACAAGTTGCTATGTCTAACATAGCTGTTCGCTATCATCGCTTCCGCGATGGGCATGTCTGAGGTCTGAGGTCTGAGGTGTGTGTGTGTGTGTGTACATGGTGTAATCCCAGCACAAGTTGCTATGTCTAACATAGCTGTTCGCTATCATCGCTTCTGCGATGGGCAGGTCTGAGTTCTTAGGTCTGAGGTGTACATGGTGTGTGTTGTTACTGCAGCGACGGAGAGGAGCGGAGGATGAATTAATGATGCGTGAATACTTGAAAGAGGGCGATCTCATAAGCGTATCCTTGACTTGCAGGTTAATTTTACTTTGGTATTCGAAAACGGTTCCCTTCTTATAGTTTTCATTCTGCTGCTGCTAATCCTGGTACTAGTACATGTAGAATGTTTGCAGTTGCAGCAAGTTGCCACTGCCTTTACACTTTCCTTGACTGAGTTATCTAGGCGGAAGTACAAGCTGTTCATGGTGATGGTATCCTTTCCTTGCACACACGGAGTTTGAAATATGGAAAGGTGAGTTGATCCCGGTGGCTTTGTTCGTTCGTGTTGGCTTATGTAGACGTGGACGAATAATGAGAGGTTTTGTAAGTGTGAATAAATTCTAGCAACTCTTTGGTGGTGATCTTTGAGGGTGGTGGCGTCGAGTCTCGCACGCGAACCGTGAATTTTTCTTTCGGTTTGGTGTTGGTTTTGATGAGGTTTGACTGCTCATAATCACCTTCAGTCCAAACTCACTTGGCCCTGATAACTTTACATGACAGCTGGACATTGTTGTGAGCTTTTTCCCGACAGACTCAATTTATTTGACGACCTCGTTGTTTTCCGTGTGCCTGTGTGCATGCATGCGTGCACTTGTACATGTGTGTGTGGGTGTGTGGATGTATGTGGGTGTGCGTGTGTATGTGTGTGTGCGTGTGTGTGTGTGGGGGGGGGGGGGGGGGGTATGCGTGTGTACTTTCTTTTCTTTCTGTTGCTTGTGTGTTGCACAGCTGGGGCAAGGTACGCTAGTAAAAGTAGCACCTTCGCTGATCAAACGCTGCAAGTCTCATTTCCACAATTTGTCGTGTGGTGCCATGGTAATCCTTGGTCACAATGGTTATTGTTGGATTAGTCCGCTGGTCAGTGATGAAGAGGCAGCAGCTGCACAGGCTGTGGAGCATGCTGGGCAGAGGAATATGAGCAGTCATGCTGTGGCTGGTGATAAGGTAGGTTAATGTACATGACCTATACGATGTGCTGCTGGGCTGTTCGTGTCGCTCTTGACTCACTCTTGCTGGCTTGTCATGTTTGTGGAGGAAAAAGAGGGGGCTTGGTCAGCTTGTGCATGATTGTTAGATCTGCATTGCTTCAAAGCAGATGCAGGCTTATTTCCATTATTTACTTTAATAGCTACCGCACTGACCCAGAGCATTGGGGTACACTTCAGTGGCTACATGCAGACACTAGGGACCTTTCGCATTTGCTACGAAGCGAATGCGAAACGAAAGTTTGATTCGACTCGTAATCGTTTCGTTGAAAACAGATTCAGGTTTCGCAAGTAGTAATGCAAATGTGCATGGCAACTACGAATACGGCTGGTGGCGTTGCGTACGGGTGTGTTCGCGCACACGTGCATGGATCATGGAATCAAGGGAAACAATGTGTACCTTGCAAACAAATGTGTACCTGACGGATTCGGAGCGTGCCACGAATGAAGAGGCTTCCATTCTTGAAAACAAGCTCTCCGCAGGGACTCTGACGAATCCTCGAACCCAGGTGACGAATCAGCATTCGTTTCGTATCCGTACACGTGGTGCGAAAGGTCCCTATTGTATTTTTACAGGGAGTGTAGGTGGTTTTACTATGTATAACCATGCATTGTCTTGTGGCATATTCACATTTGAAGGGGGTGAGGTAAACGCTTAGGAGGGGCGCAACACCATGCTATGTTATGTTGATTTACCTACTTCGTATAATGTATATCTATCATAGTGTGTGTGTGTGTGTGTGTGTGTGTGTGTGTGTTTGTGTGTGTGTGTGTGTGTGTGTGTGTGTGTGTGTGTGTTTTACAAGATACACAACTCACCGACAGGTACATGGGGCTAGCATGGGGTGAGATGGTGCTGGTGGGGCCTGTCATGCTCAACCAACCAGAGGTCTCAGCATATTCGAATGGCAGGCGCACCAAATTGGGAGGAAAGCATAAGCACGAGGGGAAAAAAGCATGGGAGAAAATGGAAGATTTCGAACGGAGGAAAGGACCTAATTTGGAACACAGCAGAAAATAGCAAATAATCAAACAGATGATAGGAGTGAAAGGAGAGTGTCAAAAGAAGGATGCAATAGGGGTAGCAGTGGAATTTGGCTACTCAGGGTTGGCAATTATTTAGCTTGGGGTGGGAGAAGCAGAAGCATAATCCCGGAAGAGGCTAGAGGCTGTCGGTTGCCCAATCCCAGTCAGACTGTCGCAGCTGGTCATAGACCTTCTTCTTGAAGGTCTGCATTGACTTCTGGGAGGGGCGGGAGGGGCAACCACTGAGAATAGAGGCTGGGAGGAAAATCCAGGTCTCAATCATGCAGTGGGGGAAGGACCCAAGGACATTGTTCCGAGACTGAGGTGGGACAGTCTTGGTCAGCTGGAACGGGTGGTGGCTCGCAATTGTGCGCATGCTGGCTTGTATGCGGGCTGGGGCTGGGGCTGGAGCTGGTGGGGGTAGGGGGGTTGTGATTAGGGGTCAAAGGGGTGTACCGGGTACCCGGGTACCCGACCGTTAATCTCAGGTACCGTTAGTAAAAGGGTACCCGTTTGGATTTTGATGAACCAGTCAGTACGGAGCAACACTGCTGGGATCGTGTATTCCAGGCGGGAGTCAATTATTTACAACTCCACGCTGGATGTCTACATTGTTGTTGCATTTTCGCACCTACAGTCCATTCATAAAAAGATGGGTCCTGGCTCTGGCGAGCTCCCGTATTTGGCGATTTTTGGTGATTTCATCGTACACAGTGCAGTGCTGCGAACTTTGAAATTTGAAAAAGGGTCCAAAAAGGGTGCCTGAACTGGGGTTCGAACCGCAGCATGCACTGTTGCAGGCGCGGTCAAACGGCCTGGATTTTGATGGTTTTTCCCAATTCAGTGCTTTTGGGGCAAAACCTGGCCGAAATCCTATTCTTGCTATGGCTTGCTTTTTGGACAAAAAAACTTCAGAAACATAATTGGAAGAGGATTCCATAGGGGATTGCCAAAAAAATTCTAAAAAAACTCAAAGTTTGACCCATTTATGGCCAAAAGCTAGAAGTTCATTTTTTTCTGAATGGACTGTAGTAGATCTACTCCTGCAACTATCAGACACCAATCGATTTGCGAATCATAATGTGATATCAAAATGCAACCCGAGCACAGATGAATTAAAATCTTTATTTATGCGAAAATTGCGCAAAAAAATTAACATGGCTGCTAAAGGGTACCCGTTAAGGGGTCGTCCGCAATTATCGAAAGTTTTTTCCAATCCGTAGTAGCTTCGAAAGTGGGTGGGTGGGTCAAGGCCAGTTACGGATTGAAAAACTTCCGAAATGACACGTGCGCGTGCCACGTGTACGTCTACGTGTAGCCCCTGTTTTCCACGCGCGGCTGCGCGCGAACTGTCTACTACAAATATTTTTGTAGTTCTGGCAGTTTCTGCGCCCCCGCGCGCGCTTCCTTGGCTGCTCCTGGGCCGGTGATCATAAAGTAACTTTAGTTCGGCGCATTCGACGGCGAGTCGACACTTTCTATTTTTGAGTTTCACTGTCTCCTTCGTCCAGAGTACCGTCTTCCATGCACTCCTTTGAAATTGAAGTCCTTCAGTCTAGCGCTGGCGCTGACGACTGTTATTGACTATGTCCAGACAGGCGACGTTGTTTGGAAAGGCGGTGAAGAAGCAGCCCTTTTTCAAAACCGCTGGTGACTCTGACATGATGTCACTATGACTCATGGACCAGCACTGATTGAGTTTGTTCCATACATGTATATGTATGTGTTGGGTTGTGTGTCCACAAGAGTCCATAACCCCCCATGGACTCTTGGTGTCCATCAATAATATTTTATTACGGACTGGGGGGGTGGGTGGGTGGGTGAGGAAAAATTTGAAGCTACTACGGATTGGAAAAAACTTTCGATAATTGCGGACGACCCCTAACCCGCCCGTTAAGAAAAATGACCCCTTCGTTAGTTAAAGGTACACCCGTTTGACCCCTAGTTGTGATCATGGCAGGGCCTGTCAGGTAGTGGAGCTTGAAGAGATGGCAGAGGGCAGCAACAGTGCGGCGGGTGTCCAGGCTGGGCAGGTAGCAGCCATCGCCGATGACATGGAGTGGCCTACGCTGGATGGCTATGAGCTTGGCTAGTATGTAGGGTGCTGCGCTCATCCATACCAGCAAGAGTATATAACCACCCAAGAGTGTGCAACTCTGCATATAGGGTCTCTGACGGCGAAAACTCACATCTCGTGTTTCAGATATGTTCATACTACGTACAAACGAAGAAAAGCATGCGCGCAATCCGAATATCTGCCAGGATCATGCTGGGGATTTGCATACCTGCAGTGAGTTTCTGTCAGAGAGTGCTTCTTTATTACTCGCTAAAACGGGCTGGAAACGTACAACTGCGACACTGCACCACGTGATGTGAGTTTTCGCCGTCGGCGTACCCCATAGAAAGGGTATCAGGAGTTGCACACTCTTGGGAGGTTATATACTCTTGATACCAGCATCCCATATTCCAAGATCGGCCGAACAAACCCACGGTACACTGCGGCACCGCGTCTCGAGTTGAGAGCCATGGCAGCCTTGCGGAAGAAGCCGAGTCGCTGCGCACTGCGTATTGCGAGGGACCGTATGTGCTGCTTGAAGCACAGCTGGCTGTCGAATGTTACTCCTAAGAGACGGAGCTGATCCACCTCAGGTACATCTGTCTGCTGGAGTATGATACAGGGAACTGGGTTGTGGGATCGTCAGTGGGTGATCGTGAGGGCTTGCGATTTCGTCGGCTCAAACCTGATCCGACAGAGGGTGCCCTAGTCGGCAAGTGCATCAACAGCCTGCTGGAGCTTTGCGACTCCATCTGGGATATTGGCTCGGGTTGTGATACACTTCTATACCGTGGTGTCGTCGGCGTATACTGCGAGCTTAGCTCCTACGAGTATTAAGTGGTCCTCTACATCATTGATGTAGATTAGGAACAGAGTTGGCCCGAGGATGCTGCCCTGCGGCACCTCTCACTGGATGTCACGGGTAGTGGGAGGGCTGGCCACATATGACAACTTTGATCTTGCAGCTAGTGGGATACTCTGCAGCCAACAGAGCAGGGACCCTTTGATACCGTATTGCTCTGCTTTGTGAAGAACTCCTGGGTGTGAGACCTTGTCGAAGCCACCAGCGATGTCCACTGCGAGCACCCTGACAAGGCCTCTCTGGGCAGCTGTCTGGTGCCACTCATGCTGGAGTGCGATCAGAAGATCTGATGTGCCAAGTCCGGCGCGGAAGCCGAATTGCCGCGAGGACAGGATTGAATTCTTCTCCAGGAAGTTGGACAAAGCACGGTTGATTATTGACTCCATGCATTTGGACATGACAGACAACAGGGAAATTCGTCAGTAATTCTTGGGATTGGACTTTGACCTTTTTTTGTGTACAGGGACAACATTATTTTGCAAGTTTCCAGGTTTCAGTTTGATAGCCGTTGCGGAAGCACAGGGCAAATAGCCGGGGAAGTGGGAGAGCCAATGGTTCGGCGCAGATCTTCAGGACCCTGGCAGGTATTTAGTCAGGTCCAGTGGCCTTGCTGGGGTTGAGAGCAAGCAGGGTGCGGCGGACTGTGACTGGGCGGAAGTGGATAGTAGTGAGTGAGTTCTGGGAACGTGGGCGAACAGGGGGCATTGCGCAGGAGGTGTCAAAGTCATTCTCAAGGCTGCATTTATCAGCGAAGTACTAGCATATGAGTTCAGCCTTCTCGGTTTTCCTGGTGTGCTCATTGCCTTGGTTGTCGACGAAAACAGAGATAGAGCTGTCTCTACCGAGCCTTCCGGAGCGCTTGATCAGACTCTTTATCCTGTAGGCTGCATGTTGCAAGCTTAGCTCTGGTGCGCTGGAGGTGTGCTTGCTTTTTTTCTGGGTAGACGCTGCACAGAAGCCAAGCATGCCCGCCTGTGTGTGTGCGTGCGTGCGCGCGCATGTGTGTGTGTGTGCATGGTGTGTGCGTGTGTGTGTGTGTGTGTGTGTGTGTGTGTGTGTGTGTGTGTGCCAGCTAGTTCGGTTGGTAGGTACACTTATGCCTGATTGTGTTGGGTCTGTTGCCAACAGGCTCGGCTGCTTGAAGGTGTAATGTTGTACCTGCCACCTTTGTTGGTTCCAGGGTTCATATACTTTCTATTTGAAGTATACATACCTGTTAACCATGGACTGCTTCTGGCTAGATTAACTCTTGTGTAATCAATGGTGCTAGTGAAGCTTTTATCAGATCCACTCTGATTTAGCCACTCACACTAGTAGCAAATATTACCTTCACTGGGGGCAGGGGTAACTGCAGTTGGATCCCGGGACGGATACCTGATGCCGTCAATCCTTTTTCTGCACCTTGTCCTCACCCACTTACTGAGGTGTGGTGAGCCCATAAGTGGGATCATTTTCAAGTCCACCCAGAGTTTTGGGGATTTCAGGGGGTGTCGGCCGTTGGGCGGTTCAATAACCAATTGAGTCATCTTTCCAAGATTCCTTTTGAGTCTCTCTCCCCTCTCCCGGGGGGACTCACGTGACCAGTTTTGGCAGTGAGCAACAAGTACAGTACAGTGTGTGTGTGTGTGTGTGTGTATGTGTGTGTGTGTGTGTGTGTGTGTGTGTGTGTGTGTGTGTGTGTGTGTGTGTGTGTGTGTGTGTGTGTGTGGCTGCTTGAAGGTGTAATGTTGTACTTGCCACCTTTGTTGGTTTCACTACTTCTTGCTAGAGTAACTCTTGTGTAATCAATGGTGCTAGTGAAGCTATCAGATCCACTCTGATTTCGCCACCCGCACTAGCAGCAGGTATTACCTTCACCGGGGGCAGGGGTAACTGCAGTTGGATCCCGGGACGGATACCCTGAAGCCGTCAATCCTTTTTCTGCACCTTGTCCTCACCCACTTACTGAGGTGTGGTGAGCCCATAAGTGGGATTATTTCCAAGTCTACCCATAGTTTGGGGATTTCAGGGGGTGTCCGCCGTTGGGCGGTTCAATACCCAATTGAGTCATCTTTCCAAGATTCCTTTTGAGTCTCTCTCCCCTCTTCCAAGGGGAGACGCACGTGACCGGTTATGGCAATGAGCAAGTACAAATGTGTGTATATGTGTGTATATGTGTAATTGCCCGTGTTCATGTCTATGTCTGTGTGTGTGTCTGTGTGTGTGTGTGTGTGTGTGTGTGTGTGTTTGCCCGTGAATGCTGCGTTCCTATCCCGACAGACAATTGCGCTAGAGGATCGAGAGACGATTGCACGCCTAAGGAACTGTATCGTTGCATTGTCTCAGCGCAGACAGCTTATTTTTGACACAAGTATTGTCACGGCACATGAATTCTCACTGCGCTATCCTGTAAGTATCTGTGTTCGTCAGTGTTTGCTATAGGCTTCTCCAACTGGGGCTCCTGAGAAGTCAAGTATTTCGTCGTTTTGACTCGTTTGAACTCCCTGATGTACGCAGTTTCATCGACGAATTCCTCCATTGTGATTGGTGGATCGAATTATCATTTAGGTGATCAAAGTGCGTACATTTATAGAGCTCAAGCGAGTCGGAAGTGTTGATTTCTCAAGGGCTCTTACTTCCTCCAGAAACAAAAAACTTCGTGACTTTTTTTCACTAATTTTCGCTTCTGTTCTCATGCTCTCTGACTCTGTGTGGCTCTGTCGGCCTGAAACACCAACAGATGACATTTTGGAACCGTAGCAAGGCATGATTTATATTCTGGAAAATCCGACAGCCATCGCAAGGCAAGGGTGTTGTGCTGTAAATCAAGCAAAGCGACGGTGTTGTGCATTTTTGTCCACCAGGCACATTGCCAACAAAAGCACTGCGCTCGCTGCTCGTCGTTGCCAGTTTTTGGTTCAGAATGAGAAAGAGCAGGACAATGGCACTGAGGAGAAAGAAGAGTATACAAGGGATAGCAGCTAGCGTTTTGAAATCTCCGTCATCCCCAAAACTCCAGCCAAAGTGCGAACAGGTCGGCAAGATGTCAAAACTCCAGCCAAAGTGCGAACAGGTCGGCAAGATGTCAAAACTCCAAAACGCAAAGATGTGACACTCGTCACTTCGCGCAGCACAACAATGCTATAAAGTTCAAATCAAATCATCGTTCAGCCCCCGCGGAGGCCATACCTCAATGTGGAAGATCTCGCCTATTTCAGCAGCCTCCACTCCGATGTCTCCTGGGTTGCATAGGAGAACAGGCGGGATCGAAAAAAGAAGAAAAAAACCGCGTCGATCGACCTGCCACTTTTTGGTTGGTTCCAGCAGTGATGAATCGAGCGATGTCGACTCAAGCTGAGACTCTATTCCCATCAATCGATCTTGTAGATATTGTACACATGTCCATTGAGCGTGTTGAAGTGTTTCCCTTCCAACGCACAGTAACTCCTTGGAAAGTCATGTGAAAACGCCACGAACTTTTTGTTTCCGGAGGAAGTAGATGGCGACTCAGACTGAGGCTCTATTCCCATCAATTGATCTTGTAGATATTGTACTTCGAGTACACATGTCCATTGAGCGTGCTGAAGTGTTTCCCTTCCAATAGAACACTTTTGTTGAGCACAGTAACTCCTTGAAAAGTCATGTTAAAAAGTCACGAAGTTTTTGTTTCCGGAGGAAGTAGTTGGCAAGTACAGCATGGCAAAAAAACCAAAACATTAGAGATCAAACTTCTTTATTCCCGTAGCTATGCAGAAGACGTTACTTCAGTAACGTCTGGCGCTAGCCAGGGTCCACACAGCTTTAATTTGGTATTTGTTTGTTTGTTTGTGTCACGCCTGGCGCTATCCCGTATCTGTCCCGTACCGTACCATCAAACACAGCTGGCCACATACAGCTGGCCGCAATATTCAAATAGGGCTTTCAAACGCAAGATCATAACGTGAAGCAACTTGGAAGAATGGGTATGAATGCGAAGTGTATGGGGGAATGCATGTAGGGCGATTGTGCGGGTTCGAATCCCAGGAAATGCCTGAAAAAAAAATAGGAGAATTGAAAAATTTATAACATCCCTATGCTTTTTTTGCCGTCATCAAGGCGGTAGACGGTGTCGTATAACCCTCGATCGTACCTGTCCCGTACCTATCCCGTACCGTACCGTACCATCAAAGACGGCTGGCCACAATGCATATTCAAATAGGGCTTTCAAATGCAAGATCATAACGTGAAGCAACTTGGAAGAATTAGTATATATGCGAAGTGTATCGGGGGATGCATGCAGGGCGCGCGATAGTGCGGGTTCGAATCCCGGGTTATGTCTTAAAAAAAAAGATTTTTTAAAGAATATATAACATCCCTATGCTTTTTTTGTCTAGGTTATCAAGGCAAAAAAGCATAGCGTAGGGCCCTGAGCTTGCAAGCTCTCTCGTTTGTGGCTCATAGTTTCTGTGGTGTATTTGGGCAACTTTATGAAATGTTATGTCAACACACACATACTGTATGTATTGTTGAACGCCATTGTTGGACATTCTGACACAACGCAAGGCAACAACTACATTATGACTAGAGAGAGCTCGACTCAAGAGAGCGACACAACGCAACAACTACATTATGACTAGAGAGAGCTCGACTCAAGAGAGCGACACAACGCAACAACTACATTATGACTAGGGAGAGCTCGACTCAAGAGAGCGATTATTTGAAGAGAGTTGAGAGAGAGATTTGAAGAGAGGCAACGCAATATATAGGGCCTGGGTAGCTATGGCAAACATGGGTGCGCAAGTAGCTACCCAGGCCAACGGAACGAAAGGTGAGAATGACGTAGTACGGGTGCATGCAGGCCAGCTAGGGGAAAAGGGTATACTGTACGGGCGGAGGTACCTAACATACCTCCCCTGGGTAAAAAAAGAACCTCGCGGGAAATATCAAGACATAGAGAAAAAGTGACTGAGGAAGTAGAGAAAAAACACACACACCACACACACACACACACACACACACACACACACACACACACACATTGCACGCGCGCACAGGTCTCACAAAAGTGTTTACTACTAGTATCATGCATTACAGTTATTGTTCCTATACTTCTCTAAGTCTAAAGATAAGAAACTAGATGTGACGAGGAACCTACTGATACTGCCTGCATGGCTAAAAATAGCGTAGTTGCACTTCTGCTAAACATCAAAAATTAGAGCGTGGCTCACCATGATCGGACCTCTAATTTGGTAATATTTTATGAACACACGCCCGCACACACACTACAAAAAAAATCACAAAATAAATAAGGCCACACGTTTTTATTTCTATGTTTCTCGTCACCCGCGCGCATACGATTCAGGAGTCTGGAAGAAAAAAAAGAAAAAAAACTGTGCCGCACTGAGCGCACATACGATTCAGGAGTCTGGAAGAAAAAAAGAAAAAAAACTGTGCTGCACTGAGCGCACATACGATTCAGGAGTCTGGAAGAAAAAAAAGAAAAAAACTGTGATGCACTGACTGTGCATGTGGGGACCAGCACACTCAAGCACATGTACATAATGTGGCCTGGCCTGCGCGACACATGATGCGAGGTCGGCATGTTTTGTGTGCAATCTAGCTCGCACATGCACAGATTGTGACAGAAGCTCCTACCACATACTACTATTACTAGTTGCTAACTATGGATGGTATTTTGCATGGTGTATTGGTGGATTTTAGTGTGAACAAAGGTCTAATAAACTTTTTTTATTTTTCGGTCATTTATTATTTTTTTCCACCTCTCGCATACGTTTTTAGATTTTCAGGTGACGAGAAACATAGAAATAAAAACGTGTGGCCTAAACCGAAAATAAATTTGACGAAGTAGGACGCACGAAAGAAAGGAGAGAGAGAGACAAATAATCAGAAATAGCTGACCTGCATGTCTTGCACGAGACGAGGTACACATAGGCGAGACGAGGTTGACAGAAACGAGACGAGGTTGACAGAAACGAGACGAGGTTGGCGTAGGAGAGACGAGGTTGACATGGACGAGATGAGGTTGACGTAGGAGAGACGAGATTGACATGGATGAGACGAGGTTGGCGACGAGACGAGATTGACGTGATGAGACGAATCATGCGGCCAGGCGGTAGAGCACGAGAATCCCAGGGTCGCGGGCTTCGGCAAAAGCCGGGCGCCAATGTTGAACGCCATTGTTGGACATTCTGACACAACGCAAGGCAACAACTACATTATGACTAGAGAGAGCTCGACTCAAGAGAGCGATTATTTGAAGAGAGTTGAGAGAGAGATTTGAAGAGAGGCAACGCAATATATAGGGCCTGGGTAGCTATGGCAAACATGGTTGTGCAAGTAGCTACCCAGGCCAACGGAACGAAAGGTGAGAATGACGTAGTACGGGTGCATGCAGGCCAGCTAGGGGGAAAGGGTATACTGTACGGGCGGAGGTACCTAACAGTATGCATGGCATATGCTGTAAATCGGTAACCAACGGTTTTCTTCCGGATGGCGAAGGATCCGGATAAAAGAGGACCGGATAAGCGAGGTCTGACTGTATTTGATTGTAGTGATGTATGGAGCCACGATTTCCATGAATGATCACACTCACTTGTTGACATGTGCTGGCCGACCTGTATGGATACCTGACGACAAAGTATCCACTCTGGCTACGCGCCTGCTCAGATACCAATTCAACAAACAATGGAATAATCTTCTATTCTCCATCTACTAGTACCACAAAGTACCGCGAGAGCGCCCCGCCTTGATTTTACAGCCAGGGAAAGGAAAATCGTATGCCGGAGTGCAACGAAGTTTGTACGATGTGAGAACCTTAGTGTACTTAAGTCACGCTTAGCTAGTTTTGTGTGGAGCTCATGTTCGCTCGAAGGCACAGATTGACTGCGCAAAGTGCACTATGTGTACAAGGTTCGTGTTGTATGACCTACAGACAGGAAACCACCTCCACAATGCGACCACGAAAGGACGAGATGGTGGAGCGCTCTCGCGGTACTTTACGCTACATGTACCAGTGGTGTACTTCAACATATTGATTTTGTATTCAGCATCCTGCAGTACCTGGGTATTCTCCATATGCATCCAATCATTATTTTCAAAACAAAAAAGGGCAATTTATAAACAGCTCAAACTCGCCCACCCCCAGACGAACATATTTCGTTTAAAAAATATAAACCCAACAACAATTGGTAGCCTTGGGTGGTCCGTACGTTTTGATGAGCTGGAATGGGAGTAATGTGTGCAGCACAGGGGTAGCTGTGTACAATCGGTAATGCTTGTTTGCTGATTCTGTCGAGCCCCGTGTATTGCGCTGCATGAAGGCCAAGCATTGCTTGCATATTCCAGAGTCGACTGGATGAAGAACAGATAGAGTAGGACAGTTCCATGGGCTTGTATTGACTGGTCGGGATCAGAGGGGTCGCTTGTAGTTATTGTTTCCCTGTGCTTGTTATTGCTTTCCGCCTATCTTTGACTGCGCGTTTCGCACAGCAGCATTCCATTACTGCGAGGTTGGCATCTACTTTCGCACGTACTGCTTCCACCTGCTTGTTGAATGTCAGGTGTCAGGTGCTCATCAAAGATGACACCAGGATATTTGCACTGGTTGCAAAGGGCTACAGTCGTACCATAGACCACCAGTTGTAGGAGTGAGGTTGACCCTTCGGGTCTGCGGAGAATCATGAACTGCGGAGAGCCGCTCCCAAAAATTTTAAAAGGCAGCGGATTTGAGTTTCCTTTGAAGCGGCACTTCTGCATTAAACAGGTGCTATGGTATTTTCCGCTCCTGCGGCGTCGCTTCAGCGGAACCACTACTACAGTCCGTTTCAAAACTATAGACGCGTACCTAGGCAAAAACCGTTATGCCAGCATCTATACCACATAAAATCTGTGATCACTTTGTGCATATATTTTTCCAAATTGGGCGTCTGTTATCCAATCGTTTAGAAACTATGAGAGTAATTGTGGAGCGGTCCTGAGCAATATTCCGAAAACTATTCTCAAAAAGTTCCAGCCAAATTTGAAATATTTCAAAAACCCTACGCGTCTATAGTTTTGAAATGGACTATAGTACTTTCGAGTGCACATGCCCATAAGCGGACAGTTGACTCCACTTATAACAAACTCATATAATTATAGTGTAACCAGTGAATGTCAAATATAGTGAGGGGTCGTCTTCGCTGATCACGGACGATATGAGGAGTCAATTGCAGTTACATGTTCTTGGTTGTAGACCCTTAGGACGACTCCTGGTCATCTCTCTCTCTCTCTCTCTCTCTCTCTCTCTCTCTCTCTCTCTCTCTCTCTCTCTCTCTCTCTCTCTCTCTCTCTCTCTCTCTCTCTCTCTCTCTCTCTCTCTCTCTCTCTCTCTCTCTCTCTCTCTCTCTCTCTCTCTCTCTCTCTCTCTCTCTCTCTCTCTCTCTCTCACTGACTGTGTATGGTTCTGTTTGTTTCCATCTTCAATACTTATGTATGGATTATAGGTGAAGGACCTTATGAAGCCTGAAATCATTGATGAGATCAATGCTGCCGTACGTCAGGTGCTGAGCAGTGAATAATTCCGTCGTGAATGTCCACGGGGCTGACGTTGTAAAATATTTGGTGGATTTTTGGTGACACACTGTATATAACTTCACATTTTGTACAAATTGCCTTGCGTTTGAATTCAGTTATCTTCTTCTTGTAACAATACTGCTGAAGGGGTTGTTTGAACTCCGAACTGCACGGTATGATATTCCACTTTTTCCTGTACAGAGCTCAATTGTTAGTAGATAATGACAATGTACATAGAAAGTTGATTTATACATACTAATCTTACACAGTTATCTTGCATTGACTGGGCGCTATCAGAGGGATCCTATGTAAATATTATTAATTTTGCTTGTGATTTTTGTTCGCATTCCCTTTGGTGTCGCCCACTACATAACACTGCAATGTAACTAACACGGGTGATCCGGTCACTACCATGACTACATAACACTGCAATGTAACTAACACACTACATAACACTGCAATGTAACTAACACGGGTGATCCGGTCACTAGAACCTGTTGTGTGATCGGTGTGTGCTCAATCTTGGTTGGTGTCTCACATTCGAACACGCACAGTGAGCTATACACAGTGATTGATGCATGCTGGTTTGTATTTTCAGTTGTACCAATATTTTTAAACGTGCAGCAGAAGAAGCATACAGATACTAACCGTGGTGGTGGTGGCGGTCGTGGTGGTGGTGAGGTCTGGACACCGCCGCCGGCCCAGGGTCTCGGCTTCATAGCCAACCATTCACCATGGAGAGACTGTGTGTGTGTGTGTGTGTGTGTGTGTGTGTGTTCAAATGGCTTCGCAGGTTGTGTGGATTGGACAGTTATCTGGCGCTAGTCTTGATCCGTCTCATTCAGATCTTGTCCACTATCATTGCTATGAGAACATCTGTGTGTGCACATCCAGTGTATTTGCAGATTTGCGTGCTTCTCTTGCGACGGGCGTATACATGGTACATGGTGGTGGTGGTACGTGTGGGCGCGCGCGTGTGTGTGTGTGTGTGTGTGTGTGTGTGTGTCACCTACTGGACACGCGGAATGCGGCCTACGAGGATTGGCTTCGCCGTGGCCAGCAGCGAGACACTCCGTTTCACCACGAGTTTAAGGCAGCCCGATCGAATGCACGTGCAGCGATTGATACGGCCATAGTAGACTGGGTCAAATCTAAAGCTCAGGAGGCCACCGACTCACGTTTCAATGGCACTGTCGTGTGGAAGTGTATCCATGACCTCCAGTCTGCTGGGCGCGGCCTGCAACCAGCACGGACAGCAGTGATCGTTGACGAGAATGGAAATGTATGCACGTCACCGCGTGAGCAGGGACAGCGCTGGGGAAGGCACTTCTCTGGAGTGCTCAACGTCATGAGTACATGTACTTGGACACCGAATGCGCTGAATGGTATCCCTGAACTACCGCTTGCCGAGAACCTTGCTGAGCTGCCCACGCTGCGCGAAGTGTGCCGTGCCGTTGCTCGCTTGAAGAATGGCAAGGCTGCTGGAGCCTCGGGCGTCTTGCCGGAGATGGTGAAGGCAGGGGGTGAGTTGCTGAAGAACAAACTTGTGGAGCTATTCGGGGATGTGTGGCGTGCCGGGCGAGTGCCGCAGGAGTGGGTAGACGCTACCCCTGTGCCAATCCGGAAGAAAGCGGACCTGACCTGATGCGACAACTGGCGCGGCATCGCGCTGCTCGATGTTGTCAGCAAGGTCCTGGCGAGTCTCATTCAGACGCGACTACAGGGCCTGGCCAGCAGCTCCCCCCCCCCCCCCCCCCCCCAGAATCCCAATGCGGCTTTCGGCAAGGCAGATCCTGCACGGACATGGTGTTCAGCGTACGTCAGCTGCTCGAGAAGACCATTGAGCATACAGCCAAGGGCTTCTTCGTCTTCATTGACCTGAAGAAGGCCTACGACTCCGTGTCCCGTGAGTGCCTCTGGCAGGTGCTCTCCTGTGTTGGTGTCCCTCCCCCCATGCTTGCAGTCATCCGATCTTTCCACCATGAGATGTCTGCAGTACTGCGTGTGAGTGGCACAGACGTGGATCCGTTTAGCGTCACCAACGGCTTGCGGCAAGGCTGCACTATGGCTCCTGTCCTCTTCAACATCTTCATGTGGGCAGTCGTCACCAAGTGGCAACAGAGGGTCAGAGGTATTCCTGGCGTTGGGTTCGAGTTCAGCTACCACTATGGTGAGGGTCAACTATATCACAAGGCGCGCCAGGCTGACACTGCTACCACCACCCTAGAGGCACAGTTCGCGGACGATTCCTCCCTCCGCCTGTTAGCAACATCGTGTGCTGGTGCTGAGACTGCCTTGGACCTGTTCAACTCGACCGTTTCGGAGTTCGGCCTCACAGTGAGTGCGACCAAAACCAACTTCTTGGTTATTGCGGGAACCGGCGTAACGGCTGTGGACCAGGCGCCAATGCAGCTTGCCGGTGTGGAGATTGAGCCAGTGTGTGCCGGAATTCAAGTATTATTATCTCTCCCTTATTCACTTCTTTCGAAGGCGATAAGCCAGACCCACCGGGAAATATTTCCATGGGTGGGACAGCAAAAAGAAAGTGAAAAAACAAAACAAAAAACAAATAAATAAATAAAACCTAAAAACCAAAGGGACAAGAAATAGTTGAAGGAAGAGGAAGAAAGGAAAGAAACTCAATCCGAACTCCAACATCAAAACAATCATAAAGAATTTGCAGCGACAGGCAAAATACATCAACCAATGAAGGGAGTAACAAAGGAAATATGTCTTTATCAGTCGTTATTCAAGTCTCTTAGCTATTGAACATGCAAACGCAGCAGAGGTGCATCTACATGTTAAGGAGGTTCGCGACGGTTAGCGCCATGTTGGATTTCCGAATTTTTTTCTGAAAAATAATGCCTTTCGGAGTGGAAAAATGGGACGCGATCATGTACAGTAAAATAGTTTGACCATGACTTCGCATGCAGCGCGTGCTCGAGTCGAGACAAGATTTGAGGAAGAAGCTCAGCCACTAGTGGACTTGCGGATTTGTTTTGACATTGGCGGTTTTTGGATAGCTCGGTTCTCCTGCCGACATGTCGTGGAGATAAAGACGCGGGAGAGTAATCCGTCACCCACGACGCGGCCTCTCATTTTGCGCACTGGACGATGCAAGAAGCCGAGGAGGGGGACGCTTCGCAAACTCAAACGATCGATCGAGTTCCTGAAAAACGGAAAGGGCGATCTCCACCACTAACGCCACTGGATTCGACTCCCGCGAAGAGGTCGTTCAGTGCCCCTCTTCACGGTCGACGAATCGTTTATCTCAGGTATCTGGCTGTGGGATTGTCTGCGTGCCAGAATCCTGGATGTGGCAAACCTCTGGCGCTCATTGATTGCGTTGAAGAGAAGAGGTACGACCTGGGCAGCGTACTTGTCATTCCGTGTCAGCAGTGTGGGATGGAGAATTTTATAGATACAGATAGCCCTGTAACTGCTCAACACCCTGGCCCCCGTGCTTCCACAGGCAACACCAAAGCTGCTTTGGGTAATCACGGCTGTTAGCTGCACTTGGATCGCGGCAACTTAGTTTTCTGCACGTGAACCATGAAAAATCAATGCATGCTCATGCATGTTCATGCATAACCAGTCAGCTGGCCTGCTCGCCCACGCATTTGACAGGTAACAATTCCATCAAATTTGAGATATCGCTTCGTTCTAAGTCTCAAAACAGTTCTAAAGTCACCAAACCACGCTGGTAATCGATGGCTATTCAATGTTAACATCTTCAGGAAGACTTCAGCCGTTTCCCGAGAGTTTGGGCATCGTTGCCGTTATTTTTCACGGTGTTCTTCTTCGTCCTGTCTGGAGTTGCAATTGCATCCTGGAATTATTTGAAAGGTATTTCGTGCGGGCTGTGGGGGGTTCCAACAGGCATAAACTGACATCGCTATAGGATAACTGGTAACTTTCACCCTTCAAGGAGGTAGAGCAATGAGAATTTTTTTGTGGCGGTCGTCCAATTTTTGTGGCGGTCGTGGCTGTATTTGTGCACTTCCAAGGCTTTCATTCTGCCTGATACTACTCTGTACTGTATGGGAATCGTTGTTTAGGCACATGTAGCTGTCTTATTTGGTAGATCTGCTGTTTTCAATCACTTCGGACACTTTGTCTAGCCTATTTGTCTTTCGTTCGTGCCATCTATCAGTTTTGTGGGGTGCATTGACCTGTATTTGTGAAGTTCTCGAGTAAAGACCCTAATTCTTGACTGGAGTCACGTCTTGAATTGAATTTGCTGGGTGAGCCCTCGTTCACGCAGTTGTACTTATCGTAATAGTCAATATCTGCTTGCTGGACGGACTAGCGGCTAGAATAGGGATGACCAAATGGTCCAAGTGTGTACTAGTACACGATTATTGTTTCCATCATCGTGAAATGAGCGTTGTGGAATTGCAGTCGTCTGCCTTTGGCACTGAGGACACGAGGAGAGTTGATTGTTACTTCTGCTCAGCAATGAAGCGATCATCAGCTCTCTTTGTTCTAATTATTGAGAGGACATACCGGCATCGCAATCAAGTAAAGATTAGGCAAACCTCGCCAACCTCCAAAGAGAGTCGAAGATATTTTCTCCAAATGCAAAGACTTTTGTGACTTGCATTTGCGTGCATACATGAGCAAGTCACGGACCACGGCACGTGCGCGGTTACCATGCCATCTCGAACCGACGCCATCTTTCTAAGTTGCCGCTTCTTGACAGCCGTGGTAAGTGCGTTTTTCAATCTCATATTATTTATTCATGATATTTGCGAGTCATTGCCACCCTATGGCTATGGAAATGTATGAGCACACTGTATGCGCGGCGGCCGCGAGCGTGTGTGTGTTTGCATAGACCTGCCTGTTTGTGCATGTGTGCACCATACGCATGTATGCACATGCATATGCGCTCATGTGGACGTGCCCTCGCACACATACTATACACACGTACATGACCGCTCCCAGGGCATGTTGGTGTGACATGTGTATGCGGGCATCTCCACTCATGCACATGAGTGTGCACATGCATGTGGGTGGGTACGCACACGTGCGTGAATGTATGTGTGTACGTGCGTGTTTTCTATTGCGTGTTAGAGCATGCATGTGTGTGTATGTGCGTGTGTGTGTGTGTGTGTGTGTGTGTGTGTGTGTGTGTATGTGTGCACGGATGTGTGTGTCGATGGTGTGCATTTTTGTGCTGGGTGAACACTCTGATCCCTAAACCGCGATACCGGAGCTCCCAAGCTACATCCTCAGATTGATTTATAGTTCATCGTTGGGAATGAGTTCGCTGCTCATGATGCTGTTGCGGATGTTGCGGCCCTAGCTGAAATAATTGTCGAAGCTCGCCCTGATGCCAGTATCCTGTAGCACTCTGTCACTTTTGCATCAGCATGTTCGGCGATGGAGTTTGCAGAACATCAGCAAAAGCGGCTGGCCACCCTTCAACCGTTGGTCCAAGCAACGTGCTTCTCTAAATCAGTTGCAGTGCGAGCAGCTGCCAGTGAGTTGGTGATGAAGCACTTTGTCTTGTCCTACAAACGAAGTGGTGAGCCAGCCATTTCCAGACTGATGAAGGAGCAAGTCGGAGGTAAGAAGCGGGTGACAGTCTCAAGGAAGATTATATTAGCGGTGGCTGAACACCTAGCAAAGAACCAGCAGCAACCCAACTGTAAGGAACGTCCTGTGGCACAGTAAAAAAAAAAAAAAAAAAATTATTTACCGTAAAATACCATCATTGTTGCCAGTGTGGGGACACGTTCTAGCTCGCATAGTTGAAGAAAAAGAGGACTCAATGTTGTCTGATTCGTTCCAACATGTAAGCTTTCATTGTAGTTTGATATGGGGCTGTGCTAAGCGCTATCACAGCTACATGTACATGTATCACAACCAACTTAGGCCGCGGTCACACATGAAAAGCTTGCACCGCTTTTGCGGAGGCGGAAAGCGGAACTACCGCAGCCGCTTTGGTGGACCACACGATGCAGCGGTCACACATACATGTAGACTACTGTGCTCCTCAACGCTCCGCTTTGGCGGAGAGAATGCAAATGCAGCACGTCCTATGAAATTTTAGATGTTCTTGTCCGAGTTGAAGCGACCTTCGCTTGTACAAGTAGAGCTATCGTGGATCGCTGACAGGCTAGGCTGCTGAATGTCTCCTGTCAAGTACACTCGTGGATTTGGGGCGCATTCACTGCGGCCCAGTACAGGTGTATTTTGAATATTACTAGTTTGGTTTACATCAATATCAAATTCAAATAGTTGTATAGTAGGGTGTCGTTGCCTCCTTCTTGTCCGAGTTGAAGCGACCTTCGCTTGTACAAGTAGAGCTATCGTGGATCGCTGACAGGCTGCTGAATGTCTCCTGTCAAGTACACTCGTGGATTTGGGGCACATTCACTGCGGCCCAGCACGGGTGTATTTGAATATTAGTTTAGTTTACATCAATATCAAATTCAAATTGTTTTATAGCAGGGTGTCGTTGCTTCCTCCATGATCCATCATCGACCCAGCGACTGCGTGGATGCCTGCAGTTGCAGTGAGGGTGTGGCAGAGTACTCTACTACTCCCTGGCAGCAGTCCTAGTGTTGCATACTCTGGTGGACGTATTGCTTGGAGAGAGTTGGAGATCGTCCGCGATCGGGGCCAATGAGTTGGGAGACGGATTCCCTCACCAATTATCCACTCATAGCGATGCAGTATTGTTTGCGAGATCTCCAGAACGTACAGTTCATTGGCAAAGAAGAACAATATGAAAACTGAATACCAAACGGCAACCAAACAACACCAGAACTCAGTGCAGAAGTAGCACACCAAACTCCAAAGCCATCACCATGCAGGTTCCGCCAAAGCGGATCCGCGAAAGCGGAGGGTCCGCTCGCATTTTTTTGGCGTAGCGAAATCCAAACTTTCCGCCAAAGCGTAACTTACGCCTCCGCCGTTGCCGAGGCAACGGCGGAAGCGTAAGTTACGCTTTGGCGGAACCGCCAAAAAAAGTGCATGTGTGACCGAGGCCTAAGGAGAGTAATCATGGAGAAAAGTACCTATCAATAAAGCGTGCACCCAGGGTTTTCCGGCAAATTTACTAGTTCAGCTATTCCATCCTTGTATTGTTCTGAACGCCGAGGGCTCTAGAGAGTTTATGCAACACCTAACAGCCAAAAATCCAATAAGTTATGACCAAAGCAGCAGCAGAGAAGTACAAGAAATATAGATACGTGAATTTACCAATTTTAGTCAAATTTTGACAGTTTTTAGGATTTTTCTCCAGAATATGCACGGTGACCCCTATTTTCGCCGCGGTAGACCTGTTCCAACCCACTTATAGAACGTATTTGAAGTATCCACATATGGGGCAAACTCAAAAATAAGCTGCAAAAAATATTCAAAGTTTCATTTTTTGCGTCTTTTTGTTCTTCTCCAGGAAATGACGACCTGAATCCCATCGTCAACCAAAGTATACATTTTTCGGTGTTGATATCATCTTAGTCAATACCTCGAACAGTCTGTAAAATTTTATGTCATATTTTCTGTCCTAACTGGTGTTATGGACGATTTCTCATCAATTTTGGGATTTTGTGTTATTTTGTGTCATCAAGGAAAATTGTGTTTTTGGCAAGACCTATTCGGGCACTTGAAAAACTGATGTTACTAAGCGAAAATATAAGGCTGTACCTATTCAAACCTGTTGTCAGCTTGGGCTGATGTTGAAATTAAATTTTTGGGCCTAACTGTCCCGAACCCCCTTAAGGATAGTTCTTAGTATTTTAATCGAACCTTGTATAGCCTCCTGTTGCACAATAGCCAGGTCTCCTCCCTGCACAGTCCGAAGGCATTGAGGAGTCTCGATCTCCCCCACCAAGCCTCCCAGGGCACCGACAACCACAGGGACCACGTGTAACAGATTCACACACTCACACTGTGCATCCTATGTACTACACGTTCCCACTTACGTTGTGTTGCATCACACCTGTGTTGCATGTTTCACCTTGGATTACACTTCTGTCCCATATAAGGCCAAGTAAAAAAAAAAGCTAGATGATCGTCCCCGTCCGCCCCAGTTTTTGTCAGCGCCCCAAGAAATATTTTATTTTTTAAATCGTGAGTTTTTGCCGAAATCGTTGGTTTTTTACCGATCGCGGATGCAGGAAACATGTGCACGCTTTGTTTAATACTTTCTTTACTATATGGACCACATACTACTAGTATATCACAACGTCAGTATCGATCTGCTGAAGAAAGAAAAAGAAAAAAAGAAAAAAAAAGAAAAAAAGAGAAAAAAAACCTTGATGTTGTTGTGTACACTGTGTGCATGAGAGGGTAAAAAGTAAAAAAATAAAAATAAAATCCTCCCGCCCTCCCCGATTTTTCCAAAAAAAAGGACGATCATCTAGTAATTTTTTTTACTCGGCCTAACCCCGTTGATGGTATAATAAAGTGGTTCTACTCTTGATCCTGAATCGCTCTGGTTGGACGGTTACACTGGTAGCAAAGGAGGGTTGTCGAGATTTTTTGTTTGCTGGTATGCGTGGCCACCCTTCTGTTAGCTCGGTATGACCGCTACAAGGACGGAGCGCGCCGACGGGTACAAACTGCCGCAACGACGGATACACCTCAAGGACCTCAACGGCCCACGGACCAACGACTGCTCGACAGGAAATTTGATGGGACAGTCAATAGGCCTCCGGTGTTTTCGGGCAACCCTGCGGACTTCAGGGAGTGGGTCTTCGCTATCGAGCTCGCCATGGTGTCACAGCGCGTCAACGACGACCAGGACCAGGTGCGATTCGCTGCCAGCTACCTACAAGGCAACGCCAGGCTTTGGCTGATGTCGGTATTGGATTCCGGCGCCTGCATCCACGACTGGCCGACGCTAAAACAGTCACTCGGCGACGTGTATGGCCCAGTCCATGAACAGGAGGAAGCGCGCCTCAAGCTGTTTGGACTGGTACAGCACGGCAACCTGGACGCATACGTACAGGAATTCACTAACCTCTGCCTTCAGGTGAACGACCTGAATGACCATTCGAAGGCGGTGCTGTTCGTGAGGGGCCTGCATGCAGCAATCGGTCACTCGGCTCTTCGGGAGCACCCGACGACACTAGGCCAGGCCATTCGTGCCGCACGCATGGCAGCCATGCAGGCATCAGGAGTATGGAGGGAACAGGCCACCACAGGCACAGGCATTCGTCGGTTGAGGCACCCGGGTCCGGCACCTCACGCTCAGGCCAGTACACCGAGGCAACCTGTCAGTCCATGGGGACGTCAGCAGCAGCAATCTAACCGTACGAGTGAGCCCATATGCCCACATTTTAACGCCAGCTGGCCGAACGACTGTCTACAAGGCATTCGTGAGGCCCCTGATGGAGTATGCCCCGCTTGTGTGGATGGGCGCGCCAGCCAGCCACATCCAACGTCTGGATAATGTTCAACGCCGCGCACTGCGCATCATTGGCCCTGGTGCAATTCTCCCCAGTCTGGCTGTCCGCGGACTGTTGCTGCTCTCTCGTGCATGTACAAATTGCATTTCATTACTGGTCCTCCTCAGCTACTTGCTGTATTGCCACCGCATCGCGTTTCTCCAGCCAACCCCAGAACCAGGAACCAGCACAATAATGCCACTAGCCACGCCTATCAGCTGTCAGACACGCTCCCTGTCTCAGCTCCATCCGTCGTGAAGCGGTCGTTCCCGTACTGCTGTATTGGCGCATGGAACTCCCTTCCTGACAGGCTGCTGTCGCAGCGCCCACACAAAACACGTTTTCAGTCATTCAAGACAAAGGTCTACCGACGCCTGAGAGACAGCAACTGGCAACAGATTCCCTGTAATTTTTTGAGCTCGTCGCTTGCCGGACCCGCTAATCCGCGTACCTGGCCTTGCTCAGAGTGCTCAGCTGTGTTTTGCATACATGCAAAAAACTTGTTCAGTCCGTGCGCCAGGCCACTGAGTGGGCCGTTTTCATTTTCCTGGGTCCGATCCCGCGGGAAAAAGTCTGCACAAAACTGTGTTGGTGAAGATGATGACGACAATGGCAGTTGGGGGAGAAATTTGGCAATTGTTTTGGCCTTTCTCGCGGCCTGTCTTCGCTCCTTTGCCTTTGCAGCAATGGAAGATGATGAGTTCAATGTTGTGCTTTGACGCCGAGTAGAAAATTTGAATCGCAAACGCCATCTTGGCCTTTATTTATGGAAGAAACTGCTCTCCCCGATTTGCTGGTTTCGCCGACTGGCATCGAGAAGTAGACGAGCTGCGCTTTCCTAGAGCCGCGGACACCAAGCTCTCATGGCGGATCTTAGTAAGTACATATTGTTGTGTAGTGAGATGATAATGGTTTGAGCATTCCTGCCTGGAATAACCGATGGCACTAAGTGGAATCTCAAAATTGTTTTTTTAGTATTTTTACGAGCACAAGTGTTGCCTTGTTGAAAATAGCACAACAAGAAGAAAGAAGCATCCAAAGGAATACGATGTCATAAATAAATGTGTTCTCTTCCCGTTTAGTGTGCCTGTGCTTAGGATGGTACTGTTGAGGAATCCGAAAGTGCGAAATTTGTATGTCTTTTATACTCTGTATATTGTAAAATTTGCATGACATTTTAGTGGGTATGGACTTGTAGTTGTATTCTCTTGAGATGTACCCTCGTTGCTGCTGCGGATGGACATGCTGGCCTTAATTGCCATGAAAGCTTCTCTTGGTGTCATTGTAATAATATATTCTTTGTCGATATTATCGATTGAAACGAACCGAATGCTGTCTCGTTTCATGTACGCCGCTGACGCAGCTCCACTGCATTCATATTTTGGTGGCTGAACCAAGAGTCCATAGCCCCAAGAGCATGCAACTTTGCACGAGGGGTCTGAAGGGGCTTGCTGCCCACATTACGTAGCGACAAACTGGGGTACCGGCTGGGGCAGTGCGTCAACGATCTGCTGTGGTTTTCAGATTCAAAGCGCGCTTTTTCTCATAAGAGCCTTATGAAGGTTTGTGTGCATGGTGTATCGCATGCAGACACTGCCTCGAACCTGCTGTGTTTCTGTGTGTATCCGATCCACCAGGGGTTAATAATCCGGGTTACGTCTTCTTGGCAGAACTACCGGCAGTGATGCCCAGCCATGCCAACATTCTAAAGCGCGATGCACGATATCACTTCTGCGACGTGATGCGCGACGATGCGATTGAGGAATTTTTCTGCAAATTGTTGCAGTGAGTGCTGCTTCACTGGAACCAAAATTTTTGTTCAAGTGAAGCAGCACCCACTGCAATTATACTAATAGGGACAACCAAATCCACTTCCATGGAGTTCAGTGTATTATCTGTATAACATTGGAAAAGTGTAGTATATAAAGAGCGGAGCACTTTTTTTCCATTTAATTACTTTCTGTGTTTCATGCATTATTCCTACTGTCGTTAAAAACTTAAAATACTGCCTTATCTTGTGCGATCTGTGTGTCTTCTCAGGTGGATCGTGCTCTAACGCGTCTTGGCATTGTGTGAGAACAGCACGAAGAGGACCTTGGCTATTAACGCGTCTTGGCATTGTGTGAGAACAGCACGAAGAGGACCTTGGGTATTGCAGCCTTTCCGCAGAAGGAGAATGACTCGCTTCTTTTGCTAGTGTGCAAACATCCATGTGTTCTCCCAGTACTGCTGTTAGCTCAGCCAGAAGATTATCGCAGATCTGAGTGTGACAAGCGATCAGCTGTAATAGCTTTGTTGTGAATGCTTGCACTGCTGTCAACTATTATCCATTCTAGCTGTGCCTCGTAGCACTCCTTGCAAAAAACATCATTCTATGCTATTGTCATGTTCTTACTCCTTGGAACTGCTGAGACCGTTTCATAGTGGGAACAGTTCATCTGTGCCTGTTTGTCCATAACTGTCTTTACATGTGCTGCAATGCCGCCTATATTGGCGCGGCGTTCACTTTTGAGCTCGTCCGCTACGTTCCGTTTCATACACTTCTGTTGTAACGCAATGAAGATTCTCATTGACACTCCTTTACACAGCCAGCGTATGTGGATATTAGTCTGTAGGTGGCTGCAATTTGCGTTTTTGCCTTTCGCCGTTCACTATTTTACCAAAATATTCCAATATTCTGCATTTGTCGGATGTGTGCACTGGTGTCCAGACGAGTTGCTTGGCATAACTCGCAGGCAGGAATGCATACACGCCCATGATGTACCTGAGTGGCATTATTACACCGTCCTGATGTGTTCATTGTGAGTGCTACATGCTTCCAGCTGTCCTCCATATACATGTAAATAGCGAGAAAAACAGAGGTTAGAAAATTGGTCGGTGTGGTGTTATTTGGTCTTGGACACCGGCGAGAGACCACATACTAAAAGACTAAGGCTTGTTCTTCTGGATGTTGTAGTGGGTGTTACTACGCGTGCCTGGAATACTTGACGGCACTAAACTAAAGTCCTGCGTAAAGAAAAATTCAAATTTCGACAGTCGGAGAAGACGTGATGCTGCATGGGACAGAAGCACCCCGCGAGAAAACGTTCGAAACTGAGGATAGAAGTTTGCCTTATCCGGCGATGGACGGCGTGTCAGGTCTGAACTCGAACGAAAAAGGGCCTTGTAAGGCCCACCTTGCAATGACTAGAAACTAACAATTCTCAAGAAATAGCTGAAAAAGTTCAAAGTCCACTGACTCTGGAAAATAAAAAACACGGATAGAGTGCGATATTTTGAATCTGGCGCACGGACTGTGTTAGGCCAAACTAAAGAAGGTGTGTGGTTCGACTAACATGGACATTTTTTTACGGGCGGGCGGGCGGATTTTTTTTTTAAATATATTTTTTAGTACATGTAAATACACTGTACTGCCTTTAGACACCCAGTACATCGGCATTATTACGCAGTGTTATGCCATACATGTTGTATAAAGGGATCACTGGCTAATACTTTGAAACATTGTGTAGCTCTGGAACGAGAAGAGAATAACTTCAAGCGGTGACTCTGACTGTCCAAATCATCAAGCAAATGAAGAACGATGCGAGTTGAAAGTAAGTTCGGGAACTACTTCGAAGTACAAATTGTACAATGTACCGGTACATGTATTGCTAGTTTGGTGTCGGCGTGCGAATACATGGGCTTTTTCCATCGACGCTTCCTGTGCTTGCACACATGGAGCAGCAACTAACTTACCGGTACAGTTGAAATATCGTTCCCAATACACGAGGAAAGTGCAATCTCGTCTGTCCTTCATCCCAAAACAGAAGGCCGTCCTTAATCTGGAACGAGGCAATCACTCTCAACCGGACGGTCACTTCAAAATAAGTCTCGCCAGTCTGCCGGTGGTCGTATCGAGTAGACTCTACTACCAGCACAAGGCAGCAGTCGTACCACTCACTGCACTGCACTGCAGACAACTACAAGTCAAGTCCAAAAGGAGCCGCCTGCGTCCGCAGACTCACGCTGCACAGCACGTAGACGTGGACATGTTCAGTCCACGTACGTCAGTCACACGACAGCCCGCCGAAAAAAAGTTACGGTCGGGGTGAAAAATGTACGGTCGGTCGGGTGAGTCGAACCACACACCTTCTTTAGTTTGGCCTTAATATGATTCTTTTCTTTTCTCTGTTTATTCTTTTACCAGGCGTGGGCCATCCCCTGGATAATCAAAATGGGTGCCTTATTATTTTTCTGTTTTTGAGCTTGTTTTCTTTACACTTCCTTGTGCGAGTTTCGTATCAGATCTATTAAAAAAGTTCATAAGTTTTGGTTGATGAAGTTTACATGTCCATTGTACATCAGTCCAAACACCATCACTGCTGCCCAGTGCAGCCCCTGCTCAGTAGCTGTTTGTTTTTGTCCACATAATTATTTATTTTACGAGTTGGGTTTGTGAATAATAGTTTTTAAAAAAAACTTTGCGCGTCAGAGTGACCTTGCTAGGCACAAGCGCACGGCTGAACGGCAGAAGCCGGTTTCGGAGCAGAGAGGTGCATGCATGTCAGTGCCCTCGGTGTCATCGTTGGTTCCGGAGCCGCGGTGGCTTGGTTGTGCATCGTTGCTCCGCTTCTGCCTCATGCCCAGCACCAGGGAGTCGTAAAAGCCCGGGAGAGGACACGGGATGCGCGCACGCGGACGATGTTTGCCTCGGCCAGAAAGTGAAGCACGCTAGGCCGGCGCGGCCGGATCTGCTCGATCCACGGCGCTGTGCTCGTCTTCAGGGCAGGGAGTCCTAAAATACCAATATTTTACAACTCGTTGTTGACACCATAATCCGAAACTGGTGGCGAAGGAAGCATAAAGTTAGAAGTTAAAACATGATTGTGTGTCTGTCTGTCAGACTCAGTACACATGGTACAGTGGGTGGGGAGTTGAGTGTGTGTTTGTGGGGGGCGTGTGTATGTGCACATGTGCTTGTACTTTTGTGTGTGTTTGTACAGTGTTTGTGTGTGTGTGCGCGCGTGCGTGCGTGTGCGCATTTTTTGTGCACAATTCCGTTATGAAGTACAAATGATAGGTTTACCTTTTGTACACTCGCCAAGACTTCGGTTAGATTCACTGAGAACTTTTCTAGCCAACCTGGAGGCTGAGCCTTCCGTTTCCTAAACGGCTAAAGTCACCGCGTACTCAGTATACGAGTAGAAAGTGTTGAAATTATCAAGATTTATAAATAACGACCTGCAACCATGTACAATGTAGATAGATAGGGAACACACATTGATTGTTTTTAAAAGAATCCAGGCAATATCATGAATCATGGAACGAGTGCGTAATAATGCTCTATGTTGCGTTTTGACGATGCTGAAGGAAGGGAGCCGTTGCGATTCACTCACAACACACGCACAGAAGTCCACTCGACTGCAATTTCTGCCACAAATTCAACTCCACGAGTACGAGGAAGCTCAGCGGATCTCCACAAGAACTTTCGCCCATCAACTGCAATGGAATATGGGCTGTATGATACGACCAGCGGCTAACACGGGAAGTGGCGTCATTTTCCACAAATCTCGTTTCATTCACAACCATTTGACTGCAATTCAGTGCAATTTCTGCCACAAATTCAACTCCACAAGTACGAGGAAGCTCAGCGGATCTCAACACGAACGTTCGCCCATCACCTGCAATGGAATATGGGCTGTATGATACGACCAGCGGCTAACACGGGAAGTGGCGTCATTTTCCACAAATCTCATTTTGTTCACCCCAACTCAAATAAAAGTGAAGTACAATTAGGGATTTATCTTGCATTTCCATCGCCTCAGAATAAATTAACTTCGATAAACTGAGACAGAATGAGTGAGGCAGCTGGAAGAATTAAGGATGAAAATAGAGACCAGAAGACTCGACGGAGCAATCGTCTCCGTGCTCTAAGAGAAATCGGAGAATGTCCCAATTAGTATTTCAAGAAGACATCACAATTTTCGAAAATAATAATTTCCTTGCCTCGCAACACCGTTCCCTGGCAGCGTTCCCCGGCAGCGCGAGGCAAAGATGTTTTCTGGGAATGTGTGCCGTGTCCTCTCCCGGGCTTTTACGACTCCCTGCCCAGCACCGACCGCACCAGCTGCTGTTGCCACCGGTGACACTACCGCTCGGAGTTGCTGCAATGCTTACTGTGACATCTGCGATCGTTGTTTCCGCTCGACCCACGGACGCAACCGCCATCGCTGTTCAATGCACTGCCACCGTCCACCGGCTAGAGAACGGGACAAGTTCCCGCATATTTGTATCTGCTCTCGCCGGTTCCGACTAACCTTGCATCTGGAGCGCCATCGGGTGGCGTGCTCTTTCTCTCTCTCCGCTGCCCCTCCGGGCCCCACGTGACCCTAGTGGTAGTGGCTCTACAGGGCAGGTGTGCGTATGTGTGTGTGTGTGTGTGCAAGTGTGTGTGTGTGCAAGTGTGTGTGTGTGTGTGTGTGTGTGTGCCAACGGGCTCGGCTGCTTGAAGGTGTAATGTTGTACCTACCACCTTTGTTGGTTTCAGGGTTCATATACTTTCTATTTGAAGTATACATACCTGTTAACCATGGACTACTTCTGGCTAGATTAACGCTTGTGTAATCATGGTGCTAGTGAAGCTTGTATCAGATCCGCTCTGATTTAGCCACCCATACTAGTAGCAAGTACTACCTTCACTGGGGACAGGGGTAACTGCAGTTGGATCCCGGGACGGATACCCTAATGCCGTCAATCCTTTTTTCTGCACCTTGTCCTCACCCACTTACTGAGGTGTGGTGAGCCCATAAGTGGGATCATTTTCAAGTCCATCCAGAGTTTTTGGGATTTCAGGGGTGTCGGCCGTTGGGCGGTTCAATAGGGAGGTTTCGCTCTACGTAATTACGTATGAAAATCCGTATGTCGTACGCGCCGGGGAGCGAGGGCAACTTTCATACGTAAATCTCTCTACGGATTTCCATAGGAAAGCACTTTCCTACGTTGGGTCCTCCGTAGGACTTTTTGAAATATTTTTCGCATTTTCCGCATTTGTCCATGGCAACATTCAAGCCGCGCGAAACACAAGCTTAAGGTACACACACCGTACACCACGTGCAAAATAAAATGGAAAATGCGGTTTCGGTTCATGGTGCATGCGGTGGGCGCATGCAGCCAACGCGTCTCCAAAGCAACAACGCATGTTTAGCAATCGTGGAGAAATCACGTAGGGCGAAACCCAACAGCTCTGATTTTTACGTATGAAAATTCCGTGCAGTTCCTACGTTATTTTCATACGTAATTCCGTAGAGCGAAACCTCCCTATTAGCCAATTGAGTCATCTTTCCAAGATTCCTTTTTGGCTTTGAGTCTCTCTCCCCTCTCCCGGGGAGACCCACGTGACCAGTTTTGGCAGTGAGCAACAAGTACAAGTGTGTGTGTGTGTTTGTGTGTGTGTGTGTGTTTGTGTGTGTGTGTTTGTGTGCGCGTGCGTGCGTGCGTGCGTGTGTGTGTGTGTGTGTGTGTGATAGCGTTAGAGGGGTTCATTAGAGTAACTGCAGTATGACATGACTCAGTGGTGAACACTTGTCATAACTGAATGAACAGAATCCGCAGGTTAAACAATACAATACAACGCAGCATTAGTTTTTTTTTTTTGTTGACAATGCAACACAATTATTGTGGAAAGGTCACAACAAGAGACAAGATCAAAAGGAAAGCTTTACAATAATAAAATAATAATAATAAAATGTAAGAAAGGGTTTGCTCCCCACACCGGAGCTCGCGCTATTCCGCCGACTTTACTTGACACTTGACAGAGTTAGTCAAGTGTCAAGTAAAGTCGGCGGAATAGCGCGAGCTCCGGTGTGGGGAGCAAACCCTTTCTTACAAATCATCGC